GATTAACGGCAACAGATGTTTGCAAAATCAATACCGCCAGGCGCAGATCCATAGTAGTAGGACTTAACAACGAACGTTAGCCTTATCCACGCGATCGCTCTATGTGTTAACCCAAAGATTTTGTACTTAGCTTCAATCTTAACCTAACTGTACAGTGCAGAGATTATGATGGACAAAAGTTGCGAAATTTTGATACGGATTAATTGCGTAAATCTGTGCACAAACCATGAACTATTATAATTTTTTATTTCGAAACGTGATTTTTTGCGCCTTGAAATACATTTTCAACGAGTAAACGCCAGATTGCTCCGTCTTTGTATGTGATGTCTGGATCCACTCCTGAGCACAGGAAGTCGCTTGTGACAGTGCATACGTATTGTAATGACGTATACTACACAAATGAATCCGTCAGTCCCTGTAAAGAACAGTCATATTTCATAGAGAGCAAGTTATGTTGTTCTCATAACCCTAAACGTTTTGCTGTTCTCTATGCGGGATAATACTCAACTTTCCCCTAACGGCCGACCCGTGTAGCTGTAATACTCGCATTCCCGAATTCTTTCCCCCCGCGAAAACCTCACCTCTGACCAGGATCTCCAGCGGATCCGTGCGCGCTAGACGAAGCGGTTTGCGTATTATTGCATCGTGCACCGCGCTCTCCTTCTTTCAATTACCCTAATAGATTTGCCGTGACATCAAAAGGAATCGAGTGAAATCCATCGTACAGCAACCGACCTTAAATATATATATACATCTCCGTAACACCGCGCGGTACCAAGAAGAGGGTTGAGCTTGATTAATGGGACCTGTGTATTGCTGCTGCTACTGCCCACCCCTATAGTCTACGCTCAACACGCGTGCCACCCCCTTTGTATAAATCATCCCCTCTACTCCTGGCTGGACGACGGGCCGCCGTCGTAAATTATTGCACTCGCCTGTTCTCCTCTGGTTCGCCTTCGCCCTCTCGTCATATATTATACACGGTCAGCGCAAGGCATTGGCCTTGTCGCGTGCACTTTTCCGCATTACAATGCCCGTGTACACGCGCGCTTCTCTCTTAGGTCGCACGGGCGATTTATCGCCACCGCAGATGCCGCACGTCAATCCGAATGAGCCGCCAGCAGGATCTGCAGAAATCCGCACGACCGGTACTGTGCTGCTGTGTATAATTCAATGGGTTTAACAAAAAAAAAAACCATATATATATATATATATATCCGTACATCGACAATGATTTACTATGGCCGAAAATATTGACGTAAAAAGGCTCATACAAAAGCTTCTAGTCCACGGTACCGCGGTCGTCTTGTAACCGTTAATATGTTTAGACATTGAGCAGCGGAGTCTGGTCCGAAGGACTACTATTATATCATTAGTCAGCTAATAGTCTCCATAGTCGCACATCACTTACAATGTCAAACGCAAAAAAATAAGTTGAAATTTATGGATACAAGAAACTTGAGCCGAGTTAGAGAGAAGATGCGGATGTATACAAAACGAATGAAATGGAAATTAAGATCTTGCCTTTTACAGATAATACTTGGGGGTAATTATTTCGGTTAGGTGGTGGACGATGAACAGATAGAACATGAACGTTAACCTGACAAAGACTGTACAAAAGCAGTATAATGCAATCATAACATTGTAGATAACTACGAGCAAAGGATATTGAAGTGATAGTTAAGGAATGCGTTTCAACCTTATGAATTTGCCACACAAGCTATGTCTCCAGTGCACATCATTTGGAATATTTCCCCACTTTTTCTAATTTTTATTGGTGTGGGCAAAAATGGAGGGTTCCTTTAATATTTTGTAGCCAAAATTGGAAAACCGCTTGAAGTCAATAAGATTTATAGTGCATATAGTACCTATATCAAAGAAAAGCTGTCAAATTAGGCTAGACATAAATGATCAACAAAACTAGTACAATATCTAGTGTATCAGTAGTTTCATTGGAATATTTCTTAAATGCAAAAGACGTTGGGTCAATAAGGTAAAACATACATTCCATTGATTAGTTTGCATCGAACAACACATTTGTGCTAAATCTTACACTTCAAGTTTTATATTTGATCGTACACCAAAGAATATTATATGTAAATGTGTATGTGTATAGTTTACACGGACATTGGCTATAATTATTTCGGTTTGTTGTGTAAAAACTTGGACGAGGCGCTACAGGAGAGCGTTCCTCTCACATCTTCGACGTTTTATTGTATGTTTACACCTCGGCCGACGTTTTGTTAATACTATTCATCATTGGTTTTGTTTACATCCGTCTTTATGTACATTACGTCCGACGACACACGCATATTATTTACTCGCTTTTTAGTAAAGTCTGTTCGTATCTTCGTTATATATATATATATATATATATATAAATGAAAAATGGATAAATCTGTGATTCTGCAGCCGCAGTTTATACGTCTAAAACTGTATAGATATATTTATATGCACAGCACATGATGCTCGTTTCCTGGATCAAGATTAGTTTAAACACAGTCCAGATTAGCTATACCTGCGTACATGGAGTAAAAAATAATATGTCCTTTAGCCTTAAGAGATTATTCGTGGAAACAATAGCCGGCGGTATGTTAAGTATACAATATGTAATGTACCTTATAACGTAAGTACCGTATACGTGTGCTACTTATGGCTTACGGTTGGCGATTGTTTCACCGTCTATTGGTTGACTTGGTGTAATTTTTACCAGATATTTGATCTACTGTCTTTACTTTAAAATGTATGTAATAGATTCAAGGCTGATACCGCATCAGCCTCGGAAGCTTAGAAAATTATTTTAGTTTAAAAGAGTTCATTATTATTTATCGGTTAATAAACAAACAAGTTTTGTTTCTAAATCAATAGATGTTTTATTTTGTGTATATTGAAAACGATTGTGATTAATCAACTGTGATTATATTTTAGTTTTATTACCAAGGGGTTTAGGTGTAGTGTATATAAATCGTCATGTTGCCCAGCTTTGAATACAGCTGAAACAGGGACCGAGGTAAAAATCCGACAGTTCCATTCCCGGCAAAATACACCTCTACCCAAGGTAAACGACGGTAAACATTTATTATTGGATTTATAAATAAATCGAAAACGAACATGGTAATATTATTGTGTTAGGCCCTCGAGGCAAAGCAATGGACGTGTGTATTAACTAGCATATATAATATATATTATACAACATAATATTATTAAAACCACCTACGAGGAGAAATATTTTTTTTTATACAAGCGGTTCCAGATTGTCGAACATATCCGATTGAATAATATTGAGCACATGATATTATAATTATTATTGTTATTGATACTATTCTTAACGTGCTTATAGAGCAATCTCAATCGGTTTCCACTAGTCGTTTATAAGTAAAATAACGTTCGTATATGATATATTATGTCGTTGTCATTGAATTGTTAGGTTTGATTAACCGCTAATAGAACTATCATCAACCTCCAAGTCCTAAGTGATCCCTTTATAAATTCAGAAGTCACGAACGGTGCTACTTTTCGTAAGACGCGTCGATATATAAATCTGATACCAAGGGAAAATATATACACAAATATTATAGCATTTATCTGCGGTATCTATCAGTTATATTTTTCGGTGATATTTTTATTCTGTAAAGTCTCGGCCTTTAAAAAATAATAATTGCAAATTAAAACCACGCAGCTCAGTCGGTTATGTCTTTAAAATACAACATTATACTCTTGCGAATCCTATACAACACTCGCGGACTTGCTTTATAAAGTCGACACTTATAAATTACTCAATTAAAATAAAACGGTCATTTGAGAGTGCAGACATGCCGCATAAAAATGCAATCTCCATTTTATGAAATATTTAAAGAATACAATAGAAAGACATTGTTACATGTAATATAGAGTAAATGGAGAGATAACCGTTGACGTTTACTTCATAAATAAAATATTATCATCGCCTTTATTTTGGCGATCCTTTAAGCATCCTTTTCAACCATATACTATACAGACAACGGATATTGACTTTGATGTACGGATCTAGTGAGTTATTGCTTATTGTTTTTCTTTAATATATTTGTCGTCTGTCGATTCGCACTGTAACATTTTTTTTTCCTATAGTAATTTTACATTTTTAGTCCTAAATTTTTGTCCGTTAAATGCTTATTGTGCTGGTTTTTGTTGCTTTATCGGATGGCATATGCGGTTTTAGGAGACCGAAGGAAAGCAAATAATAAAAAGCTTCAAACGAGTATCTTTGGTTTTCTGCTTGTAAGCAAGGCAATCGCGGTTAGGAAAGACAATTATTTACACAAAGTCAGTGGAATATATACGGTTTTCAGAGGACCAAGGGGGAGGGAGGTGCTTCAAAGGCTGTGCTGGTCGTTGGCCGGAAAATCGGTCGGTTGTATGAGGAACGGTAAAAATAGAGCTCTAACGTTTTAAGCGTAATTAGGCAGTCCGTTTACACTGCACTCGCTCCGGGGCAGCGGTTGATGATCCGTCCGCGCTTTAGGGGGTTGTTTGTTTGTGCTGACGGGGAGAGCACATGTATACTACCGCGGTTATTCGCTTCTTGTCTTTCGGCCGCCCTGGCTCCTGCCCGCCGGCGTTTTATGATTGCCATACACACAGGCAGCACCCGGGCCCTTGGCGAACCGTCGATGCAAATGAAATATAATATAAACACTTCGCCCTCCGGCTCGGTGCCGGCATTAAGTCGTTATACTTTAACGGCGGGCAAGGGGTAAGTGAATGAACAGCGTGTGGAGGGGAGGGTTTATAATTGCCTTCGGCTGCACTGCAGACGCGCACCGCTCGAACGAGAGAAATTCAGTTTCGCCAATATATTATAATATTATAATACTGTTACTATGATTCGATGATGATGTTTTCGCGTTGGCCCGCGGCATGAGCTTTATTTATCGTTACAGACGAATCACGGGGAAACATTTTGTTTTATCGACAAAAATAATTCTCAACGCTGATTTTTTTTTTTTTAATGTGTTTTGCAGGCATTTCAAAGAGCCGCCGTACCCACAACAGGTGCCGTGGACACCGCCGGAATTGGGTGGCACCGGTTTAATAGACCCTTCGGCGTCGCCTTCTCCACCGCCTCTACCCACCGAACCGCCGCCCAAGTGCTCGGAAATCACCGGTCTGTCGTCCGGTCAGGCCAAGCTATGCCTGCTCTACGAGGAACACCTGGCGTCCATCCGGCACGGTGTCCAGGCGGGACTCGGCGAGTGCCGGTCACAGTTCCTGCACCGCCGGTGGAACTGTTCCATGACCGCCGAGAACACGGGCGCTTTCCTAGGCCCCGAGCTGCAAACAAGTGAGTTTCAATATCGTTCTAAGGATGGAAGGTCTAAAGGGATTAAAGGGCGGAGATGTCTCAGTGACATCCCCTCGTCGTGGACGCGGTGAAGCATTACCCAAGAGCTGTCTTAGAGTGCCGCCTTCGACTTCCAGGATTTTAACGTAGATGTACACGTTATTCCGTCAATTAATAGTGCATGACAATCAACTGCGATTTTTGTTCTCTCCCCTGAAAAACGCGGAGCTAAACGTTGGTGGTGATGAAAATTAAAAAAACTATTTTCTCTGCTCCACAGAAAAACATTGGACCATAATTATGTCTTATTGTACCTATAAAAAATTAATGTTAACATTCACGTTTATGTTCCTACCCTACCCTCTGACTCTCTCAACAATATCTTTTCTCTATTTGTCACTGAATTATTATCAGCTGCTTCTTATCACGTTTGGGAAATTGACGCGCAAATTTTCGACCGAACCCCAGCCATAAGACATATTCATGTCAAAACGAGAAGACGTTTTGGTTTTGGAAATATAAAATAAATAATTGTAGCTAGCGGAATTAAAAATAACATTTCTATACGAACCAAGTTACGAGACTAAAGGTAAACTTACAGACAATGATCCGTTGGAAAATCTGTATTTTCCTGGCGGTCTTCTCCGCTATTCGAGTAGTTTATACTCAAGTGGTATCCGCCGTAAGTTCGGTGCGGATATAATTCATTGTGTGTTTATTTAGGACGGAGTTGAAAGTTATTGTGTATAATATCATGTACGCATTGTTATTATTTTGCTAAATTCATCCGCATCGTTTGCAGGTAGCCGTGAGGCGGCGTTCGTTCAGGCGATCAAAGCGGCCGGCGTAGCGCATGCTATGGCACGTGCCTGCAGAGATGGTCGGCTGAACACATGCAGCTGCTCGAGGTCCGGGAGACCGAAAGACCTGAGGAGGGATTGGGTTTGGGGAGGCTGTGGAGATAACATGGAATACGGATACAAGTGAGTAGTAAAAATTAAAAACCTATAATGAACACGTTATTTTAAGTTCAGAACGAGTGTCTCTATTAAAATAGTGGCCACGATAAATGTATGTAATAAACTGTACACGGATTAATTAAAAATCTCACCAGTTTTAATGCAAATCTAACATTATCTCAATTTCAGATAGGCTATCTTATATTAAATCAGAATTTGGCGAAATTTAATTAAATAGCGAGTAATAACTTAAGTAAATCGAATAACGTGTAAATTGATAAAAAGAGATAACATTTTATTCGAATAAACATTTTTCGATCTACATAAACATTTTTAATAAAATTATTTTTACAATAAATTCATTTTATAATAAAATAATCGTTTTATATGCAATTATTATGATATAATTATGTTTAAAAATTAAAAATAACATTGTATCTAATATCTATCTATTTAGGCAACAACACTTTTTAGATATCAGTTAGTCTGTCTTAACAAATATATCTAAAATACTGAAAACTGCATATCATAATCAAAATTTGTGGATTAAGCTTTTTGTTCCTATACACTTAAATTATTTAAAAGTCAATCTCTATTAAAAGTTTAATGAATTAACAGTCATTTAGAGACGTGTCCTTTAAATGTTGATCAATTTACACGGATAATAATATGTGGTCACATCTGCAGAAAACTGGTTCATCAAATATTTTATAGTTTATCGAACAGTAGGAACAATAAAAATGTTGTTTGTCAATTTTTTTCAGTCTACGTATATCAATGGTAACAACGTACAATAGGATCACTGAATTTTATTTTGCCAAAACAAAAAATATAGAAAATTTATCGACCTAATATGCGTTATGAATTCGACATTTCTTTATGATTTAATTAACAACAAAAAAAAAGAACCTTTTAAGTAGAATGCAATTTTAAATGAACTTTTAAACAGCTGATCGGTTGGAAGGTCAAAGTGGAATAGCATTTGGTCAATTAAGACGGCGTAAACGATACTTTATTAGTTTGAGATAACCACCATACATCTTTTCAATAGACATTAATGTTCTATAAGTCTTCTGTGTTCGATGAATTACGACGCGATTGCGGTACATATTTTGGTACATGCATTAAAACCGGTTACAAACATACTTTATTATAATATTTTTGAACGATATCTAAAATACGTGTACATTTACTAATCGTTCCCGTATCGGGGAAAACGATCAAAGCTATATTTTACACTGAAATATCATCTCAATGTATTTTCTATGTTAATACAAACGTACAATATTCTTCCATTTGATATTATGCTAAAAAAAAAAAGGTTAACTCTTTCGATTAATTATCGCAAAATTTATATTTTAAGTGCCAGTTTTGTAACGTACAAAATATTTTTTAACAGGATATCTTATATAATGCGATGCGCAATAAACGGTTAAGGAATATTTTAACGTTTTCATCTGCTCGATGAAAATATTTTCTAAATACTTATTTTGGGTTGAACAATGTAATAAAACTTTAATTTTATTACATTAAATAAAAAATAAATTGATGAAAAAAAATGGGCTATGTTATCCCAATGGCATTAATTTTGCTTTTCTTGCAATCCAAGACCACCGTGAAAAAAAACCGACTTGGAAGTCCCGTTGTCGCGCGCATGTAGGTACTTAAGCCGTCGTTATTCCTTATTTGGATTCACTATAAATGTATTGGACAATGATTTCCAATACCAGAAAACGATAGCCATCGAGTTGTCACTATAATATTGTCGGTAAAAGTACAACGTTGTTGTCCATAATGGAATGCAAGAAATATTCTTATCTACAACGCGCTTTGATGAGAATTTTCTTTGTTAGTAATTTTATTTCATGATTATATAATGTCAAAATAAATTATAAATAATTACACGGGTTGGGTATTTTTTTGGGGGGGATTCTATTATTTGCTCCTATTGAAAAAAATGGTTTATATTAAATCAAATTTCAGCCACATCCTAACTTTATGTAACGTACATAATATACTCTAAAACTTTGTTCTTGCAACAATTACAAAGTAAACGACGAATTCCCCTCGAAAAATAGTCTATCGGGTGATTTTACTATATATCAATGTATTTACTCTCTTAAACTATTTACAAAGAATGTCGGTATGCATATAAATAATGCATTCGCCAACGATCATTAATAACATCAATAGTATTTATTGCTGTTAACAATGAAACATAAAATATTAAGATCGCCGAAGAGACTTTTTTTATGAATTGAATAAGCGTTTTTTTTTTTTTTTAATTATAAAAAAAAACCCCGAATATATTACGCGTGAGTGTGTGTGCGTTGGTCGACGTGTCTAATGGAGGATTCCTCTAAAAGCTTTGGTCCGCCCTGAAAAACGTCCCAATATATTATTTCAGTGTTGATAAACCGTGTAATGCTCGCCTTGTACGTATACACAGATGCACAAAACACTTTATGGACGAATGTGTGTGTTTTCGTATAAAAAAATACCGTAAAAAACCTTTTCGAGCAGATAACCGAAAAAAAAACTATAATGTCGCGTAAAAAAATACACGTTTGTACTTTTATTCCCACGTGAAACCGGTTCGGACCGAGCTAAGTGTAATAAACATAAATATAATATGCTCTTCCTCTCTTGCCGTGTGCGTTTTTCATCGAAATCTGTCGACTCGAAACGATGTTTTCGTGTAATGTTGCGGTAAAATGTACATTTTTAAATAATAATAATAAAAAAAAAACGCGGTGTCTTTTTTTCGACTGGTTTTTTTACCATCGACTAATTCATCCTCGGTCTACCCGGTAGCTTATGAGTTTTCGACAATATTTTTTAGTGTCGCGCGCACACGCCGACGATATCTTACTCGGTTAACCGAACCCGGCCGGTGATGGGGGACCCCCGTGGCTCATTACAAGGCAGTTGAGTCAATTGATAAATAAAGAAAAATTAATACTTACATCTGTGTCCAGTCTTTTGTAGACCGGTGGAAAATCGAAAAACGGGGTACCGAAGGAGGTAGTAGATGCCACGATGTAGCAGATGCTAGGGATAAAAGTGCCCAAACAAAGAACAGCAAACGTGATTAAGGAGAATGGAGGATTCCGCACGAGTTCATCAACCCTGATTGGTTTTTCTCAGTAACAGATAAACTTACGAAGTACCTACAAAGTGATGAATATTGCATCTTTCTACTGTACTTTGCGGATCATGTAGGTTTTTTTTTTGGACACAAGTAAAAAGTGTTGAGAAAACTTATATGAAAACATATTGCAGGTCTGCAACCGAACATTAAGAGGTTTAGTAATATAAGGAGATTAAAAAATAGTTGGATAATCTGTTATCGTTGGAGAGCAAATGATGGAGCGTTTCAGTAATTGGGATCAGGACTGCAAGATAAGGGAGGAGTTGAAAATACGCGATAAATATAATCAAGTTAGATTGTTAGTTGGATAAGGCGCAAAGAAGAAATGGGTATATTGTGTGACAGTAGGGTGTCACTTGGGTGAAATAATATTGAATAAGATAGCTAAACAATGGATATGTTTCTATAGTAGCTAGGTAAGACGGAATTCGAGAGGTAGTTTGGGAGTTGCACCAATAGTAAGAAAAATTAAAAGGATTGTTTGGTCATGACGAGAGAAAGGATGAAAAAATATGTTCAGAGAATAATGTAGAGGAGTAAGATTTATGTTTATAATTTTCCAATTGATTTTTACATTAATTACAGGAGTCATGGACTTGGTGATGAAGAATATGTAATATTTGAAGAACCTGTGTTAAATGGATTTGAGAAAATGAAAGTATTTGGGTTTAGTCATACAAGACGATACAATATGCTCAAATATTTAACTTGTAGAATACAGTTTTATTGTATAAATCAAGGCCGGCAATATTGTATGAAAGTTACTGTTAAGCATTGAATACGATAGTGTGCTGAAATGAATGTACAAAGAATCTGAAATGAGAATGTTAACATTTTAATTAAAGAATAACTAGGTTAATTAGATTTTTCTTGTGGACCAATTAACTTGACTTCCTTTTAAACCAAAATCATATAAGGTATTAGGCACTTCGGGTACTAAGGTGGGTCAAATGTTGAAAAAGTCCTACATCCCCAAAATTATAAAACGCTTCATTTCAACCAAAATTCGGTTAATTCTCTTCCACCCATAAAGGAGACATGTTTTTACTATAGTTAATAAGCACAATTTTAGGACTAGAGCTGAAATGTACATCCACTGAAGGTCTTATTAAAATCGAAGTTTCGAAAAAATCACTAAAAACTTCTAATAATATGAGAATTATCAATAAAATTTCAAGTATACATATGCTAGTATTTAGTATGTGTTAAATTATTTGAACATTATGATTATTTAACACTGTTGTTTTAATTAGTTTTTTAACAGTACTTTATACTGTATTTAGTTTATACTTTATAGAGTTTATACTTTATAGAGTTTATACTTGTGTAGAGTAGGGCCTTTAACACCAATGTGTCCCCCGAGTTTTTAGTCTTAGGCTTTGTATCGACTTTTCTATCTGATCTAGGCGGTTATACCGATGGCGGCAAATTGTAAAATTACACATGTAACGAGATCGTGGTCCCGAGTGTACCTCAAACGTGTATAGTGGCTGTACTAGGACTAAGTGCATGCCTGTACCGTGACCGTGTCCATTGTTTTTGGAAACACCTATACGTAATAGTAAAGTAGTAGTAATAATAATAATGATGATAATAATACTATCGTTCTCTGTGCATGTGTACACGGTAGGTATGCGGCAACCCTTGTAATTACAATAATAATTTCGGATGGGCATCTCCAAAACCAATTAAACGGGCGATGCCGGTCGGCACCTCAACGGGTGATTTTCGTTCTGCCGCGATGACTGTCTCGCTACCTATATGCACTTGAATAGATATGTATAATAATATGTAGGTACATGTATACTTATTACTTGTACCTGCCTACCTAACCGACCCGGCCGATGTGTCTGATTAATTAGCTTCCGGGACCCTTTCTGGCGGTAATTATCGTTTTTGTTATTCCCCCCCCCTTCTCGCCCTTTACCTCTTTATAAGATAATTTCAATACAAAAAAAAAACACTTACGAAGCCAAGGAGGTGAGGTCCAGGCTAATAGGATACGTTAATCGCGTTAGCCGCGCAATTATAATATGTTATTGTATTCAAGTATCGTGATTAATTTTTTTTGTTGCTGTTATTGAGATATGTTTTTTGTTGTTAATTTTTTTTTTTTATTTCCTCATTTTCCTTTTAGTTTGTGTCGACTTTTTTTAAAAATAATAATGCGTGTTTTCGACCCTATTTGGCGTCTATCTCATTTATAGGTTCACTGGATCGTAGTTTAATAACATCTTAATTCCAAAATAACACTAAAGAAATAACACATTTTAATTTGAAACCAAAAAAAAAGATTAAGAAATTATTATTTATTCTGTTTCCAAAACTTAAGGGGAGAATTTTGTTTACAGAGCTAAAATACTTTAATAAAAGTAGATGAATTTTCAAAAAATAATGTTCTTCTTTTAAAATCTGTATGCATACTTTAAATAAATAAATTTGTCTTGATAGACTCTAAAAAAAAAAAAATAGATCTTTTGTTTCAACACATATTTTCCCAGCTCTCCGGAAAACAGAAACTGATTAAAAATTATAAGGTTTATTACACTAGAGTGACACAATATCGACAGATGCCTAACAGGGGTAATATATATATATATATTTTTTTTTTTTTCATCAAATTACTTTTAGCTGTCCAGTGGCGACGTGCAAGTGTACTTGAGATCTTATCCGTGTCTGAACAGTAATTATGCATATTTAGTTATCGTCATGCATAGTACATACTCATATATACATACTCATCAATCTGCACGGTCTAGAATAATTATGAGAACGTTTACGAGTGCTGCCCGAAACCGATTGTTATAATTTACTGCCCACTTAAGTACGAATGTACTTTACTTTTAAACATTCCAGTTGATAGATGCGTCCAGAAAATAATAATTATTAAAAAAAAAAAATAATCAAAAACTATTCATTTTTCTCTGATTGAGCAACATTAGTTTTGTCGATTCCGTTTAATCTGTACTATATACAGTTAAAGCGCAGATTGACTTATAGTTGATACAATTGTACAGATAATCTCATTAATCAATAGAATTAATTTGTCATGATCGAAAAGAGAAAAATATAGTTAAACTAGCTCAAAAAATAAAAATGTATGCGATTATGATTTCGTTTAAAGGAAATACCGAGGAAATAAACCGGTTACTGCTTTAACGTGTTAGCGCACGTGATAAGCATTTAAAAAATGTATGAAGAAACTGAAAGTGTTCGTTGTGGTTGTCAGTGACCAGTAGATTAATCATACAAATTAATGTCCATCATAAGATGTTCCCGTATGATTATGTTGTTCTTAGAAATTATTTTTAAAATTAAAATTGTTTAAATTAAGGTTACGTTACAAAATAGGTTTACTAAATTATACGACTCGTCTATGTAAAAGAATTCTAAAAACCAACATGGTACAGAATTTATTTTGGCAACAAAAAAGTGATAGTACACAATGGACAGTATCATATTCGCTGGAATTGCCAAAATGGTCAACGTGTTGCAGATGAGCGTCCTAAATTGTCAAAACAGACGACTACTGAACAACTGTTAAAAAGAGAGGAAAGCGATGTTATGTTAATTGAGATACACGCTCATCAACAAAAGACTATCCCCAATGGCGCAGCAAGGAATCCAAAAAAGCTTCGACAGAGTCCGCTTATTGGAGTCCTGATATTCTCTTATCCGAAGAAACTTAGGCTACAAACTCCGCTTAAGGTCCTATCAAAAGCATAATAGGAATTCCACAAAAGAACTGACGCATGGCTCCAAGAGTTCCCAATTATCAGATAGTTCTCATCACAATTAGATTTGAAGTTCATGTCAGGAAAACGTTATGCTAACTGACCTCGGTTCAGTGTAGTCACACAGGGCTTAGGGATTTGAACGCTAGTCCGTCGAGTTGCTCGAATGTGTAATACTTAAGTGGCTCGATGAATAAATAACGGGTTTTTTTTTTGTTTGTTTTAGATTCACCAAAGTATTTTTGGACGTCAAAGAAAAGGAGAAGAGATGGAAAAAAGGAACACCGGAACAAGGCCGGAGTCTAATGAATCTGCACAACAACGAGGCTGGCAGACGGGTACGCACTGAAGTTAAAAATACATTATTGTGATAATAGACAATGATGAAAGAGTTAAAACCTATCCGAGCAATGTTGATGACTGCAACAGCTCTAAAATCTTGGAACTCCCATTGTTATTGAACGGAAATTGATCATGATATTTATCATTTTTTTTTACCGGCACGACGTTTTCATTTTTTTTTTATTGCGTTTAAAAAAAATAAAAATCACCTATAGAATTATAATATTAATATTATACACCTTGGGAAGTGCCGGAGCTGTGTTGCCAACCGGTAGCCGGCTACACGCTGTTATTATTGCTCGTGTCTAATCATTTCCGACCACTTACAGTAGTTTCATGTTGCGTTTTTTTATTTTCATAATTTTCTTAATTTCGGTGTTTATTTATTTTTTACTCACGATACTACTAATAAGTTCTGAGTAAGTAGTCGTCACGAACCGCACGAAACATTAATATCGTTTTTTAATTTCACCGTAGTAACTAAAAAATGTAGTTTTTTTTTTTAATTTAAATAATTATGTGCACGCGTGAATATTGGTTTTTTTTTACCTATATGACCTTTCTGTATAGGACACGTCAGAGATTGTGTAAAAAAAGTTTATGTGATACAAATTGTTGTCATATTTCTTATAACCGATATAATCCAGTTTTTATATTCCGGCTTAGACATGATTTTGTTTATTTTTGTTTTTGAGCCTTCCGGTTTTTATATTATACACTTAAGGCTTAACATGACATGCGAATAGTGGTTTTCAATAGTTATTTATATTGTTTTTTAATAGCATCAATGCTGGTATTCACGCTAATAGGCACTTTGTAAATGTTTTTTTTTGTATTGTTCACCATAAAATAATTTAGAAAAAATTTCTTTTTTTTTTTTAAAAAAAGGACTTAATTTCTATAGATCGCTGACAGACGGGCGACCTTAAATTAATCTCGGGGAGCAAGTGATCAATAGAGTAGAAAAATTATGTTTTATTTGGGATAAAATGTGTGCAAGATAATAGAGGATTTGAAGAAGAAGTAGCGAGTATAAGGTAAGGTGTCTTTGAATGAAATTAGAAGAGGAAACAGTACTGTTGTATTGCGTGACGGAAAGTTGACTTATTCTTTTAAAATTTTAATGGGAAATAACTTGAAAACTATCGTGGGTGAGCATTGGAATTGTGTGTTAAGTCAGGTTAGGTTAGGTATGATGACGTATGGAAGCGAAATATTAATGTCTTACACAACTAGTTATCCAAAGCACAAAAAGGGTTTATTAACAAATTGCATTCACATTTGCCCCAATCGTGTACAATTACCATCTCCCGTCTTCCCTTTAGAATGTCTTTTTTTCCTTAAAAAAGCTCTCAATAAAATATGATTTATTAATTTTTTCCCTTATTCTTTTTACCTTTAGGCCGTACTCAAAAAATCTAGAGTCACGTGCAAGTGCCACGGCGTTTCCGGTTCGTGCAGTTTGATCACCTGTTGGCAGCAATTGCCGACAATTCGCGAGCTGGGTAAGTGCTGTTTTACTATGTGCTAAATTTTTCAAATTATTTTATCTGAACTGTATCTGAAGGGTTTTGATTATTAGAAAACCCGTCATTGATGAGGATTGTGATATAGATTGGACTATAGCTTTTGTCTAAGATTTAGCGAAAAATTGCCCTTCACCTAACCTTTTAATAAGCAAGACGTGTGTTGTCCACTTAATAAAAGACATGTTACATAACTATATTGGTTACAAAGTTACAACAATTAACTCAATAATTTATGAAATAATTTTTATATCAGAAAAAATACACTATTATTATGCCTAAATTATCTTAATAGTGTACAATTATTTTTATTTAACAAGCTAGTTAAAAACTCGTTTAAATTAAACTTGTAACTTAATTGTTGTTTTTTTATTTAGCTTGACCAACTAAATTTTTTTCTCAATTAGTTTATTTTTTTTTCCGAATTTGGAAAACCAGGTAACCCGAAAACAAAAACGTAACTACAAATTAAACAAATTTAAAGACGTTTTTAATCATAAAACTGAAACTAGCAAAAAAAAAAACGTTTTCAGAGTCTAGAACGAAGCCCAAAATCGGGCCCTGGCATCTGCTTGTTACATTATTATTATTATACGTGTGTTCAAAAAGTCGTCGTCTTATTTTACTCAGCCGCATCCGAGTTCTAATTAAGAAGATAAGTAAATACCGTTTAGACCCACACGTTTATAGTGGATCCCTCCGAACCTAAGGTTTTTTCTAATGTCGTTCAATTTACAAATACCACCTTAAGCTTGATATTACCTTGAGAGGATAGACAGGGCATACCTGCGTTGTTGCAACGGGTCATATATATAATATATTGTTAAGTTTCGGGAACCTGTTTCTCGACAGAGACACTCGGCATAATATAATGTATATTATGTTGATAATATTGGTTTGAGTGTGCCTACTCCACCCGTGAGAAAGCCATCTCAGAGGTCTTGGGAGCTACTCTAAGTGTATTGGCCAATATATATATGTATACTAATTATTTAGTATACAGCGACGATGGAAAATCGGTGTAAGACCAACGGTGGGCGGCAATTAATAAAATCCATTAAGTATATAGACAACGATAATTAATCACACCCGGTATATACCTATATATTATTTATTATAGTGTGTGTTTTATTATTGTTCGTAGGTGTATACGTTTCACACTCACCTGGGCTATACCTCGTTTACCTCCAGCTCCCACCCTACATATATATATAGTAGGCGATATAATAGTATATCTCCTCGACGTCTGCCGTATGAATTTGCCATTTTTTTCCCTTTGTTTTTTTTTTTTATACTTGTAAATCCGTATATTTATGTGACGTTTTGATTTAAAAGCCTCTTCTTCCTGGGGCGACCTCGGCGGTCTGCCGTACCGTCTTCACAACCACCGTTTACATACCATAGTGTGGAAGAAGTGAAATTCTTTTTTTTTGCCCATGTCGGTGGTGAATCGTCGCCATTCACAAGGTGCACACCGGAAACATAAGGTCGTCTCCATAATAAATATTACATTATACAGACACGGAGAATAGGTCTCGAGCACATAACACGCATATTGTGGGGTAATATACAGTAATGTGATCTCTATCGGGACGAGTCGGACATTTTTATCAAACTAGTGTTGACGGCCTTAAAAGCCGAAATAAATTACACCCGATAACACATACACACATGTGCATATGTAGTGTGTACTATTCTATGTACTATAATATAGATATAAGCTTCTTCCACAAAGGGTTGGCTCGACAACCCGCGGTCGAGTATGTACTCTGACTTTCGACTGCAACCCTTTTTTTTAATTAATTTTTTTTTAATATAACATATTATTTAGTGTTCATACGTTGGTGGTGGTAAGTACGCAAGAATATATAATATGGATTAGGGAGGGTGTCTCGATTTGTTTTCTGACAAAAACGTCCAAAGTCTGGTCCGAGTTGGAATATTATTATGTACTTTATAAATGAGTATTCCATCAAATCCCGTACACCGTTTGATTTGCTAAAATTGTAGAGAGAAAAAGGATTTGGACGGCCAAATTCATTTGAATGGGTTAAGGTGAATCATAATAAGAACTCAATTGTAAAAATACCGGAACTGTTGATATCAAAAAGTAACCAATTCAATATTTTAAATATAACTAAATCTAATTGAGTTAATTTTTAACCTGTGTTTAAGGCACAGATTTAAAATTAAAGTTTAAAACTTAGGATGTGAGGTGGAGTATGGTAGAGTTAATGCGCGCAGATAAAAAATAATACTACAGTCCACCTTTCCTCCCGTCCTTTTATTTAAACTTTAATAACTTTAAAAAAAATTATCCAAAACTGGTTATCGACTAGTCAAAATGTTCTGTAAATTATTCTTAAATTAAAAAGTTAATTAAATATGTACGTTACCACTTAAGTTTCAAAATTGGATAGAGCTCTGGAAGATACTTAAAAAAAGTAAATATTTTGTAATTTTATAATATTATAAATCGCATAAATAAAAAGGTTTTCATAAAGAAGAACTACAAATATTTTTCGAGGAAAATCGGTGTCCTAACCACTGTATATTAGAAAAATATTAACCTCTACAGTTTAAGTTTTTATTTTAACTAAAACATAACCACTACAAAATTGGGTAAACGTTATACACCATAAAATACAAGTATACTGTAGTTTTTCATCAAATTCATTTTTATTCATTAAAATTTATTAAAAGTTTTCACAAAGAATATATTACCAAGAACAAAACAATGATGATATATATTAGCTAGTTTTATTCGTTTATTTATTTTTTTTTTTTACAAAAAAAAGTTTAATCGTTTTTTTTCTTAGTACTTGTGGTAACAATAATAATTATTGAAATTGGGTTTTGAACATTATACTTTTGGGTTGCTGAGAACTGTACAAAACCATGTACAGCTCTGATATTAACACGACAATCGACGAATCATCCCCTTCAAGTTGTGTCTGAACTCAAATATGATGTGATACTGACACGCGATCAACTTCAATGTGCAAACATCTATACTCCGGCAACACATACACAGTATACATTTTAGTTTGTCCAAAGTTTTGCCGGTGGGAATTGTAAAAAATACACTACTATTAGGTATATGATATAATACATTATTATATCATTTGCATTTGGAAGCGGTTTCGCTTGTACTACATCGTTGTATTTGGTTTCCAAACTTTAAACAAACATTTTACGACCGCTTTTCGGTCTACTACTAAAAGTTTTAATGTATATTTTGAAATGTCAAATGTGAAACCATCAATGGCTGTGACTTATGTAGAGCTGGGGCTTCAACATTACTTTCGACCGCTTAGCCTCTGTGTATACACAACGCAGTTGGTGTATGTACACTATGTACCATCAAGCGGCATCCATTCAAAACTTAATGCCAATGCATTTCCAACAATGCCCGGCTCTTGTGTGTAAATAATAAACACCGAAAACCAGAAACGAATCACCAGCAAGTTACCGATGAAATAAGTTCAAAAATAAATTTGATCGATCATATCTGATTTCATCGTTCTTTTTCGACATCAAAAAAAATATATTTGTGGAAATCAGAAAAGGTACAATAATTATACACGCTTCGTGGCCTAAGCGTGTGCGTTTTATGGTCGCTCCTGTCTTTGAAGACGTTTAACGGTTTGCTTTTTTGTTTTATTTTTTTTTATCGACAACCGTCTGACAAACATTGTTTACACTCAAAGTCGGCTGTTCCGTGAGCCAAAATATTCGACGTGGGTGTTCGCCGCGTTCGACCCGTCTTTATTATATGTGAATAATAACGATTTATCATTTCATAGGCTTGCGCCGGACGCGTGCTTAGGAATTTCGATTGTGTCCATCAGCCAAGTGAGACAACCGTTTTAATCTGATTTACCTATGAAAGGCCACACGTATAAATATAGATATTGTATGGTACAGGCTAGTTGTCACATAGGTTCGCGACCGAGGAGATGCGCCGGTTAAGAATTTTCGATAACAATTTTTAACTTGAAACGAGTCCACCGAAAATAACATTTTAATTCCTATTTGTAAGAGTACAGACAACTGAATATAGTTTGTATGTATTATGTACCTACAGACTACAGTATAGTGTAGACCTTGCTGAAAACAAGGTAGAGACTAGAGGCATACTATCTATAATTAATATCCCAATAAAATAATATTTTATTAATTAGGTACTAATTTATCTATTTAAAAAAAATCAATTTTAAAAACATTTTTAATTTCTGTTCATTGTACATTTTGGTTAAACAAATGTAGATTATGTAAAAAAAAAAAAGATTTAATTAACTAAATGTATTGAATCATTTAAATTTTAAACAGTATACTATCAAATAAACGTAAAATTATTACCAATAATTTATTATTCGAAATAGTATATTGTATATAATATTTTATGTACAATAACAAATTATTTATTGCAATAAAAATGTATTTTTAATAACTCTTTTTTTATTTCGTTACGTTAAAAAAAATTCTTAGGTTGCTTGATTGTAAAACCAATAATAGGTACACGTCTCGGTGGCTCGTCTGAGTTGTAAAAGAGATACTTTTACAATGTGTATTATGGTACCTACAGTCAATTTTCTTAAACACCCATTCTTATTAGTTATTACTTATTATCATTATTTAGTATACAAAGCCGACGGTTTAAAATTTCTGCCGGCGTTTAAACACCATAGCGAAAATCGTCGTCTGGTTTTTTTTTATGCATTCCGTGTCTCGTTTAGAGTGTTAACAAAAACACAAACAAAAATTCTATTACCGACAACGCTAAACGTCGTTGATCTTATGCGGACATTATTAAATGCATTGTAAATGGCGTGCTGACCTGTTCAAATGTAGCGGCATAATAATATATTAAAATATTATAGCCTGTGAATCGTTCGGTGATATTTTTATTATTGCCTTGTCATAGAGCACCTGTCTTACCTATACGATTTTAATAATATCGCTGTGTAATGTGAACGTTCGTCTGCCGACTGTTGCAGGGGATTACCTGAAGGAGAAGTACGAAGGAGCCATCGAAGTGAGGGCCACCAGACGGGGAAGGTTGCAGATCAGAGACCCCAGGTTCAGTCTGCCGACGGCCAGCGATCTGGTGTACATCGACGATTCTCCCAACTACTGCATAAGAAACATCACAGCCGGTTCAATAGGTAATTATAGTGGTAATTCCACGATGGCAGTAATAAGTGTACATCGGGGATCGCGTTAAGTCTCCTTTGTCCACCCCAAAAAAAAAAAAAAAAAATAGCGGTAAAAAGCGGTCAGATTTGTAACCTCTGAATTCGGTTAGGTGCAGCCGGCATAATATAAAGGCAAGGCCGGACAATGAGTTTTACATAGTAATACCTAATTATAATTTTAATTCAGTCGAGTCGACCAAAACAGTTATTACCTACCTATATAACGGGTCAAAGGTTCACGAGCGAGTCGAAACCTCGCTGACCTCTTAGATATTTATATGTTTTTAAACAAAATTTTTTTTTTTTTTTTTCTTATTTGTAAAACATGAACAATATTATGAAACGGTGAGTCACAGAATCGATTCCGGAAAAATCATACGGGTCTACCAAACTATATATCTTTATTGAACGTCGTTTGGTGTTTTTAAGCTAGTTTACCTATATATATTTGTTTGCCACTCGGAGTCCGTTGCCCTAACCACAGTTGAGACTGAAAGCACTATTGTTATTTTTTATTAATTATAATCGGTTTTTGGTTGGTTTTTGACATTTTTATGTCTTAGCTATGGCACATAACCGAAAAAAGCGTAATCAACGGAAGATAGGGGATAGGGGTGGGAGATAGGGGTGGGAGATAGGGGTGGGAGAAAGGGGTAGGAAATAGGGGGTTGGGAGATTGGAGTAAGAGATATGTTGTACGTACAACGTTCAAAATAGAACTAAATGATAGTTTAAGGGCCCAAATTCTCTATGAATTGTTTTAAGCCAGATATTAAGCACTACAATTTTAGCCAGAAACTTGATGTTTTAATATACTAGCTTCTTACTGCTTCTTAATATACTAATGTATCTATTTATATATCTATAAATTCACCACTACTCTAAATTTATTCGGTACTTCAACGAGACACGATCAATGCTCTTTCGTGGTTGCAGACTCGGCTGAAAAATTGTTTCTTTAATATATGGTGTCAAATAATTATTTTAATAATGTAAACTAAACTTTTCCGTTGAGAAAAAGAGAGAGTGTGCCTACAGTGTTGCTGTTTAATAAATTCTTTGGGACTTTACGTTTCAATACCAGATGTTCCTTGGCGTTAGTGGTTAGCGATCCCCTACGACTGCGGACCGACTACGTTTCAATACCAATAATAGTTTCAAAAAAAGTTAACCGTATCATAATTCTTTGAAATATAATGCAATATTTTTTTTCGCAGGTACCCAAGGCCGCGAATGCAACCGCACTTCGCACGGGATGGACGGATGCAGTCTGTTGTGTTGCGGCAGGGGATACAACACCCAAAGGCAGGTGACGAAGGAGAGGTGCGAATGCAAATTCCACTGGTGTTGTTACGTGCAGTGCAAGACTTGTGTGCGCAACGCCGAAGTGCACACGTGCAAGTAGAACGCGGGACGGGATTTTTTTTCCATAACACTATAGCTATACCGAACGAAAAGAAAAGAAAAATGAAAAACATCACAAGACGAAAATATTGATTTTTATTTTTTGAACAGCATCATCGAACGCGCGTTAGATCTCAAAACGAAAACTTTCGACTTTCTCGAAATCGTCCCACCCCCTCCCCCCCTTGTCTTCTTATTTATATAAATATAGGATTTATAAGAATTTTTCAATTTTTTTTTTATTATTATATATTATTACAAATATGTATATGACGTATTCATACTATTACGATTTTTTTTTTTTGTCTCTTCGAACACATTATACGACTTTTGCAAATTATTTTATTTTTATTTACTTTAAAAGATATAGCTACGCCAACGTTCCGGGCGAGACTATTATATTATTATTATTATTTATTACTATTATTATTATTATTAACAAAGTGCGGATTTATTTTGTTTTTTTCTGTTATCGGACTATTTAGAAATATTTAAAAAAAAAAAAACCAAGCGATAGACATTGTAAATATTAATAATTAATATTTTTTAACGTTAATGTAGTTATTTATTAAGGCTATTTATTCGGTTTCGCCGTTAGTCGACCGAGACACGGGTTATAGCCAACAACTAGTATGTAATATTATAATATAGTAGACTATTTATTTTATGTTATTAAGACTTTTGTTTTTCTTCGAAAATTCGTCATTTTTTTTTCTTTTAGCAACTTCTTAATATACAATATTATACGTGTAATAATTTAAAAAATATATCTTTCATTATAATTTCTACACATGTAGTAGTTTATCGTATAGAGTTGTGCACAAATTGGAATAAGAAAAAATATATAAATCACAAAAAAAAAACGTTGTACTTTATTTTTATAATTGTTTCATAACGCTTTTGACTTTTTTCTCGTCTTTTATTAATTCTCGTCTACGATTCAAAAATTATTTTTCTTAACAAAAATATTAATTAAAAAAAGTTTCATGCCGAGTTAATGTTTGCATTACATTTTTTGGTTAACTTAATTCAATATTTTTTTAATCCACCAAGTCTTAAAAAAAAAAAGCCATTAGTAGGTCAACCTAACACAATATATTAGATAAATTCAACTTTATTTCTAAGATAAATAAAGAAAAAAAAAAGAAACTTAAAATAATACTATTATAGAAGAATTTCGATTTTATTTGTTTAATTAAAAATTGTAACTATAAATTCAGTAAGTTTGAAAGACACGAAAATCACACATATAATTTAAAAATATAGTTATCACTTATCGTAATAATAGTAATAAACACACATACACACGTAGTATGACATATAGTTTAAATGTGAATAGATAGTTATTTATATAATATATGTACAAATATTCAAATAAAAAAAATATATATAGTTATATAACATCACAAAATAATAATTGCGAAGTATTTTTTTGTTTTTTTAATGTACAAATTTTACTATAATTTGATTTGTTCTTTGACCCAATTCTCTTTTACAATTAGAAAAGGTTTTTCTCTTTGAGAATTTATACTTTCATATTTTTTGATATGTTTCGGATTACTGAAAAACAAAGAATAATGGTTAATTTTGTTAAATATGTAAATAAGAAAAACAGTGCATTGAACAAACCTCGAGTGAACTAGAACGTGTGTGGTATCGTTATTTATTTCTTTGCACACCGTACCGCCGTTAAATTTAAAAATAATCATTTCCAGAACTGAATTGGTATGGAAATTTCTGGTCGGTAAAGTATCCTAAAAAATAAGTAATGATAATAATTAATAATACTTGCACTTCAAAACAACATTTTTCAATAATAATCTGCTACTTACTAGGTTTAAATCGTCAAAGTATACTAAACATTTGCCAAACGCTTTAAAACAATGGACTTCACTGAATAAATCTTTCTGAAATTTAAAAAAACTCTCCTCCGTGACGTTAATGTCCTAAAATGCAGTTTAAAGTAATATATTGTTATTGCCTATAAGCATTATCATAATATCAATGCATACGTTCAATTCGACTTTATCCATTGCACTCCGTAGACTTTCGACGGTTGCCTCCTTGGTGAAACTATCGCCATAAGTGTCGTACTCTACATCCATCAGTATTTTATGCTCCTTAGACAAGGCCAGCACATGCTCTGGTGTCCAATTAAGGAACTCCTCATCATTAAAACAATACAACATCCATTTTGTTTTTATTATACTGTGTTCTCCTTTTTTTTGTATAGCGTTGACCCGCATTGATTTCAGGTCGTTGGCGAGCACGCAAAAGGTGTTGTTGCCTGTAAACGTATAAGAAAACAAAATTAACTATTGAAACATGCTCGCTTTTAATTTGTCTATACCGGGATTTTGAACGAAAGAGCCACCAAGCTCGTGAATTTTCCGTTCTATTTGAGCTTTAGTCAAATGCTCACAGTCAGACATAACGCAAAACTCTTTGCCTTCAAGCACTTCCGACGTTGTTGTTACGTCACACAAATCAGGCGCTCGAAACTGTTTGCTCACGCTAGCAACTGTTTGAGCTTTCCTCACTTTATTTGGTGTCTGTCCTTCCATGATGTGATCCTGGCACAACATGCCGTCCGTTCGCTGTCAAAACAGTAACAAATTGTTAAATACATATTTTTAGAAAAAAATTAAAAAATATTACGGACCACTTTAATCGCATTGAATTCCTCCACGGTCATACAGTGATTCCACGGCTTATCATATCGTACTTTTTGAATTCTGGGGAATCTCAGCACGGTTCCAGCTTTAAACAAATTACTGGTAACAATTTCTGTGGCTTTTATCTGTGGACATGTCAAATAAAACAAATCATGGCTTATCATTTTCGAAATTAAACGAAAAGGTCTGCACGGTATGGTCAGGATCATAGGTATTAGAAGTTATTATAACTAAAAGTGATAAAAATACTCTGCAAAAAAACTTCAAAACTTGAGATTGTAAAAACTATTAAGTGTTTATATAAATCATTTTTACACAATAAATGTATTAATAATCAAGCCATTTTAATTTTTGGAGTTGTTTTGATTAAAAATGTTTATCTACATACTTAAAAATTAAATTTAAAAAATATTCAATTCTACGAATGTCATTTATTTTTTATATCAAGAATAATCTACTAAACATTTTTAGTGGTTATATATTAGTGGTTAATATAATAATATTAAACATTTTTTTCTCCAATTTTAATATTATTTTCAAAAAAAAAATTCTCATCTTGTGCACATAATTAATACATCATTTAAAAAGTGCAGTAAACAAATATGTCAAATTTTAAAAATTATTTAGGAGACAGAAAAAACTTTCTAAAAAATTAACAAATTATCAAAAAATTAAAAACGTTATACCATTATTTTTATAAGAATAAAATACATTAATTAAAACAATTTTATTTACTATACATACCATATTCATGACAGTTTAAAAAACAGATTATTGTACTGGATAGAAAACCAAAACTAATAGGAATGTCAGGAGCAATAACCAATTATGTCACCTGGTTTATGCACCCAACAGAAATTTAAAAACAGTAATATTTTATTTTAATACTATTTGTTGGACGGATTGATTCTTGCACTGATGGCTAGAGATTATTTTTTTTTAATATTTTTATTTGAAAACATAATTTTGGAAATATCTGGTTACTGCACTGGTGCCTTCATTATTGTACAAAAGCGATTTTGTTTGTAATCTCATAAGAATGTTCATTTATAAACATAAGAATAATTATAATGATGTCATCAATCTATACAATACATTGTCATTGTAAAATCAACAACCAAAGCTAAAACGAAAACTACAAAAGTGCAAACCTGTAATATTACAGACGATTCCGGTTCTATCCAAAGATCAGGTTTTTCTTTATTGAAATTTATATTGGCAGGCATTATTTCGGGTTTTACTTTTATCCAATGCGTGGCCAATGTTCTTGATAGGTCTTCTAATTCTTCCATTTTACATCCTGAACCCACTCGTCCAATCGAAGTAAATTTCAACATACCGTCATCTATGTGTATTTCAAAATTAAAAACTAAACAAATTATATTGACTATATTACGTACTGTTTTCCATTAGACCCATGAGAAAATGACTAATTAAATCTCTTTTTTTTCCTTTGCCATAATAACCGCCGATGATCAATAGATCAAATTCTGATAAGGCCCCTTCTGTATACTAGAAAAAAAATAAAAAAATGTCTAACATAAAAAGCAAACAAAAAAAAAAACCAAAATTAGTATCTTACTTCTGGCTTTATTTTATACCATCCGGCGGTTCGTACGCCTGGCTTGTAAATCGATCGAGGGTCTTTTACAACAATGCCTTCATCTCGATTGTCAATTGCATCGTTTAAGTACTTTAATATTTCATTTCTAATTATAAAGAAAAACTCATAAATAATAATAATTATAATAATATTTTCCCAACACGTTACTTTTTTGCAATATTTCTCGAAGTTAACATGAAAATTCCATCCAATGGTACAACAATTTTCTCAAGGATTTCTAATCGCTTCTCTAAAGGCTCGTTGGTCAATACTTGACTGTTTAAATACAAGACATCAAAAGCACAAAAACACGGCCTATGGGAGTTGCCTTCTCGCAAGTGTTTTACGTCAATATTTTTAGCTGAAAAAAATTTGTATTTTAAAAATTAATTTGATTTAAGTAACTAATGTAATATTTACCTTTAGTTGTGAACGATTTTAATTTTTTGTTGTAGCACATCATCTCGCCGTCCAAAATACAGCTTTCGACATTAGATTTAAACACTTTTGTTAGATGTGGACTTAGTACGCCACTCGACGTGTTACAACCAAACGTGTCTGTATAATCGTTTCCCTTACTTAAAAAAAAAAATTATCATTTAAATTTATTCGTTTACCAAAAATTATGATAAAATTTAAAATTTACCGGCTGAAGTATTTAAATTGATTTTTGTCCCAGTGCAATTGAAACCGTTCACCGTCCAATTTGGTGTCCACGTAAAAAAAATCACTTTGTGATTTTATGATTTTGTCTACGTCGGTAACATCACATTTCTGGCTCAACATCGGTGCAAACGGGTCAAATAAATTTATTGAGACCTCATGAAGTCGTACATCTGGATTGTTCAACATCTGGCAAACCTATAAATAATAGTTTACAATTTTTTTTTAATGATTTATACAATGGGGTTTTCTTTTAAATATATTACTTTTTTTAGACTGTTGCTAACATCGTACAAATCATTAGCGTCCTGATGGTACACATTAAGGATTTTTTTGTGTGCTACGCCTAAACGCATGTCTTTTAGTAATAATCTGATTAGCCACTTTTGTTGGATTGCACTCATTTTCACAAGCAATATTTGTAAAATATTTTCAACTTGTCCTAATAATAATAATAATACAAATTCATTAAAGAAACGTTATTTTAATTAATTTGAAAAAAAGTTATTACTCGGTTCATGAGCAGCGTGTTTCGATGCAATATCGTCTAAGTGTTGATTTACTTCATGCAGAGTTAATGTGCCTTCTTCTTCGAACCGTTTCTTAACCACCCAAAACACGGTATCGGCAAAATCACCAAAAGAGCCGCTAGCATTAGTTGGAATTCTGTTGCAATTAAATAATAAACAATTTTAATTAAAAAAAAAAAAAAACTAAAATTTGGTAAGTATAATTTTATTGATTTGCACCTGAAATTGGTGAGTTTTTGAGCATCCTCGCTGTCCTTAGCTAGACAGAGTATTTTGACATACATTTTGCCTAACATGAATTCTTTAACTCCATAGGTTCCTCTTTCCTTGTCTAATGCTGGAAGTAAACACCTTAGAATTGGATAAAATGTTTCTTCCTGAAATTATTATTGTATAATTACTTATTAACAACAATGCAAAATAATATTGCTGAAATCACTTACAATTTCAACGTCAGAGCTTTTGTCAACAGACCCTCTACACATGGCGATAAACTTTTGGAGAATGCTGATTTTTTTATCATGTTGCGATGCTTTATATATATCCTCACACGCCCGGCAAAATAATTTAAATTGTATTTTCCCGGGTGCGGTTTCCATCGTAATTGTCAACAACAAAATTCTATTGTACAGAAATGTTTGTTAATAATCAATAAGTATAAATATTTGTTTAATTTTAAGAATCATAATCCATAAATCACATCGTTTCATAATAATAAAAAAAAAAAGATTCAATGAATGTGGTTTAACCTTTTTGTATTTAGAACAAAGAACTTAAACAAAAATTTACAATTTAATTAGTATAAATAACACATTTTCACATTTAGGCGTAGCACATAAAAAAAAAAGAAAAACATTTAATTTAATATAAGTCAACTATCAAGTTAAACTTGAATGCGACCAAGATACATAAGGGCAACTTCAATATTTCCAGAGTTTTTGTAAATCAAATGCAAATTATAGGCTGCCGCTTGTTTTAAACATTGTTCTTGTTCAAAAGGTTCTATTTCCAAAACTTGTTTATAGTAATGTAAAGCCTTTGAGACCATGCCGACTTGATGATGTGCCCTAGCAATGTTGTAGTAACATTCTTGTTCGCGGTCTACACCTCGATGTTCTTTGTATTTCATTAAGAAACCAATAGCTTGAAGAGTCAAACTGTGCCTTTCTGTACCCACTTTAAATGTACACAACCTGAGCACAACAACTCCTAACATGAAGTATAAAGAACTTTTGTCTTCAAATTTGCTTAAAAGTTCTGTATACCTGGAGATTATCAATTGATAGTTATACGTATCGTTAAACACGTTAGTATCGAGAATGTTCAGGGCAACATTATCCGGATATTTAGCGGCTAGACGAAAAATAAACTTTGCCTGTTTTTTCACAGAACATCGTTTAAAGAAAAAATAAAACAGATTTGCCAATTGAGGGGCTTGTGGGTATTTCATCAACAGATATTTTGATAACATAAAACCCAATTTGAACGCACGGACTTTATACGAACACTGTATAGCGTTTAATATTATATTATGATTGTAAAGGGCAAATACAATAGAATTCATGGCTGAAAGAAGTAGTTTCAAAGCTTCATAATTGTAGTTTTTCATTATACATTTCTGACAAACGGTATGAAACAAATTCCATTCTTCTTCAGCTGTAGGTAATGGGTTTGCCACAGAAAATTTGTCTGGTCGATAGTCTCCTGAATCTTTCTTCATAATCAGCAACGTGTCATGCCTATATTCTGTATTTTGGATCGCTACCATCGTCTTTACTTCTCTTAAGGAATCTACTGGTATACAGTGGCGGGATAACATTAACTTAACAATTTTCAAACACTCGTCAAACATTTCATCTTTATCAACAATAGCTGAAGCATATTCGTACAAAAACCGGCAATCTTGATTATCAAAATTGTCAAGACGCAATATTTCCAAACTTTCCTCTATTTTGTTCAATTCTTTTAAAGACATGTAAAGATCAAATTTGACTTTTAGTTGCTTAGGATTTTTCACAAGCAGCATATTGTAACTGTCAACAGCTTGCTCCAATCGTCCTAGAGTTTTTAAACAGCTAGAATATTTGATTTTAATTGTCGTAAGATCGAATTGCTCATTTTTGCAATCCACTAATTTTTCTAGGAACAAAATTGCATGACTATGTTGGTTATGCTCAAAAAAAACATTAGCAATATCTAAATGATATTGGCTTGCTTCCGGTAAGTCTAAAAGAGGTTGATAAATCACAGGCAGTATTGAAAAAGCTCCAAGATGTATCAAGGTTTCTATTAGTTTTACACGTACTACCATGGGCAAATTAGGCGGAACTACACATTCCACTACTTCCGTTATAGTAGCTGTATTGTCGTTAATATCGGCCACAAACTCGATACTATAATACTCAAACATTAGCTCAAAACATTTTTTGTAGCTCTTACTTTGAATAAGGTAACCTAAACATTTAGAAAATTCCTTAGGGTTTATATCATCTGGAAAAATACTGAATAAATATATCATTATGTTTGATGCACGTTCGTAGTTTTTATTTTTAACAAAATTATCTATCAATAATTTGGAAAGACTCAAAATTGATTCTTTCTGTTCAGGCTGTAGTTTACGCAATAGACGATCATATTCATTTAAAACACTTTTGGCTGTACCTAACTGTTCTAATATCGAAGCTCTTTTAATGTGAAGGTCTACATTACGTTTATCTTTTTTAACAGCTTTAGTCAAACAAAATTCAGTTAATTCCAACATATTGTTTGCTTCACAAGTCTCGCCTAACAATACCCAATCTTCAGACGTTACACTACTAAGGCTATTGCCGATCACAGCAGTTTCTAAGCTTTTTTTCATATCGCCCAATTGTTCATAGATATCTGATAATGTAAAAAACGGTTCAGAAGCATTTGGACATTCTTTTAATATGTTTATACATATTTGAATAGCCATGTTATAGTTTTTCGTCAACATAAACATTTTGGCTTGTCCAATTAGTCCCCTCAGCGCTAATGGAATCTTGCCCATTTGTTTGGATCTAGGACCCTCCACTGCTTCATCATCACTGCTGCTTATTTTCCTCTTGGTACTAGAAGTAGCTTTATTTTCAGACTCCACCTTGACTTTGTCCTGATTCAAATTGTAACGCTGAATGGTGTTTCCTTCGAGATTATACACAACGGCCAGTTCTTCTTTTTCTGAAGAACCTGCAGGAACTTCGATCGTGGTTTCTATAGTAGCCGCTTCGTTTTCTGGTACTAATAACGAATCGAATATGTCATCGTCGGGAAAACTAGAACTTCCGAATTCCTCTAAAACGACTTCCGGGGAATCATCGTCCAAGACGACTTCCATGTCATCAAAATTCAACAATTTTTCTGCCATATTATAGTTCACAAAGTGTAGGGGGAAAAGAGAAAAAACGAAAATATAGTGACTTACCAAGTTTACAAGTTAGTGGATGGCCGTACAGATTTGGGATTTTAAATAGTAAACATATAAATATGGTTTGTTTTGGTCGTTATCAAATCGTTATCACAGAATTGGGATAAAATGAACATAGCAACACCGCGGAAACGTAACCAAGGTTTTGTTTGTTTACTAGATTTTCCGTTACTAACTTCAGATTATTGCCTTTTTTTTCTATTACAACTGCTATTCGTAAAAATCGTTGATACTTCATAGTGCATACTGCATAGTGCATACTTGTAATTTAATCGTTGGCGGTTGGCCGGACCAAAATCAGACTACGGTGGCGGGTGGAGTCAGGGTTCGGACTAGACTTGGATGATGTGACGACTGACGTTACAAAAGTCAAATTTGTGTTAACAAATTTTTACTTTGTTGACTATAGTTTTAGTTAATTATTTTCAATGTTGACGATACAAATGCGGTGACGAACAAAAACAATGACTGACATGGCCGATGAATCGTTGTATTCGGACGAAGAACTTTTTGGCAATGGTAAGTTTAGTTCAGTACATGAGTTAAAAAAATGTACTGACCCCTTCAATTGTAACTTTAACTGTTGGCATTTAAATTAAAGATTATTCTAGAATATCACAGTTACTGTAATGAATCGGTGTAAGATTAATGTAAAAATTGGATTCCTTATGTATAAATAAATTATATGCAACATATTTTTGGTTAAAAAAATATATAATAAAGCTTTCACACGCCATAAACCAGAATAGGTATAATGTAATATAACACATAACATTCAATATTATCTTGGTGTGCAAATAATAATTTATATTAACAATTCATTTTTTTCTTGCAAATTATCATAACACAATATCCAAATGCTATTTCATTATTTAAATTTATTTTGCTAATAACAACCTAACACAAATTTATGGGGGAAAGATCAAATTTACCATTTTAGTTAATTAAATTATTTTTTTGATCTTTGTTTTTCTTATTATATTTAAATAATTGTGCTAACATTTATTAGTTTTTTATTTTTTTATTTAACATACATTTTGAAATTTCAATATTTAAAAATGTTTATCTATTCGAAATTGAATAATTGTTTATTGTTATTATTTAGTTGTTGTAATATATAGGTCATGTCCAATATAGGATTCATTAAAACATGAAATAGTATCTCTATACTCGGTTGTAAAATAAACAAATTATTATTATTCAGTTGCGAACTACTTTTTTGCACTTGAATAATTAAATAAATATTTTGAATAGTGTATTTGTTGATATAATTTTGTATATCTTCTCTGCATAATTGTTTGAATATTCATTCAAACAGGTAGGTCAAAATACAAAACGAAATTCTACTCTTTAATTCTGAATTTGGCATATTTGTATATTAAAAACTGTCTCATTTTACTTAAAATTATTTTTTAATTTGAACGTGTTTTTTTTTCCATTTTATACCTTTAAATGTTACTATTAAAGTTGAACTAATACACTTTTAGGAAATAGTAGTTAGATTAGTTAGTACTTTGTATGCATTATATGAGTGTTAGTGTTAACCTATGGTATAAAATTGAATTATTTATTGTTTAGATTCAAATGAATGTGTTGTTACATTGACCAGTTCAGTTAGCTACGAGGATGAATACCAATCATTGTTATTCCATAATAGGGATAGAATAATATCGAAATTAAAATATGAACTCTCCAACGTACTGCCTCCACCACCAACAGTAACCACCTGCAGATTAAGTGTAGATGATATACTTAAGAGATGGTATGAATATCAAAATGTGAAAACACCATCAAAAAAAATTGAAACTAAAGAACTGAAAAATATCGATAGAGCTATTAATTGGCAATGGCCGGAAGTTGTTAATGTTCAATGTTTTGATGTTTAGTAAGTATATAAATTTAATATAATATTACTTTAACATAACCTGTATTTTGGTTGAAATTTTAAAAAACAATGTTTGTTTTTTTATACAGTTATTATGTTGATAATAAATCTGCAGAAATGGCGTCGTTAGAAATGAAGTACCAACAACGATATGTTACCAACGAGACCAAATCGCTGATGAACACGGGCCGTACACCTCTACCCAAAAGGGAACGGGGTCTAGCTAGACAACAACCAAAGCTGCCGGAACAAAATTTATTAGTACGTAGAAAACTCGTCTCCAAACCACAAATTTTGGCTGAAGCTAAGGCAAAATTAGCTCTTGTCGAAAACAAACGTAGAATTCTCGTTCCAGGGTGAGTAAATTGTAACAAACAAACATTTTGCGTGTATATTTAAACAAAATTCTATTTTAGAAAATTGAAGAGAGACAACATAGTCAAACCCCTCGAAAAAAGTTATCTTGAAAATAAAAATGACAGTGTGAGATCGACTGGTCATAAAAGAGCATTGTTCCAAAGTCCTGAAACATATTTTCATTCTCGAAAGCGTATGTGTTATAGCCAAAATACAGAAGCAGAATCGCCTAGTGCTTCATCAATTTGCAGTGATACGTCAAACACTACTCCAGTTAAAAGGTAAAATTAGTTAAGTTTTCAATTTTTATAAATAACTAAGTACTAGATATTTATTCTTAAAAAAAGTATCTGAATAAAAATCAAATCAAATATAAAATCACCAATATTAAGAGGACGTTTTTTTAGTTTGTATTAATAGTAGAGTTACAAAATTTATACTGTTCACTGAGAAAAACTTGTGGTGCAGTGTTTTACTTTTTTTTGATAAATACAAATTATTCATTGGTGGTGTTTTTTTTTTTTAATTTTACATTTTTTATTAAAAGTTTGTGAGTATTAATACTTAAAAAAATAAAAACACTATGACACAAATAACGTTTTCTTCTTGTATTTTAAAAATTTAATCATTTTACTGTGAATATTGCCTTCATAAGTTCATCCCTCGTAAATCAGTTTTGAAGGGAAAAAAATTATAATGTATCATATAGAAATGACTGATAGTCTGACAAAAAAATATTAATTATGATCAATAAAGAAACCTCATTACTGTATTAATTAGTGTACACTATAATTCATGCTCTAAAATAAGATTTTGTGAAAAATTGCTTATACTTGACTCTTAGAAACGGTGTCTTCTTAAAGACAAATAGGTATAACAGTTGAAGTTGTTATTTATTTAATATTTATTGCTTTTGTGTTATTGATTTTACAATTTACAAATTAAATGAGTTCTGGTTGACATGCATTCAAGAGTGTTAAATATGAATATGCTAATTACTACACCTCCTTCATACATTTCCCTCACTTGAATGCATGCAAGCCGCTACCATAACAATAGCACGGCAAATCGGTATAATATAAAATACATGGCCGGTATACTTTAAGACATTTGTTCGAATTGTAGATGGAGTGTTGCACCGATAAGTACACAATTATTCGATGATGATCATGATAGAAAACCATCTGAAATAAAAACAGAACCAGTAAAAAAATGTCTGAGGGCGTTAAAATTCATTAATAGTGTCGAAACGGCTGATAAAAAAAAAGCATCCGAAACGAGATCTGAACAAAAGGAACTCAGTAAATTGCATAAACAGGTATAGTTTGAATTTATTTTGTATTTTCCTTAAAACATGATTTTCCTAAATAGACATTAATAAATCATTTTTTAAAATAATTTTCAGAAGTTATTATGGGCTGTGTCTGAAGTGTTAAAATCGTGTGGCATTGACAGTCAGCACAATCAATTTCGTTTATTTCTTCGGCAACTGTTCAAAGTTTGTTCCAAGCAATGGTTGGAACAATCGTGTGTCGGAATCAAAACCAGTACTAGTGAAGCGATGCGAGCTTTAGTGATGAAACATAAAAACACAGTTCTAAAATTAAAAACCGTGTCACCTGGGAATTCTTCAAAAACCAAAGACGTCCCTGTTGTAGTCAAACAGAAGTCTGTTGCTGACGTCAGGAAAGTTTTATTTACAGACAATACTCCAAAATCTGACTTTAAGTTTAAAAAATTTGGCTCTGACCTGAAAAAGAAAAGTTCACCAGCCAAGAGCAGTGGTGTCCCCGATAGTCTTGACGACTTGACCGTATTCCTTGACATTACAAAATTACCAACTAAAAACTTTGAGGACGACCGACCTAGCAGGCCTTTATCCTCTACTTCGGACTACTGCTCAAATTTGGATATGGATTCAAAAGAATTGGAAACTTTGTATGCTGGCTAATTATTATATTTTTTTTCAAGCTTAAGACAAATTTTTTTTTTTGTAACTACTAAAATTAAGAACTTTACCTAATATAATTTTTTATTTTTATTTAGACTCACAAATTAACTAGAATTTATTAAATTTGGGAAATTAAGTATATATTGTATATTTACTATATTGTCTTTTAAATATTCTTTTTAGTATTAAATTTTAGTTTATATTTAGTTATCAAAAAAATGATTTGCTTGTTTACTTTACTTAATTATTATCTTTCTATTGACGTTAAATGTATTTTTTTTTTAAAAATTCTCGACTGAATATTTCTTATATCTACAGCTAAGATTGTTTGATCTCTAATTAATAAAATATTATGGATAACAACTCAAAAATATTAATTTTTCGGTACACCTATCAGTTTACAAGTAGAAATACTCAATATATAATTTTTTTGTTTTTATTATATTAATAGTTCTGAAATTTTTGTTTTTATTTTGGTTTTAGCTTTAACTAGATTATATTTAATAGGAAAAACGTTTGTTTTTACAAAACACAACTATCTAAAACAAATTGTTTTAAGTAGTAGTGATTTTTTTTTAATAATGGCGTGTGAGTAACTTTACTTAATGTTCTTTATTCCAAGCCAATCCAGTATGATTTTCCAAATGTTTTAATTATTAAACAGTAAAATAATCCATGCAATATTTTTAAAACTATGTCTTACATAGTCAATGGTTAAAAATGTTTTCTATGACAATATACAAAGAAAAAGAAATATTAAATATTGTTGACTCATTCAGCTTACTAATTAAAACACAATTGAATGCGTGTGTTGTTTATAATTATTTTTCTGTATGAATGTTAAAAAAAAAAAACAATTTTATGAAAAAATATTGTATTTTTATAAATAAATAGTACATGAAATTTTATGATAGTATTTTCAACTTCTTTTTATAATTCAATTGTTAAATGTTGACCTTTTTTAATACCATAATGAATAATTCCTCCTTTCAAATATGCCCAGCCCATTTTCGGAGACGAAAAGCCAATCCCTATGACGCCTTCTCTATTTATAGCAATTGCACCTGCACTGCCGCCCACACGAATTGACAATTTATCGCACTCCATTTGTACTGCAGAGTCCGGCTCAACATCTATTAAATGTATGTTAAGTTCATATCATAAGCACAAAAAAATAATATTGTCACTAATATTAACCTTGGTCTAGATTGGTCATGATACGCTGGGCTAAACAAAAACGCATTATGCTGTCACCGTGGCCAGTCGTCGAAACAGTACCTACTGTATTATCGCAGTAACCTCCAGCACCAGGAATGGGAGTATCACCAACTCGTCCGGCCATTTTACCAGTGATCCCTCCAGTCGATGTGCACGATATCATATGTCCGTTCACATCCATGCCGATGGCGCCAACTGTGCCAACACCACCTCTAAAAACAATGTAAAAATTAAATTTTAAAAGTTGATTTACAGTGAATACAATTTTTATTACTGTCCGATTTCAGTTGTTGTTGGAGCGCCGCCTTTATTTATGAAATTGTCTAAAGCTACTTTAGCCGCATCCGTCATTAAATCCTCTTCACTGACATATTTAAAATTCATTTTGGTAGCAAATTCATTTGCACTTGAACCCATAAGAAAAACATGAGGTGTATGCTCCATTACTTTTCTGGCTAACGCAATCGGATGAGCAATGTTTCGAACGCCAGTTATACTTCCTAAGCATATTTAAGCAAATAATACCTTAATCAAAAATGCTTGAAAAAGACTCGCATATCATCACTTTACTTACCAGCCTTCATGTTTTCACCTTCCATGATCAGTGCTTCCATTTCGATTTCTCCTTTTAAATTCAACACCGATCCTCGGCCAGCGTTAAACGCCTCGTCGTCTTCCATACACTCGACTGCTGCCTGACACGCGTCCATGATTGATGATGTGTTTTTGTAAACAGCATGTGCTCTCCTAATAGCAGCCAACATGCCATCAAATTTTGGTTGGTCGCGATTGTCTGGAATATTGCCTGCTCCACCATGCACGATGATAACTGGTTCATCCAACTTCATCGTAGAGCAGTCAAAAGAAGCACACTAATTTACAACAAGGGTTCTGTATGAACTGTATCTCAACATAAAATAGCCAAATGTTTTTAAAGCACTTACCTTGTCTTGAATAATTTTCTAGTTATAATTGGATAATATACTTACTATAGATAATATTATATTATGTAAACGGCCTAAAAAAAAAGTTAATAAAGTGGTACTATAGCAGGTAATATTTACATTTAATACTAAAACAAATATTAAATACAAGATAAAAACAATTCTGACCGATTTATAAAAAACGTAATGGGTTTGAATTCCGGTAATCGTAATAAAAATAAGCCGGCTTATCAATACATTACAACTTGATTAGTTGTTATTAAAAAAAAAATCGAATAAACGCAGCCTACAGATTAATAATTGTTTATAGATCATTATGATTCAATTGGAACTTAAGTAATAAATCATTGTTAATGTATTTAAAGTGCAGACAATGATAGTACAGGCGCTATTATTCTAACCATGTATATAATAATATGTTGAATATTATGCAGCGTTATTGAATTGATAAATCGAATGAAATAGGATAAAATAATTTATTTATATGTACCTACTACCTATGTATACCTAATAAAAATGAATAGTGTTTAATATTTAATATTAAAGAAAAGATTGTAGATAATGTGATAATTTTTTTTTATAAGTATAACACACTACCACAGTAAAACTACGAGTAAATAGTATTAATGGTAGAGCTTTTTTTGTTCTGAACTTTAGTAGTAGGTATCTGTATCACCGAAAATAATTTTAAAGCCATTAAGTTTCAGATTTTTTTAATTATTGTTTTCAAATGACATGAATCCTATAAGCAGACAAAAATATTTCCCGTCCTATAGACCATAGTTTTGTTAAACATATGTTGGTTTATTGTATTTTTTCTTCAAATTAAAAATAATAAACAAAATCTGTTTCTTACAAACGAGAAAAGACACTACTCCTTTCATCAAGCCTGGCACGCCGAACGCGACCAAGTTATTAGGGAATTTTGACTTTTGTTGATATTTAATATTTTTATGATGTATACAGGGTGATAAATTTAATAAAGTTTACGTTACTTCGAATAGGTATTGAAGAAAATGTTAAATGAGGACTCGGCAAAAGGACAAAAATGTTTCAAATCCTGGTACTTCACCCTCAACCCAAATAACACACACAATTTCTTCTGTGTTTCACCTAAGCAATAGAGAAGCTAACAAGACGTTTCACCTGTTAATTAGTAGTGCTTGTGTTAGCATACCAAGTGAGAACGCACCAAAGTATCTTAGTATTAACCTGGCAGAGCTTTAATTGTAAACAGCATCTAAAAGGGGTCTATATATATAAAATATTTATAAAGGGGATCTATTTAGTCCCAGGTTTTGAATACCCGCGTGTCATATGGATTGTTCAACTTGACAGTTATCAAACAAGGAAAGTGCAATTTTTTTATACATAAATGGGGTTTTGTAGAGGAATGTCCCAATGCTATGTTTGATGAGGCATAGCTAAACTGAATAATGAATAATTTTAGGTAGATTATTCAGGTAGACACCATAAAATTAAAGGTTTACATAGTCCATGTTTACATATTTTAAACATACATTATGCTAGTGTTCAAAACATTACCATTACCAATATATTTCATCTTTATGTAAAATGTATACATAATAACAAATTGATAAGTAACAATTTATTTATTTAAATGAAAACCATAATAAATATAGTAAAGCATATAAACTTAAAAATGTGTAAAGTAACAAAATCAAGAGTACTTATAGTACTCTGAAGAGTAAAGACATTCGGTATGGTGGATTGAGATGAACATTTTTTTTTTAATTTAATTAACAAATATATTATAACGTAACAAAACGAATATCACCAGGGTAAAACATTATCATCACCAATGACTTGAATATAAAATTTGTTTAAAAAAAAAAAACTTATGATCTACCAAAATACAATAAAACAGACTAGATTTTTTTAAATTCATTTTAATTTTATATCCGTCTACAAATAAATAGCTCATTAATTAGTATAGTATATTAATATGATTATTTATTAATCTGTTTTTCTTAAAATGTCATTTTCAGGTCGATTTAATGCCAGTAAAACCTGGCAATGGAGTATACAACTAAGTGAATTCTTGTCAATTTTGGAACTGACTTTTAACCAGTTTTCTAAGTAGGAAACTAAATTTTCTCTAGACGACGAAAATGGATACAATCCTCTAAACATACAAGCCTGAAAAATACAATTAGTTTTAAAAGGAATAATTTAACAATAAAACTAGTTTTGAGAAATAATAGTATTGGGGTATAACGCTAACGAGCAATAAGAGGTACTATTTTTGTCTAGTGGTAGTTAATTTGAAATTTTTAATTTTATAAATAAAAAAAAAAATAGATTAATATAAACTCTATTAGCGGTAGAGTTAGGTAAAAATTATTCAAATAATGAACAATGAATAAAAGTCATGAATACCTGATTATAATGGTGAATACTAAAAAATGTTGTATTTATCAACAACATTATTCATGAATAAATTATTAATTTATTAATCACATATTTTTTAGTATTAAAAATTACTTACTAGTATTTAATAGATAACAGTTAAATGTTAAGTTTTTAGGCTCTTTAGTAAAGTAATAAATTCACAAGTACGAGGTGTTGCTGTTACAACACGTTATAACAAACTATTTGAGTAATATACTTAAGTTCTTTATTAATTCACGTTCATTTATGAAAATAACATACCCACTGCAATTGACGATCATTTAAATTAACAGGACCACCTTCAGCTTCCATTGCTCGATCCATTAACTGTATATATTGAGCTAATTTCTTTAATCGCACTCGCCTCCGCAATCCACGATGCATGTTGTATAATTTTAACAATACAGTCTAGGTGTTAATTACAGAAAATCATTTTAATATATTTTTGAACACCATTATTACTCAAAAAATAAAGATACTTACAATATGTTGGCGAGGTAAAGTACTAAAATGGTAAGGAAACATAGAAAATACTGGTATAGCATGCTGAATGTCATCTACTGGAGAAACACCTCCTGCTGCTAAGCATTCAATTACACGAAACCATTTCAATAGCATGTCGTCTGAACATTCCTCAGCCATCAGACTTAAGTGCCTTAAAATTAAGAAAATAATTTTAATTGTTAACATAGTTTTTAATTAACAAATATGAAGACAAAATACATTTCATTTTATGTTAATATTTATCCTTAAATTGTAAAACTAAATTTATATTAAAGCAGAGTTATATGAATTAATTTATTGAACTTCTCTCACTCAAAAATTCTAACATTGTGTTCATAGCATTTTCTCTGATCTTGTGTCCAAAACTGTTTTTGTTGTTCATCGGTCCAAAAATGTTCAGACAACAAATATTTGGGAAATATAAACCTAAAATGAAAAAAAACCATTTCCTAACCATATACAACAGTTTTATATTTAATTTAATTTAAAAAAAAAACAAAATAAATAAAATGTAATGACATTATAATAAAACCATCGATTGTAATATAATAATTATACTGAATTACATTATTAATTATTAGTTTTTTTAAGTCATTTTTAATTGTTTAATACAATACATTAAACATAATAAAACAATTGTATAAGATTTCGGTATTAAAAATAATATGTATAATTTCCATACCTACAAAATATTAATCCTTGAACATTTAAACAGTATACTATAATATTTAATTTGATTATAACTCAGTTAAATATATATAAACAAAATGAGTAAAAATGTATTTGACTTACGCTAATGGAAACAAAAGAAAGTTTGTAAATGGTATTGGCCAACATAGTAAAATAGGTGTCAGTCGGACAAGTTGCACTGGCAACCTGTACTTCAATTCCAATTCTTTGTATGTTAAAGATGAAAGACCAGAAGTAAAATATTTTTTATAGGCTGACATTAGTACTTGACCATCATTATACAGGTACTAAAATTTGTAATAAAGCATTTTGAGAAAATGTTTAAAATACAAATGTATTCAGTACTACTCACTTTACAACCAAAAACACCGAGTCTGGCGTATTTTGCAGCTGATGGAGATATTTTTTCTATCTTATCAATTAAACGGATACCAAATGAATTTTCTTTCAAGAACTTTAAATCCTTAAGTCTTTGTTCACTATCAATAATATTTTTTTCATTTTGCGTGTTATTTAATTTTACATCCTTTTTTTCCGTGGATCGTGAACTGTTATTAGTATTATCTATATTTGAACTCAGACAAGGTGGAACAGAAGCTTCTGGCCTCGATTTAGTCGGTTCTTTTTCTGGAATTTGTAAATATGGTGTATTTCTAAGAAAGAAAAATACCATAATTATATTACATATAGAAAAGAATATGAATAGTTTTAGTTTTATTTTTATTAGCTCGTTATAAACATCATTATAAAAATACAGCTGTAATTAATTTTATTTATTATCAATCAATATTTTATAAAAGAATCCAACAGCTAACTGAATTTCAATAGTCTATAATTTTAAGTAAAACGTCTGAGGCAAGTGTAAATTATTAAAAACTTTTACTAAATAAAAAAAAATTATTTTTAAATTAGTCGATGTCGTTAGCTATAAATGATTGTGAAACGTGATGGGCAGAACAATGTCCAATGACAAGAATAGTATAATATGGTCATGTTAGGATGCTTAAATGTAAAGATTTCTGATCAAAAACTGGGGGGTGCAAATTAAAAGACTAGATTGTAATAACTCACTTGATAAATCTACAGTTTTTGTACATGAAAGTCTCTACATTTAATAATCTCGAGTTATTAATGCTGATGCACCGCGACGTGTTTAATATGAATTTCATCTTGAAAACAACACGTCTTGTAAACAGATGATGACTGTGTTATTGCTAAAAAAATAAGACACTGAATGTATGTTATGCTATGTTCTAATCAATAATAATTACACCTGCCAAAAAATAATTATAGTTTTAAACTTATGTATTATACCATTTACATTCGTTCAAATTTATTTTTCATTTTCTAAATCGGTTTTTGGCGAAAAAACAAATACGATAAATTGATAACACTACAGCTGAACGCTGATAGCAATTGTACCTTGACATGACGTTATTTTTCATAAAATAGTTTTGTTCTATTAAAAATCATTGTAGTATTAAAAACTAAGGCTATTGTAAATTATACTTGGTTGAGTAATTTAAAAACAATTTAATAATTTGTTTTTTAAAATTTGTGTTAGTTTCAAATATTGTCATTTATACTATCGATATTTCGTATCACAGTAGTCGATATTTTCTTATGATGCCGGTAGCTATCGATAGTAAAAGTCACGCGGTTAAGCTCTGGACTTGGGACTACGATTATTATAATTGCTTCTTTTGTATTGATAGGATTATAATACATCTACTTATTACAGTAGAATAATAGTTTAATAATATTAATTATTTTGTAATCTGTTTTTATACATCTTTGATCACGCCATCCTTTATCTGCTCGTTTAGTTTATATTTTATTTTTCACCGTTCGTCGTAAAACATTTTGGTGAAGAATCTCTTATTAACAAAATACATAACGCTTGTGTCCAAACCGCGTAAGTAACTATTGTTTATAATAACTATTTTAGTTTTATATTATGTTGTTTAACGGTTGTTTTTTTAGATGGTTTGCTTTCAGCTACCAACATTTAAAAATTAAAACAAATAGTTGAATAGTCCTTGTTTTGAACACAATTTTTTAAGGTTAATATTGGATGCTACGATAAAATATTGCACAATATTTGAAATAATATTATGTTGTATTAAATTATAGATAGTAACTTTTTGTTGTTATTGATGTAAGTGTGAATAATACAATGATACTTAAGAATAGTAAAGTACATCAGCAGTACTGAGTAGGAGAAGTATTGACCAATTCAGTTTTAAGACTCGAAATTCGATGTGACTGTAGAATATCTTTTGTTTTAATTATAACATAATAATAAGGTTAACTAGAATTGATAGTGTTGTATAATTCTATTAATTATATAAACAATTAATGTAGTTTAACATCAGGGATCATCACTGGATGGGCCTCTTAAAAAGAACAGTCCTCAAAAATAATAGTAGTTTATAATGAAATAGTTAATAAACAAAAAAATAATTACTAACAAGTGTCTATGACTTGTTCTTGATAACAACTGCACTTTACCAGATATTTTTTTTACCATATCTCAGTGTTTTTTTACGCTGGTTACGAATTTAAAGTCGGAAATTGGCGGACTCCTCTAGTTCAAACGTTACAGCTACTTGAACTTTAAGAATATTGTTGCGTGAGATGACGTCAGCGCGGCCCTCTTGGCAACAGGCTCTAGAATCCGTGTTTCAAGTCGGCAAAAAAAAACGACCACGAAGGGCAAGGGCATACTCATGTATTTTTTTGGTTAATATACTTTTTTATACTTAAATACGAACCTGGGCATTATTTAATATAATTCTGCTTTTACTACTTCAATTTTTAATGTTTAAACAAAAAAAATGTTCTCAAATGATTTTTAATTCTTCAACATTAAAAACAAATTCCGCTCTTTAAAATAGTATTGAAACTTATCATAAATTACTTATAGTAATTATATTTACTTACTTTTTGTATTATAGTTTTAACTATAATACAACAATGTTTGCGTTTAAAGAAATTTTTTAATTTTAAAAATGTTCTTTGGATACTTAAAAAATATTATTAGGTATTCAAATATTTTTTTACATTTTTTATATCTAAAAAAAGATACGTTGTACGTTGTTCTAAGTATTATTTTAATGCTAAAGACTCAAATGTTAACAATGGAATTTTAATTGTCATTTAAATGAATATTTTATTTTGTTAATGTTATCATGGATAAACTATTAAACTATAAAATAATTAATTTACATATTTTGCTAAGTTAATTCCAATTTACTTAATTTAATGTTTATTCTTATATCAAAAGCTATAATAGTTTTGTATTAAGATTAAAACTACTCAATACATGGACATTGGTTTAATTATGAATTTATTTCATTAATTACTCATTCCGATAGTAATTTGTACAAATTAATAATTTGACATGTATTATATTTAACTATCTGCACTCTGCATGATACTTAACTGTTGGTAGATAATATATAATATATATCAGCGGTTCCTAAAATTTTTGGTTAGCGTTGCCCTTTTTTGTATTAAATTCAGCGGCAGTGCCCTGCTGTTAATACCACGAGGAATATGAATGAATAATGAACACTATTTCACATTGACGTGAACCAATTTATATAATTTTATCGAACATCTACTTTGCATTCAATTTTTCAATATTACACAATTGTAAGTAATATTTTACATCTTTGTATGAGCCGCAGGGCACCTCGGTGCACAGTTTGGAAACCGCTGATATGTATAATCAAAAATTGTTGTTTAGTATTTTTGAATACTAAAAATAGTAAAAAATAACAATGTGTGAAATATTACAATAGTCCAATGAAATGTTGGTTATAAAGAATAAACTGCATAAACATAATAATACTTATTTATTAGAAAAACTAAAGAAATATTCCTATTTAGACATATTTCAAAGGATCAATACAAGATCTATTGCTATTTAAATTTAAAACCTTGATGTCAAGATTATATAAGTCAATGAAATATATTATTATCAAATGTTAACTCTTAACTACAATGTATATTCTATGCTATAGAGTATAAACACAAGGTTAAATGATAATTTTTTTTTCCAGGTCGCTACCAGCTAGTCAACATTTACATCGTCTTAAAGTTTTAGATGTGTTCAGTTGTCGGTAATAATAAGGAAACAATGCAGAACGGATTCACACATAAGTTTAAGGTAGCGGATCTATCGCTAGCTGAATGGGGTCGCAAAGAAATCATTTTAGCTGAAAAAGAAATGCCCGGTTTAATGGCACTACGTAAAAAATATGGTCCATTGAAAATTCTTAAAGGAGCTCGTGTTGCTGGTTGTCTTCATATGACCATTCAAACAGCAGTCCTCATTGAAACCCTTACTGAACTCGGCGCCGAAGTCCAATGGTCTAGCTGCAATATCTTCAGTACCCAAGATCACGCAGCTGCAGCCATTGCCAAAGCTGGAGTTCCTGTCTTTGCCTGGAAGGGTGAGACCGAAGAAGAATATTTATGGTGCATTGAGCAAACACTAGTTTTTGCAGACGGTAATCCATTAAATATGATATTAGACGATGGTGGCGACTTAACGACTTTAGTACACAAAAAGTACCCTCAATTCTTGGACGGTATTAAGGGAGTGTCTGAGGAAACCACCACTGGTGTCCATACTTTGTATAAAATGAAAAAAGAGGGTATTCTGAAGATGCCAGCTATTAATGTAAACGATTCCGTCACAAAAAGCAAATTTGATAATTTGTACGGCTGCCGTGAATCACTTATTGATGGTGTAAAGCGTGCGACAGATATAATGATTGCCGGTAAAGTTTGTGTAGTAGCTGGTTATGGTGATGTTGGCAAAGGTTGTGCTATGTCGCTGCAAGCATTTGGTGGTCGCGTCATTGTCACAGAAATCGATCCAATCAATGCCTTACAAGCCTCCATGGCCGGTTTCGAAGTCACTACGATGGAAGAAGCTTGTTCAAAGGGTCAAATATACGTAACGACAACGGGCTGCAAAGGCATAATTACTGGAGCCCATTTCCCGCTTATGCCAGATGATGCTATTATTTGTAACATTGGTCATTTTGATTGCGAGATCGAAGTTACATGGTTGGAAAAAAATGCTGTTGAGAAAATAAACATTAAGCCTCAAGTTGATCGATATACTCTTGCCAGCGGCAAGCATATAATACTCTTGGCTGAAGGCAGATTAGTTAATTTAGGGTGTGCAACGGGGCATTCGTCATTTGTAATGAGCACATCGTTCACTAATCAAGTTCTCGCTCAAATTGAATTATGGACTCAAAATGATAAGTACAAAAATGATGTGTATGTGCTCCCTAAGAAATTGGATGAAGAAGTAGCTGCATTGCATCTAGAACATTTGGGTGTGAAATTGACTAAACTTACAGAAGAGCAGGCCAACTATCTTGGAATCCCCGCTGAAGGACCTTACAAACCAGAACACTATAGATATTAATAGTTTAACTACTATCAGTCTTTTATTTTATAAAATTACAGTTTTTTTTTTCTTCATTAAATAAACCAATACCATCATCAAAAATAGGTTTATGATTTTTAACATGGAACTATAAATGTTTGTTGCTTTGTCAGTGTCCAGTACAGGGTTCACTATAGCATAGCCAAATTCTGCATTGTCTGTACCGTCTCTGGGTATCCAAAATGTTCCATTTTGGCCCCATGAAGTATTGCCAAATGAGTTCAATGCTAACCAATAATCTTTACTTTTCCAAGTGCCCTAGCCTATAAGTTTCACGGCATGGTCGCCTTCGAATGCACCATTTACTTATGAACGTATATTCCTGCAAATTTAACATAAAAAATAGTTTTTCTTTGACAAAAACTGATCTTCAATAAAACAATGGTGTATCAGTTGTAAAATGAATGACAACAATTTTAAAAATAATATTTGAAGAATAATTTTTTGTTTTTTTATCAAAAACAAAAAGTTTACAAATAATACAGCTTACAGTTTATAATTTAAGTGCATTTTTAATTAAACTATTTAGTTAATTTACACGAGTACTAAAAATAATTAATTATTTATAGTAAATGCCATTTTATTTTTTTTATAAAATTGATGAAATTCAAAAGTATACCTATCATATAAAACTTGTTAATTAAATACTAGTTTAGAGAAAGTAAGTCATTTTGAAAAACTAAATCGGTAAATCTAACAGTTATATCCAACCTTTAGATGAAAACCGGTGTATATGATATAAGAAGCAGTTAACATAGCGAATTATAGGCATTTGGCAGCTACGTTTTTTTAACACATTAAGTAGCAATTAACGGGAATGTGATAAAAACGCATTTATTAAGGCGCATTGTATAGGCAATTGTTCTTTAAAAACCTAAAATTTGCAAGCATACTATAAATTGACACTGGAAAGAGAAATCTATTTTTAAATTTAATTTTTGTTTAAATTCTGTAACGCTTACAGGCTCAATTATTGTAAAAAAACATATGTTTCCATTTCCAACAGTCCAAGCTCCGTTTATATCCTACGACGTGCGACTACTTTTTATTTTTATTTGTTTTCATTGTAGAATAGTTTTTGTGAAAAATTTGTTTTCTAATATATCGGAAAATAATAAAGGCGATACCTACGTCAAACAGAAATGATGAGGAATTCAAATTTTTAAACATTTAAAAGATGTCAAGATGCAAAAAGTTTAGATTCAACGCCGGAGATTAAACCGTTGACAAGTCGCGCTAAACACCATTAAGTGACGTAATTTCGTGACATAAAGACGTCACGAAAAATTCGATTGTGTATCCAGTCCAGACGACGCATTAGACATCAATTTATATACCAGGGAACAAAATATGTATACAAGTAAAATGTGTGTAGTTGTTATACTATAATATAAAAGATATCCGTCACGATAAATCAGTTCTAACGTTAAAAAACGTCGAAATATATTTAAAATCATTGATAATTAATTATTTATCGCGATAGCAATTTACAGCATTGAGTTGATCTCGTTAATTCTTAACGAAACCTTCCAAAATGTGTTACTATAGTGCCTTTGTTCACGGAGGACAATAATCCACCGGGTCACAGTCATCGGAACGGTCTTCTTCGATACACAACAATTCGTTGGCATAACTGTACAATAAAATCCATCCATAAATAAAAAGAGCTACAAAACAAAAAAAAAGACATCATTCATCATTGAAATGAGACCATTTTCAAAGATGTAAATATAATAATAACGGATTATACTTGTAAGCGTTTAATTCTATACAGCAAAAATGATTGTTTTCAAAATAATAAATATTGTTAAAAAGTAAAAAATAATAACAAACAACAAGTTATATAAATATTATTATGGTACAAAAATTAGTATTAATATATTTAAAAAACATTAGTAAAACGTTAGAAGTTTTTTTATAATATTGTAAATTTGTTCAAGCCGGTTATAAGTTTTGTAAATAACATTTTTGAAACATAGTTCACCATAACATTTTTAGAACACATTGAAAACATTATCCGGATTTACGTCTCATCACTACTGGGCGATTGGTAAACTATGGACCAGTCAATAACTTAGAAGATATTAGACTTTTTTTAGTTATTTTTTTAAAATAATTTTATAGTTATTAGTTGGGACAAATTTAATATATTTTTTTTAAATTATAACTCCGTCCCTTATATGTTAAAATCTTATAAATTTGAGTTTTTTAAATAGTAACGTATATATTTGATTAACTTTTTGAATTAAGAATAATTTGCTGAATATTTTGACTGGTCGACAACCAGTTTTGGATAATTCGTTTCAAAGTTATTAAAGTTTAAAATTTAAGACGGGAGGAAGGGTGGAGAGTAGAGATGTTTTTATCTGCGCGCATTACTCAACCGCCCTTTTCTCCCGTCATAACTTTTAAAATTGAACAACTTGAAAACTAATTATCCAAAGCTGGTTATCGACCACTCAAAATGTTCAGCAATTTTTTCTCAATTTAAAAAGTTTATAAAATATGTACGTTACCCTTTAAAATTCCTAGGTTCATACGGTTTTAACATATAAGGGTTATATTTTTCAAAAATATATTAAATTTGTCCCATCTAATAACTATAAAATGATTAAAAAAGTCTAATATCTTCTAAGTTATTGACTGGTCTATAGTTAACCAATCACCCAGTATAGTAGTCACTACTTAAACAGACTTCGACTATATTCCAAATTTGACACGAATAGGTTGGTATGCGTTGAATATTGTTTTTAACTTTTATTGCAAAATAATGTTAGAAAATATTTTTAGTATTTCCTACTAAGAATATCAGAATATTAAGCCCCTTGCGTTTAGCCCTCCCACCTCTTTCTTCGTCGAAAATGACTCGGATGGCGCCAACCTAACTTTAGATGAAGTAAATATCATGTGAAATTTTTAACAATTATCCTATTGGAAATGTATGTGACAGCAATCTTTTTTGGGAACTCACACATCAAACATATGGCGATCAATACAATAGTAATGCGTTCTTTGTCGGCGTCGGGGTCGCGTCCCGAGAGCAAAGACACCGATTGCGCTTTCGGTGGCTTCCATGTTGAGTTATGCGACATCTGATCGTCTATTGATCTTTTCATTCGATAATAATCGTCGTATTCCTCGTCTTTCGTGTCCTTGTCGGACAACATGTCGTAATCGTCGGTCAACAAATCGACCATTCCGTAGTTTTCGTGCCACGAACTGTTATAGAGCCACAAGCTTTCAGGACACCGCCTTTGCAAGCACAAATATCTATAAACGGAGTGGACACAAAATGTATTGCTGTATCAACAAAAAAAAAAAGCCTCAAACATAAAAATGAACTGAACAGGGCGGTAAAATTGTAAGCGACTGCCACAATGCTGCTGTAGAGAAAACACTCTTCCCCGCATCGTGGCGACTGCACTGGGAATACAATTGAAAATTTAAATAGACCCGTCGACGGAATAAAACCGTCCATACAGTGTCGTGTCTGTTCAAAATTAAAAGCTCAACAAATTTCTAAGTCATCTCTTGACCCGAAGTATTTCATCACACAAAAATGTACCTCGAGAAGAAATTAAAAAAAAAACTATTTTTATAATGTAATAAACTCAAAAATGAGTCAAAATTCACAAAAAAGTACATTAAACAATTATGAAACGTTAGCATGCATATTAGATATTCTATAATTGGGCTTACCAAAAATCCACTTATCTGAAAATGCAATATAATTGTCAAGTTAAAAAGTAACAAAAATGGTATTTAATGTTAAGACAATAAATCGTATTAAAACCGTTTGTTACTTTTGTCAACGTGCTATCGATATCGAATACTTTTTCTTTGTAACAGTTTTATTAAATTTGTTGGTAAATTTATGTTCTTTACAAAAATAAAAATACCGCTTACTTACTGTTCTCCTTTACTGAACATCGACAAAAGTACAAGACTGACCCACAAGACTATAAAAATCGTCCATAGAAAAAACGATTGAGTCGCGTTCGATCTTGACTCCTGAATAAATTCCAAATATTATCATCTGCTTAAGATTAAACCCACTCGTATATTCTATTCAAAACGTAAGTACATAGATACATCGAAATTTCGTCACCGACCAATTAACCTAACGCGATTCGCCTTGTTAGGTTAACCAACCGTTGTCTAAGGTTTGTTGTAAAACAAGATCACAATTTAGTTATGTTTAAGCTGTATGTAGTATGTATAATTAAGATAGGTATGTTCAGAAGAAGTTGAAATAAGGTATAAAAAAACCAAAAGCCATTAAGCAAATTGTAATTAGCTACCGTTGATATAATTTAGCGATTAATTAACAACAAAACACAGTTTACCTAAAATGTGTTATTATAAAACTAGATTTTTATCAAAACTATTATAACTTATTATAAGCTATGTATGAATGTTAACTGTACTTTTTTTTCTGTAAAAAACGAATTAATTTTGTACAAGTGCTAGGAAAATAGTTGATTATTTAAATAAAAAATTTGAACAAAGGGTTGGTACTAATTCGTTAACAACATCATCTAGTTTAAATATAATGAATAATTATAGTGTAATCATAAGATTACACTTAAACTAATTAACCGCATTCACTCAAAACCTGAAAATGACTGTTTTATCAAATCAAGTGATTTGATAAATTTCCCATAATATTTCTTACTTTAAAAGCGCTAACAAATGCTACGGCCCACGTTACGATGAAATATACAGAGATTATCATGATGACACTCCAAGAGGCTGAAATAAATAAATTCTATATAATACGTTAAAAAAAAAAAAATAGGAAATGAGACTAGAGTGTTTATTAATACACGGTGAACAATTTAACTTATGACATTCGTTTTCTCTCAAAATAATTGCAATTTTGTAGGTTTTTTTAATACATGCTGATTTTGTCAAGTTATTATATTTTTCCAGATGGTTAATTTATCTTTTTATTTTTTCCAGAGCTTTATAAACTTTAGAACTATAATGGTAACGTATAAATTTAATAACTATTTAAATTAAGAATATTTTGCTGAAATTATTTACTTAAGAATTAGTTTTACTGTAATTGGTCAACGAGGAAAAATATTAAATTATTCGTCGTGCACTCAAAAAATGAACGCTAATAGATGGAAAGTTATGAAAATCAGCTATATTGTTGTTTGAATAAATATACAAAAAATGTCAGGAAAAATGATTAATATATTATATTTTTTTTATTATTAAACAAAATAGATTTTATATGGCGGCGTTTTGTATAGGCAATTTAGCTACACGAATGATTAGAAATATAAATTATGACATTAAAACAAAATTATTTTAAAAACTACACTCGCGATAACGTCTTGGGTGGGAAATATTATTAAATTTATATAATACTGACGAGTCTCTTTTTTTCCCCTTCTCTTATTTAAAACAAAAAAATATAGACATTTTAATGATTGTTAGTGATATAATTATGCTATAATTTATACTACATAACTGCAAACTGTTGCTAGACGATATTTTTTATTTGCTCTAGTATAAACTGGGTAGGATGTTAGAAAATTCCTGATGATTAACAATATTATTTACTTAAGTACTGATGCCTCATTAAATTACACTATTCTGACAGTTCCACGGTAAGTCTATAAACATTTAAGGTAAATAGCTAATACAAAATAAGTTATACCGATATGATTGCATATTTAATGTGTTTATAGGCGGAAGGGGGAAGGATTTACAATATCAAATATGTGTTTTAGTAATGATACAAGTCAAACATTTTAAATTATGATTTTCATTAGATGTTGATTGTTTACTCAATTACTATTACCTTGGTGATAGCTCAAAAACACAAATTGTTGGTCACTTTTGAAAAAAAATGTACGGTTGTGTCAGTGCCTAATAACTACTAGGGAAACCCCCCCTTTTTTTTTTTGCGAAATTGCGCCCCAACTTAATTTTAAATCCGAGTAAATTACACGAAAACAGATAACTTTTTTTTTTATGGCTCATTAAATATAAACAGAAAATTCTGGGGTATGTCACCACCGTTCAATAATGCTGGCCGACAAAATGCTTACCCGGATGCGTAGGATTCAGCATCATGAAGTTCGCCAACATACTGCAAAGTCCAAACGTCTAAAGTATACAAGCAAACGCAGTGACAATTTTCCTTCTTTATTGAAATTAATATCAAAAGAGTTACCATAAAAACTGATGACAGCACAGTAACGCCGACTCTCAACGGTAAAATCGTTAGGAAATCGTTAAGAACGAACATATTTTAATTGTGAGTATCTATCACCTCGAATATTAAAATTAAAATTATATTTCACTGACACTGTTGACGTTGTAAATCAACAAGACAACAAAACATGTTTGACGATGGCAATGAACAATGAAATAAACAAATTTAACAGCTTTCCCATCCCATCAGTAATTTATTGGTGATCGACTTGAAGCATTTAGACTGCATTCGCTAGATACCTATTTTTATTTACTTTGTAGTCGTTACGTATTAGATATAATTCAGTTTTTAATTAATAGGCGTATAATTTTTGTTTATTGACAAATAAATTCAATTTTGCTTGGAAACAGACAATTTCTATAAACTACGCTTCAGACGTAAATTCCTAAGGGTTTTGACAAATACCAATTTTTTTGTTTATTTTTCAACCTTTTTCTGATATTATATCAAAAATTTAAGCGCCGAGAATCAAAAAGGATTCAATTGATTCGTTTACGGGAGAGCAAAATAAAAGTCATTTTATGAGTGTGATTATATGGTAATTATTTTTAATTGAATATAAATATTGTTTTAACAAGTACAAGTGGAAAATGCCTCATTGAAATATAATTAATGATCAAAAGTGCATTTGTAAAAAAATGGTCACATCTACTCTTTTCGGTTCTCACCGCTTAAATTTTGATTTTTAGATTTTTCCAAAGCATTTTTTTGTATAAAAAAACTAACTTTTGTTAGTCAAAGTAAAAAACAACTGTTTTACAAAAAAAAAATTCTCGCCAAAGTTAAAATTGGCAATAAATAGTACTGTTCCAATCAATAGTTTTTGAATTCCAAAACCTATTCGAAACACCCCCGTGAATTATAGTACGAGTATTTTATTAAATTTAACATGAATTAAGTTAGTGTGTGATCCTAAATTGAGCTATTTTTGTTAAAAATGTACCGTCATAAGTAAGTTCATACACATACTAGTACTAAATTTGGGAACAATAATTGATAAATAAAACCAATATTTTATTGTTGAAAAAAAATGTTTTCTTTTATGTATTGCACGTTTAAATTTATTAAGTTTGTCTTCTACAATATTAATTTGATCCATGACTTTTGAAATTCTTTAATCGATATAATTTCATATTTAGTTTACACACAAAAAAAAAACATTTGACAATAGGATGACGTAATGAAATAAACAATAAAAAAACAACATGGATATTATTACAACATAAGTAACACATAATTGGTACACAATACATAATATTATTATCAAACTACTAACAGTTAAAATTAATATAGAAATTCGAGAGGCTAAACAAAAAAAAATATTTTTGCTCCTACAAGTAAGTACTAAATAGACGGATTTACATTTTTATCTCAAGTAAAAACCGATTAACAAATAATTAAACAAGTGGGTCAAATAGTAAATGTTTTCTTTTCATTTCAAATGGAATTACCTACATTATACAACATGACTAGAGTATTTACTAATATAGTTTATAACACGAAAATGTTTTTTTATAATTTAGAAAAATCAAGTTTAGTTACTATATGTTATTTATTATCATGATCCATGTGCTAAGTCATCAACAACGGCATAATTTAAATACAACAAAACAAGTCTAATGTGTTTTTGTTTTTAAACCAGCAATGTATCTGCTTCCAGTCCTTCTTCCACAGTGATGTACATACCTTCTTCTTCATAAGTACTATCGTGCTTAGCAAGGATGCGTAACATTGGTCTAAGTTTCAACCACCATTGAGTTTTGGGTATCCGTTGTCTATAAATTATAAAAGCACATGCGTTAAAATCAAAATTATTACGAACTTAATTTTACATGTTCAAATTATGTAAACCAATTTGAACTAGTTAGTTAAAACAGTTTCAAAACTACTATCCATAAACAACTCACTCAAAGTTGGTAAGTGGAACTAAATCCGTCAGCGGGGTAAATCGATATTGCCGCCTGACAACCCCCATCATTGCGGCTGTTTCTGGAGCTTCAGTGTAGATAGTTCCGTCCGGTCTAGTGGACTCCCTTAATTTTTCTACAAGCCATTCGACACATTTAGCTGCCTGTTTTGTGCCCATATTCCGATCGAATGGTGTGGGCGAACCACCTTGTTGCATGTGCCCTGCAATTATTCGATTGTTATAATTAAATTAAATGCCAAATGGGTTCAATTAAACTTATTCTAGAGAATAAACCTTTAACAGACAAGAGAATTAAATCAATCGAACCCTGTTCGGCTTAATGGGACAACTCTGCTACAAAATGTTAAGAAAAACAAATAGTTATTTAACCTTATCTTCCATAAAAACTTTTTTTTTTACCGAGAACATTCATACGAGTGCTGAAAAGCCCTTTTCCTTCTTCGGTGTACAGCCTAAATATGAAATCTGTATTGTAGTTTTCACTGCATTTCTCATTTCTGAAATAAAGAACAAAAATAACAATGTTAATATGAAATTTTATCAAGATAAAATAAAAATGTTCCTATTTTCACATTTAGTACAGCTTTAATACAGTTTCACAATTCAAATTATCTCTTAAACAATATTTTTATCTTGAAAATATAAAATTGGTGTTCATTTTGAACTTGTTATCGACCAGTCATTTTTTCTCATACAATATTACTCATATAAATGTCTGTTTTACATAAAAAATATCAATGTAAAATATAGTTTTAGAACTTTTAGAAACATGAAAAAAAAATTCAAATAGCCATATATTTTAGTGGATATAAAAAAAAAAATTTCAAAAAGTTGTCATCAACTAAGATATTGTCACCTTTATTTAACTACTTGAACACAAAATATATTTTGCAACGAAAATTTAACAAACCATTTTTCTATCTTTAACTTTGTTGTTCTTGGTCTTTATTTCTATTAGGTTACATTTTCAGGTTTTTAAGTAAAAAGATCTCAGTTAGTCAAACCATGTTTACGGAATAAGTGCTTTTGAATTTAATATCAGTTTTTAATTTTACCTGGACACAAAAATCTCGAAAAAAAAAAAATTTTAGAACTAATAAACTTACAAAAACTTAATAAGATGACTTTAAATAGATGTCCATACAAATATTTACATACAAAGTTATAACATGTTCATATTAAAATGAACAAGATCTTCTAGAATATAGTTTTCAGGCAACTCATAAAATACTGTAGTTAGTCTTCCTTTCTTTCTCAGTTTATATATGTACTATATACATGTATTATGTATATATATGTATCTTACATTCTGATTAATTTTCAACTAGAAAATTTTATAATTGCGACCAAAATACACAAAAAACTTTCACCCCCTTAGAGGGGTGGAAAATAGGTATAATTTTAATTTGGGACTATTTCCGTATAGGGGCACACCAAATAAATTTTCCTCATAAATTTCACCTCGATCTTAATCAATCATTTTCTCGAAATCAAAGCGAATCGAAATATGAAGTTTTTTTTTTGATTTTCCCAATGTTAATAGTGAAGAAGTGAACCTCCACCCCTAAGGTACCAAATAGCTAAACTTTGTAATTTATAGAGAATTTACTCATAGAAATTGGTCCAGTGTAAAATAAGTTACAGTGGGTAAAGACTAAAAAAAGCTCACACCATAGTCTCAGCTTCGCATTGAAGTTAAAATAAATAGAATATCTTTTTTTTTTGCCAAGGTAAATCTTCATTATAAATTAATTCTCGTGTGTACAATGTGTTACTCTGTGGTTAGTTTTAAATTTCATCTTTGTTGTGTAGCTCCATTACCTTAATATCAAGCCTCGTTGAACACCTTCAGCCATTTTGGACGCCATGTGATACACATCATTTTGCAAGTCTTTAATTGTGAACTTCTCCTCATAAATATACGCTGCATCCGCTCCTCCTGCCAAACCAGCTACAGTAGCCAAATATCCACAAAATCCGCCCATTGTTTCAATAACAAAGACACGCCGCTTCGTTCCTTGAGCGGACTGTCTAATCCGATCACAGATCTAAAAGATGAATACGAATAAATTGCATTGTAAAATTTATTAGTGATATAAAATTTAAATATTTTTGATTAACCAACTTCGGTAATCTCGTTCAGAGCCGTATCGCAACCTAAAGAGAATTCCGTACCGGGTACATTATTACTAATAGTCGAAGGTATAATGACCATCGGTATGCAGAACTCTTTAAATTTATCTCGGTTTTGAACCAATTGCACTCCAGCTTGATATGCCTACAATAAACATAATAATATCCTAAATAGGTGATTGTTCTAATTGATAACAACAAACGACACAACACTTACTTCAAACCCTCCGATAATCAAAAGAGCTTGGATATTGAACTCTTTAAGTCTCGCTGCGATTTCAGGCATACGCTTTTCGGGTAATGTACGTTTTGTGCCCAACATAGCACCGCCTTGACCAACCCAACCGGTTACGTCAGACCACTGCATTACTGTGATCTAAATAAAAATAAGTTATAGATTGTATCTTTGGTGGTGATCATGTCTTCATCCAATACTACTTACGTTTCCAGCAACCAATCCTTCGACGCCATCGTGAATTCCATAGACAGTGTCGCCTCTGTAAATACAATTACGCACAAACGAACGGACAGCCGCATTCATACCACAAGCTGGAGCGCCGATATGCATCACTGCAAGAGTGTATCCTTCCTGTGTTTGTTTAAATTCAATTTACAACTGTACTTACATAAACGTGTACATTTTTTTATATACATACATATACAATAAAAATAAACAATAACATATATACAGGGTAAAACTCAACACAAAAAACAAAACAAAAATTGATTACAGGAGCGAGAACAAAATAAAAAAAGTTTTTTTAGTTTTATTCAGCATACTACTTATGTACATAACTCAAAGTTAATAAATTTCTATGTACTGCAATAATGAAAATTTATTAAGCATATAAATCATTCAAAACACTCCACCTTTACTACCAAATGTCTTACCTGACCCCACAGTGTGTCTTGCTGTATTAAAATAATAATGTTTATAAGTATATGTTTAGTTTTTTGTGCAATCATAATCGTTTGATTATACTTACTCGACTTAGACTCTAAAGGTAATATGCATGTAAAAAAGGTCAAATAAAAATGCATGAATTAATAACATTCCGGGAATAAACATAATAGAAATTTGTTTGTAATTATATTATATATTGTGTATATCTAACTTACCAATCCCCGTCCCATTTCGTCAAAAGCTGAACGTGGAGGCTTCAAACGAGTCAACATTTTATAAGTTTCTAAATTTCTAGCAAAACTCCTAAAACATTATTTTTTCTTTTATTTGCAGTTAACAAACGTACGACATTAAATATAAACACAAATTTTTTAATTCTATATATATATATATACAAAACATTTTTTTCTTTTTACCTTCCTCTCAACTGAACGGCTAATTCCCAATTTTTGTCTGCCATCGCTTTAGCGACAGCCTTTGTCCTCTCCACACATTCCATCAATGGTAAACGAACAGCTTGGTTACCATCCAAAGACACAACACACGCTTCAGTTTCCGGAGTAGCTTCCATTAGAGCCATTACAGCTTCAGCTCCCATTCTGCATCCCTATAAAATGAATATGTGTATAGTGTGTATGTATATTAAAATGTATATAAGCATCTGCTCAATTTAAACATTTGAACGTGTTACATGTTTCAAAATATTACCAAAACTCGATCGAATGCTGATGGAGCACCGCCTCTCTGAACGTGACCTAAAACAGTAATACGAGTATCTTGCTTTAGGTTGTCCACAACCACTTGTTTCACCATCTCCGCTGTAATGGGTTTGCCTTCACGGTCAATTGCACCCTCTGACACTATTATAATGTTTAATCGCTGACCTGCTGTTCGTTCCTAAAAACATAGTAAAAGATATTAATTACCGATTTTTTTTTTTTTTTTTTTTTATGTGCAAGAAGAAGTTTTGAAAGCCCAAATTAAGTTTTATACATTTATGTATATTGTATATACTATATATATTAGGGTGGTCCTTAGATTTTACTTTGCCAAAATCCATGTTGGATACCTATCAATCAGCTCCAACTTGACTATTTTACTTTTTTAAATTATTTTTTTGTTAGATTAATTATATTAAATTTAAGATAGCATTTTATTAAGAAAAATTATCTGAAAATGTTTACTGGTCGATAACCTGGTAAGATATGTATAATTACTTTTTAAGTTATTGAAAGTTAAAGGGTAGGATGGGAGGTGGAATGCGGTAGAGTAAGCGCGTAGAGCTATTTTTATTTGCGCGCATTACTCTAAACTTAAACAACTTTAAAAGTAATTATCCATATCTGGTTATCGAACAGTCAAAATGTTCAGGTAATTATTCTTAATAAAACGCTATCTTAAATTTAATAAAATTAATGTAACAAAAAAACAAAAGCAAATATTTAAAAAAGTAAAATAGTTAAGTGCAATAAAAAATGTGGTGCTTATAACGCAAATGAGTATAAATTAATTTTAAAAAAATATTCACTAGAACAAAAGTAATTTCATTTGTCTTATCTTTGTGGGACACCCTTTATGAAGTAAACGAATCTGGTTGGCTTTAAAATTATTTCGTCGTGAGCAGTGTGCATTCTACGCTAAATTAATAATTAAAAATTAAAATAATTAATTTAGCATTCAATGCATACTGCTCACAATAAAACATTTTTAAAGCGATCTAGACTAGTTCTCTGACATTTTATAACTATACAATTTTTATTTTTTTTTAATTAACGGCTAGTACAAAATACAAAAGGAATGTTAACGTACAGAATACAATTTAGCATATTACAATTATTATTAATCACACAGAGATGGCTAAAAAAGAAAATATGGGATCATTATTTGCAGTGCTCCAGATACGAATGAATAGAGAATTTTCAAGGATGTTCGTAGAGGACTGAAGAATGTAAAAGGGTACGATAAAACGTGTTACACGCGAAGAAATAGGAGATAAGAGTGAAATAAATAAATATAATATAATGTTAAATGCGGTAAGTAAACCGTTTAAAATACTAAAAAAGAAGTCAAACAAAGTAGGGTAAATTAAACATTAGTTAAGTTCATAAGCAATTGCTACAAATGCGGTTTTAGAAAAAATCTTAAAAAATAAATATACATAAGCGCAAGTCAATGATATTAAATAAAAACCAAGCATGACATACAAAAAAAATCTGGTTGATTTAAATGTAAATACTACACAATGCTAAAGTAAACATACAATTACCTCGGTGTAATTGGAACAAAAAAAAAACAAAAGGCACTGCACAGTAGGTACAGCTGCAATTATACGCGTACGAGTAATTAAGAACAGCGTTGTCAAAACAAAGTGCATTTGACCAAAGCAATTTGTACCAAGCATTATCCGTTTTTATGTTGTAAAGAAATAAGTCAATTCGATTTTTTTTAAAATTATATCTATAAATTATCCTGAATTACTAAACAGCAAAGCATAATTATTGTACCAAGTCCCATAGTCCTTTTAATTATAAAATAATTAAAATTGTTTTTGTTTTTTTATGCTGGGAAAAAAATATGGACAAAAAATGATAAAAATAAAATACCATTATTTTAATATTTTATTTGAAAAGGTGTTTATTTTACAATGGTGTTATCAACTTTTGGCCAAATTGATACAAAGCTAATTGTAAGGAGGTATTTTTTCATAATTAATAGATATTATTATTGACATTGTTTAGGTTATGATTTATGATGTCTACTGACTAGTGTTTTACATGTTGTTTGTTATTGTGTTATTTTACTGTTTTATCGATAAGTACTCAAATTGTCCACGGACCACGAGACAACAATTATGATTATATTGTTTCATTAATAAAAAATAAATAACAGTTATAATTATAATAATTTAAATCAACCATAATTTCTATTAAAAAACTCATTAGTTTAACTAAGTCTAAAAAATTTGTTTAAGTATTAACGAAAATAAATATTTTGTATTTCGTTATTTCTATTTCTTAATGTTATTCAAACATTAAGACATTTTTATTTTGTTTAGGGTTCGAAGCAGCTATTGAATTTTTTCAATAAGTTCGACTTTCAGTTAATTAAGAAGTTTTAAATAAAAGTTTTCATAAAAATGATTTTCAAAAACATGATTTAAGTATTCTGTAAAACAGGAGTTCTAATTTTGAGAACTCTTTTGCAAAAAAACTATAAGGGGAGGAATGATGGCTTGAAAAAAGCTTTAATTTTAAAAGTACTAATAATAGCTATTTTAATAAAACAGTTCTAAAAAAATCGAGAAGAATTTCAACTTTTGAACAGAAACATGTATTATGCAAATAAACAATAAACTTAAAATCAAATTAAGAGAAATTTTGTATAAAATAAGTTAACATTGAATTTCGATTTTTATTTTGATATTTAAATTGATGGATATTTAGTAAAAAATGAATAACTTTCTCGATTATTTTAGAACAATCTGGTAAAACAAACGTAATTTTGTTACTTGTTATTATATAAAGCCATTTCAAAGCGAGCAATAAGCTATTTTCTAACTATTATCTATTGTTATTTGATAAGACTTGAACTGCTTTTAACTATTCTAAATTCTAAAGACCAACGTACACAGAAAAGTATGTTGTTTGAATAGGCTCCCATCGGTGTCAATAAATAATTACACTAATACACTCTCGAGTCTTACTACATTAATTGATTATACTATAGACATTTAGAATACTCATAGTGATTCATTATATAATTGGAGTATAATATGAATTGGTCCATTATTAACTGTACTAGAGAGGAAATCACTTAGATATTAATCATAATAATTCACATTCTACAGCTACAAGCAACTAGATTTTGTTCATTTAATAGAGCATAATAACCATACATCGGTTTTCGACTTAAGCATACAGACTAAAACGAACAAGCATTTAATTACGGCAGGTTGTCAGAATTCGCTCTTGCCTGTAATAACTTTTTACACATTTTCGATGCCCAGTCTTGGTGCGGTGGCCATTCCGGTATGAACACAAAATCGGCTTCAGACGCCAATGCCGTGACGAGAGCTAAATACCTGCACATTTGTTTGCATAAAAGTAACGCTACCGCTCTTTTTTTGAAATACACATACATATTATTATTAAAAAAATGTGTAATTCAATCAATAACCATGGCATAATATATGATATTAAAATTTATATTATGTAAAAACCACAATCCTTGATCTATATCTAAATTTCATAAATTAACATTATTTTTTTTCATATCAACGTAAGCAAACATAGATTCCCATAAATCCTATGACCTTATTTACATTATTTTGGGCTTCTCTTTAAGAGATAAAAATCTAAGGTATATATATATAACAGGTAAAGCTTTTGTTAGACTATAGAAAACGATGGCAGGAAAATAAGCATGCTGCAGTGCAATATCAGCATTATTTGTTAATATGTGATTTTTAAGAGTTAGGGCTAACTAAAAAGGGTTAATTGGTACATTTTTGTTTTATTATACAATTATCCTTGCCTGCTCTAATTTGGTACAAAGTTTGGTTGGCCAATCAAGTGGTGGAGGCATCTCTGGTATAAAAACGTAGTCAGCTTCACTAGTGAGGGCTGTGACGAGTGCAAGGTACCTTAATATGCAACAGTAGCGTTATTAAACTTGTATAGACACTGTGCACCAAAACACTTAGCGCTCCTGAGGACAACAGCGCAAACTTATCGCTCCATAAAAAAGCATTAAAAAATGTAAAATTTACTTATTTGTAATTTTGAAGATTGATTATTGGACATTTTTTTTCTAATCAAGTTGTTTGATATGCAAAAAATGGAAAAAACCATTCGTTTTAAAATTGCAGTGGATTTAGAATAAATTACCAAAATACCCGAATACACATACCCCGAACTTAATATACCTATTGTCCACGGTGCAAGCTGTTTTCAATCCGGTGAACGGTGTCTATTAAGAATTCTTCATAAACTTGTATTCGGTAGTATAAAACCAAATAGATTGAGTTGTGTTGAGAAAATTACAAGAATGTTGGATTCCGATGGTTATTTTTATATAAAAAAAATCCAAATTATTACCTACAACTTAAAGCTAAATCAATTTTGAACACTGAAAAATTACTATGTAACATTATAGATGGGCAACTCGAAATATGTCTCCATTATTAATTTGACGCTTCATGTTTTTTTGAGATTGTAAATGTTTAATTAACTGCAGGGAAATCCAGAAATTCCATTACCTACATTAATGTTATCAAGTTTTACCTATCTATAGTACATTGAGTCTATTCTCAAAGTGACCCTATTTAATTTTGTTCATTCAAATTCATTTAGGTTTCTAAAAACAATTCAATATTGACTAAGCCATAATTGTATTACTTATTTGTTTTTTAACATCATAAAAATTGAATGAGGTGATTCTATGACTAAAAATTTTATACACATTAGTCATGGATATTATAAAAAGAAAAATTCTTATTTAAAAGCAACATTTCAACAAGACAAATTCCAAATCATATTGAAAATGGCAAGTGAATAAATTTAGTTTTAAAATATTTGACACAAAGATTATTCTTGATTGTGTAATTAGAATTACATACGAATGCAAAATATTTTGTTTTCTATACTAATATAAGTTAAATTCAAAAATTGTTGAACGAATAAAAGAATTATTTAATGTTAAAGTAATAAAATAAAAACTGAGTAACAAAACAGCACCATTTTTGTATTTAAATAATATTAATGACTATTTACACAATTAAAAAACAACTATTGCAAAGACACAATCAAGCATTAAAATTGTTAAGTAACTGATAAATAATAATGTTAGGATCAAATTGAAAAAACAGCGTAAAATGGAATAGAAAAAATAACTGTACTTATAAATCCAACCAGTTTACATCACGGAAGTGTAACCTAGTATATATAATATATACTCAAATTGTTTCGACTAATAACTGTTAGCTCTCGAGTTAGCTACATACAATTAAAAATTAATAATCCTAATAAACTCTCTATAATATTGCCATTTAATATCAAATAAATCGAGTACACGAGTAGTAAGTGAACCTATTTCTAAGTATTAGTAATCGGTGATTTGTGTTTTATATAATTTTAATAAAAATAAGTTACTTACAAATTTTACTAACAATGTTACATTTATCAAAATTTAACATATTATATATGTGTACTTAAAAAAATGTTTGAAAAAATATATACTTAGTTTAGTTTATGCTATAGTTTAGGCAGTTATTGCAGTACTAAAGTATTAATATTGTGTGTATTCTTATTTAAGAAAAAATATTGTTTGAAACAGTTATAATATAAACAACAGTAAACCATAATTATGTGCAAAAGTTGTCAACTACATCCGAAAAGTTAACTTACGGTAAAATATGTTAATTAAAATTGATTAATTTGTCCAAATTGATAAACTCATATTTTTCAAAGCAAAATCAATATCGTTTATATAATATGAAATCTGTATCTTTTCAAAGGGGGCATTATTGATTGACATAGGAAAACTGTTCCTAATTATTAATCAATTTTGAGAAATATAAAATAAATGTAGGCACAAAATAACAACATAAATAAAAATATTATTTGAGATACAAACTAAAATGTATAAAGAATAAAGACAGTTTTAGTTATATTGCTATCAAAGGCAATCAATTGTTATTAAAACAAAGGTCAACCACATAATTCTGGTTTTAAATTATTTGTAATAAAAAAATGTATATAATAAGAATAAAAACCAACTAGATTGTAAAAGAAACATTATATAATATTATAAATAAATACTATAATTGAGCATTTTAAAAATATATTATTTTCAGCAACCAAGCTGGACAATTTTATTACTTTTGTTGTTTAATTTCTAAACTTTAAGATTAGTATTTGCATATGTAAAATAATAATTTAAAAATATGAAATACTAACTTTTGTATGCTTTACAAGGTTTTAATTATACATTTGTATGTATGCAATTTTTATTATTAAAAAAAAAAAAAAATGTTTTATACAAATACTAAAATAAGTTAAGAAAAAGAAAAAGCATTACCTATGCACGGAGAAATGTTTAAAAGAAATTTCAAGGTGCTAAGAGTGTTGTTTTTTCTAAATGAAATAAGTATAGTAAGAATAATCAACATTTGCATAGGTTGTATTACAAATTTTGATGCGGTTTAAACGTTATAATTTTTTTTGGAAACCAAACTGGTCACACAATTAATTATTTAAGATGTGTTTATTTAAAACACTATAGCGGTTAGAGAATTAAAAACTGTATATCATGTTAACTATGTTATTATTCTTTTGCCTACTATTTACAAACAAATATTGTAATTTGAGTTGCTTTTTGGAAAAATGTATTTTCTTGCAAAAATTAACATTTCACTTGTTTAAAAAAAAAAGTTTCTATTATTTTAATATATAGATGGTTAATTTAATGCAACTGTTCAAATTTTCCTTGAAATTCCTTTGAAATATCTATACAAAATAAAGGTCATAGAATCACCTAAAGCTAAAAAATTATTTTGTTTCTCTCATTAAGTATAAAAGTATGTTCTTGTAAATAAAAATTATAAACGCTGTAAAGTTTAGATTATTTCTGAATCAAACCGAATAACAATTACAATGTAAGCCTGTATGTACTGTGCGAATTTGTTGAAACTTACTAGTTTTTCAATTTTTACTGTCCAAATTATTAATATTGTACACACTTTTCAATTAGACTGTTAATTTATTAAACAATAGTAATGACTTACCCACAATGGCGTCCCATCACTTCCATAATAAATGTTCTCTGATGGGAGTATGCGGTCGATGCAATTGCATCAATAGCGTCCATGATACGATGTAAAGCAGAGTCGGTACCAATCGTCATGTCTGTACCACAGAAATCATTGTCGATGGAGCCGACCATACCGACAATATTTAATTGGGCATATTTTTCGCGTTCAGTTTTATTGAGTTGTTGATTTTTCAATAATTCGTCCAGTAAGCTGGACCATTCTTGTCGGAATAGATTGGCTCCCGTTAATGAGCCATCACCTCCTATTACTACTAAATTGGTGATTCCACGTTTTACCAAGTTGCACGCAGCCTTCAATCGTCCAGCACGATCTTTGAAGTCCATACAACGTGCTGAACCAATTACAGTACCACCCTAAATAATATATCAAATTAAAAAATTTTTATTAGCATGGTATTAGTTACTTTGATATAATTTCTACACAATCTTATTAATAAATATTATTTAAACATAAATTATATAAAAATTAATTACCATATAAATTTGAATGACTATTTAACCAAAGTATTTTAATAGGGGTTATTTGAAGGTCAGAAAGTTCTTTAATACTAGATGCAAGATGAATAAAAAAAAATTGCACGTAAAACAAATAGCTTTCAAAAATTTAACTAATAATGATTAAAAAAAAAATTGTTATTTTTGAGCTTCGATTGGGAGCTAAAAAGGTATTCATTTTTATAAAGGAGCTCTTTTGATTTTGTCTAGACCCACAATACATTTTTAACTGCCAGATCGTTCATTGAGTAGCTACAATAATAGTACATCAAAGGAAGATTACAAAGGCTAAACATTTAAAAATATCATCCCTTGTATTCAAAATTGAGAAAATGCCTTAAAAAGTATATTTTTCTACTTAAAAATAATGCTTGCTATAATTTCTCAACAAATATTCTAATAGTTAAGAATTTGTTAGGAATATTTTTAAGGTAACTCTTACCAAACTGCAGTCAAAAAACCAAAAAATATTATTTACCCTCCTTGCCTTGCTCTCAGAAAAGTTCCGAACTTTTTCTTTATTTCACTTTTAAAGAGGTAATTGCCTCTTAAGACTGAAAGTAGGTGTAGTGTATCCTAAAAAACCCCAATACTTAGAGAAATTTTTATTTTATCATAAGAAAACCCCCAAAACACATGTACAGTGATTTTTATGTACATTTAATACTTTTCACCATTTATAAGTTCAAATTGGAAAGACCTGTGACCTCCTTGACCTCACTGTTGGCATTTTTTTTTACAGAAATAGCTGGTTCATTAGTGGAAAACTACTTGAAAAATACTACTAAAACCACTTTTAAATATAAAACTATAAAGTAGTGTTAGTCAAATTATTCTGTTAATTTAAAATATAAAAATAATGCAAACACAAATATACTTAAATTAATAATAAGTCAGATATAATAACATGAAGTATTAAATTTAATAAACAATTTTTAATGAGCTATATCAATTATGTAACTAAAAGCAATCGCTTTGAAACTATTGCGCAATCATGAATTATTTCTAGGGAGAAGTGGATCATAAACAATATTATAAAACTCTGCTTGGTTAAAATACTGAAATTTTTTTTTAGAAGTACAGCTTGAACCCTCACCCAAATTTTGTTGTCACTGCTATGTAAAGTCAAACTTTACAAATACAAATTTGTAGCTAGTCAGCATAAATATATTTTTATACAAAACACATGTTAACAATGGCCTATATAAAACTAATCATATGACTAAGGCTGAGTTTGTTTCTACTGATCTACTGATCCCGATTCTACTGATCACAACAAGTATGGTTATGTTAATGCTACCATTTTACTTATACAGCTTCATGTAAATTCACTGGTACTATTGAAATTCACATCATGTAACTAAGATACTAAATATTTATGAATATGATTATATGCCTATAAATATCATTATATTTTTACTGTATGTTGATATTTCAACCATACTGTGGTGAATACTAATTTTATACATACTTGTACTAACCTTATGTATTATTGAGGATACCGAAGACCAATTAGCTTCTACAATATTATCCCCACCGTCTACCATCCCTTGATAACCCTCTTTTATGAAAAAGACTTTGCAACCCAAATATATGGCCATACGCACAACAGCACGGACAGCCGCATTCATACCTGTCGAAAAACAAGAATACAATACTCACCTCCTACTTAATAAGTACTAAAAAGTTTATTTATTATAAAAACATATCAGTTGTCAAAGTACAATGTAAAGGCAAACATCATCAAGTCCTAACAATAACAGTCAACCCACAGTGGATTACCCACCATCAATAAATTGTATCACAATGAAAACTTCTAAAGTTTATGAACTCCCAACTACACAACAAATTAATATTTATTCAACTTCATAAGCAAAATGAATTGTATAATATCAAAGAACCATTACAATTTATTTATAATATTGAATTGTTAGATTTTACAGACAAATTATAGTTTATCATAGTGTTTAAATCAATTTTTATAATTTTGTTTTTAAAAAAAGAAGTAATAAACTAGTTTTAGAATTTTAAATAAAAAAATTATATTGTATATGTATACAATTTCAAACTAAAAAAAATACTTGTATATATTCCAAAAAATATATAAATCATTTACTAAAATACGTAATCTCTATTCAATATGTCTTCTAAAAAAATGAATGTATGGTCTACTTTAAAGTAAACACAATATCCATAGTTAGCCTATACAATTTTCTTAAAAGTTATATTTTTCCATGTTCATTTAATAAAAATATTACCTACCTTGTGAATCACCACCACTAGTGAATACTGCAAGCCCTTTGCCCTTGTGTGAACCCCGTTCAATAAACCTTTTCTGTTCTTCTTCCATTATTGGTCTGAAAAATAAAATACTATTAACAAAATGTTTATATTGTACATTATTGTCCACATAAGATCCGTACCAGTGTCGTTAAAGCAAAGAAGTGGTAAAAACCAATAAGTAAGAATATATTTTTTGTTATTTTACTAAATAAACGACCTAATTAATCATTGTAAAACAAAAATCACTAATTGTTGACATCAATAATTATTATAGCTGTTTGTATAGCAACAAGCGTTATATTACTAAACGCTATTTTAAAACGACTGCCGTTTCAAAACGACCTCTAAAGGTCACGAATCACGGTCAAAAAATTAGAAATAACGTTACTTTTTTTTTTCACTAATGTACATTACATATAGAAGGGATAGATCAACCGTGTGTACATCAAAGGAAAGTAAATACAGATGCGGTCGTCATACAAAAGTAAGAATGAAATGTTGACTAGTGATACTGATGACTGAATAGTGAGTACATAGATGACAAATGTCTGTCCAAAATCAGAGTTCTAACCAATAACCAGCCATGCGCTAATCGCTATATATGCGCAAGTGCAAATTCAATAATATTATGTATGTCAACAAAGTCTTAAGTCTACCGACTTTTATCATTTAATAATCAGCTGAAGTGATAACAAGAATATCCACCTATAAAACACAGATATCATCAACAATATTACCATCTGTAAATTTGACCACGGTTATGTATTAGTGAACCACGATAAGCGGCTATATTATCGTCTATTATGATCATAGACCCATCTTTATAGGTCTATGATTATGATAATAACAAATTCGGTAGATATGTACAGAAATTAAAACTACAGTCTACAGACTAATTTAAATTTTAGTAATAGTCATGAAGTAAACGTAAAATAATAACAAAATACACCTTCATTGCAGTAATTTTAATACACGTCTCGGTTTATTTGTTAGCACTTCACTGTTGTATTATTTGTACCACGGACTAAACATATTTTGTACTTTTTTTTTTACATTTATTGGTAAGTTACATAATATGTACTAATAATCTTAATCTTCTACCGCAACACATACCTGCTTCCACTTATCCCTATCCTCCTCAATTGCTTCTCCATCCTGAATTCCAATTTATTCTATATTCTTTTCGACTTTGACTATAGTATCCACCTTTGTTTTGGTATTTCCCTTTGGGTTTCCATTTAAGTCAATATTATTTGTTTAATATATATAGGTACCAACATCCTAAAGTATCTCAAAATGATTAGACTGAACCCTACCAGATTGGAACTTAGAATTGAAGATTTAAATGAGTTTTCCGAAGTAAGAAAAGAATTCGAAGCCATTAAAAAAGCGAGAGAAGACAAACAAAAAGCTCTTCTAGGCAATGTATCGAACAATGTGAAAACCAAAGAAGCTGCTGTACAAGAACGAATAGGATTTGTTCCAAGACCAAGACATTCATCACAATGAACAAGTAATAAATCAACATAGCTTTGTAACCTCAACATATATACTGTGTAATTCATATACTATAAACCTATGTATTATTTTTATTTAATATAATTTTTAGCTTCAAAATGGTTCATTACTTTTTATAAAATAAAACATACTTTTGTCTGCAACTTACTATTTCTATGTATTACTTTACAAATTAAACTATTTGATCATCCATACCAGCTACACCAATTTACTTTTTATATAATTGATCTGTATATTGTGTTGATTTGTGTTAAGTGTAAACTTCAATTGGGACTTAATGATTTTAATTTGTCTATTATTACACTTATTCGGTATTTTAGTCACCAATATTTATTTAATTTACTATTTAGTAAGTATTAAAGGTTTACCGACGATTGCTCTAGCTACAATACAGAGGTAAAGCTTTACAATTAAATGCTAATTAATAAAGGACATTAGAAATTAATACATCAAACACATTTTTTTTGTATTTTGAGAAGAAAATAGTTATTGTTTATGACTACTATTTTCTGTACTTAATGAACTTTAAATTCACTTTGGCAACAAACACAGCTGTAAGATTTAGTCCAAATTGTTTCTGTTTTAGAATCACAAGTTCCTTTCGTTTGTCAGCCTTCTCTGGATTGATAAAAATTACCCATCAATAAAACTCTTAAAATTAGTAGTTCGTTCCCACCATGACATAATTTAAGGTTGTTGTTAGATAGCAGAAAACACATATGCATTTTTTTTTTAAAGTGAACCTTTACAGCCAGTGTTTTTTGATAGTATAGTTTTTTTATAAAAAAAACTATAAACGTTACAAATATTGTATATTTTACCATATTTGTTTTTAATTTACTTATCATCTTGTTAGTTTTGTTTATTAAATTATGTTTTTTTTCTTTTATCGTATGAATATATTATATATTGATTTTGTTTTGTTATAAATCTTATTATTCATACTTTTATTCATTATTCGTTTGGTGTATAGACAAATTGTACACAGTTGCTATGATTAAATAATTTTTATTCTTTTAGTTTAAATAATATTATGTTGTCCTAAGAGTTTTATTCTTTCTTTTCCTTCATCTTCATCTCCACTATTTGGGGCGTTAGTCAGATACTTATGGATAGAATAATAGGCCAGCAGTAGATACGGACTGAATATAAATACAAACAAAACTAAATTTATGATCATCAACAAGGAAGATTTCACCGGAGCTCACACAAGTATTAATCAAATCAGAATATAAAGACAGCATCAATTCCAATACCTTGGCACCGTCATTAACGAACAATGGGATAATGCAAAAGAAATAAAGTGTCTTATTGGAAAAGCCAGAAAATTATTTAATTCAATGAGTGTGACATTCAAAAGCCATAACCTATCTTTACACATAAAAATACGACTCCTGCAATGCTACATGTTCTCAACTCTTGTATGTTGCAGAAACTTGGACCCTAACCAAAACCACTTAGAATAAGTTGGAAGCATTTGAACTACGGTTATACAAAAGAATTTTGAGAATATCATGGACTGAGAAAATTACCAATACTAAGGTAATGCGTAGAATGGGAAAGGAAAAAGAATTAGTTTTAACAGTTAAATGCAGGAAACTCTAATGCTTAGGACATATAATGTGGAACAAGTGTAGGTATGACCTTCTCCAACTTATGCTACAAGTAAAAATAGATAGCAAAAGATCGTCTGGAAGAAGAAGAATAAGGGGCTATCCAACCTACCTCAGAACATGGTTTGACAAAAGTTCGGTAGAATTATTCCGAAGTGCCACTAACAAAATTTGCATAACAATGATGATCGCCAACATCCGAAACGGATCGGCACATTAAGAAGAAGTCGCTACTCGTCTTAACCCTTCTTCACTCAACACGATCTCCCACATCATCTTCGCATACACCAGCTGCAGTCCTCATATAATTTTCAATGGCGTCCAACCACTCTTTTTCGGTCTTCCTCTACCCTTCTTTCCTCTTACGTTTCTAGAGTTTTATTTTTTATACTTGGCCACGCATCTCCAACATGACGTGGCTTGATTATAATTTTTTTACATTTTTTTTTGCATACTTAGTTACTAACTCACTATAATTATGTTAATATACATTTCAATATTGCTTTGAAAAACCTAATAATGCAATGCTAATTTAATAAATACAATTTTAAAAACACGTTAAAGAATAAATATATACTATTTAAGATAAAATGTGTGAAGGTTGCAACTTGTAATATAATATAATGAGGAAAAAGTGTCATGGCGAAGGACGTGATTACTGTGTTGTGTATTCTATGGACTATGGTTGTTGGTAGGTACCGACTATACCCTCCGTAAAAAACATATAGCGCCGTATTTTATAATTATTATTTATTAAAAATTATTTTACCGCCAACCTAATCGTAGCCGATTTCTTAATTTCTGTGTTGTAAACTGCGATGTATTTTTTAATAAACTAATGACAATTAAAAAAAAAAAAAATCCTCAAAACCAGCTGTACAATTGTACATCAACTTTCTTCAGAGGGCCTCTGAACTGTTGTATGCCATCGCCATATCAAAAATTACTTGCGATGTAATCACAAGTTAACTGATAAGAATATGAATAATTTCAATTTTCATTAAAAGTTATTACTTTTTGAATAATTGTAACAAACGAAATACTGAATTCATATTTGTGAAAAAAACTTAAATAATAAATATTTTATCTTATATAATAATGAAATACTAAAATAATTATTATTGTTATTAATTACAATAGCTTTAACGCTATTGTAAGGTAATGTTTTATATTATAAATAATACGATTTCTATTTAAAAAATAATATAAATGAGGATCATTACTGTCACATAGGTAGGTATATACTATATTTTCATTTTTACATTCAGGGGTTTCTAGTTTTATCGTTAACTTGTGTTTCATATTTTTATAGATAATTTCAGTATGTTTACGTTGTCTGTTCTCTCTTATAACGCTTGCAATGAAGATCAGAAAAATATTTATTATAGACTAAATGTTCCACGTATCGAATTGAAATCGTGCTGTAAAGCGGTATTAGCAAACATTAAGGATCCTTCTAGATGGAACATCTCAATGGTTTATGAAAATGCTACTATTAAGGCTGCAGAAAACGGTCATTTGACCTGTTTAAAGTATGCCTATGAAAATAATTGCCGATGGGACACATTTACAGCTACGAGCGCTACACACAATTTAGAGTGTCTGAAATATGTAATTGACAATGGGTGTCCGACCGATACTTCAGTATGTAGCAAGGCGGCTGAAATCGGTAATTTAGAAAGTTTACGGTTTGCCCATGAAAACGGATGTGCATGGAACGCCGACACCACCTGGTATGCTGGCATCAATGGACATCTGGATTGTTTGAAATATGCCTGTGAAAACGGTTGTGTGTGGGATAAAGATGTCACCAGGGTGGCTGCAGAAAATGGATATTTACACATTCTAAAATATGCTCATGAAAACGGCGGTCCATGGGACGATCAAGTAATTGAAGGAGCTGTAGTCGGCGGTCACTTAAACTGTTTAGTGTACGCTCGTGAAAATGGATGCCCTTGGAATTCCATTGTAACGCCATTAGCTGCTGAATTTGGAAATTTAGAATGTTTAAAATACGCTGCTGAAAACGGATGCCCAATGAGCCACTCTACTGCTTCGGAAGCTGCAGAAAATGGACGTCTTAACTGTTTGATGTATGCTCATGAAAATGGTTGCCCTTGGGATGAATCCACAACTTGTATGGCCGCTGCAAATGGGCATTTAAAATGTCTAATGTATGCTCATCAAAATGGATGTCCGTGGAATGAATATTTGATCAAAAATGCACTTCGAAATGAATATTTTGACTGTGTAAGATATGCTTATGAAAATGGTTGTCCAAACAAACTTAACAAAGAAACTATAGACTTTATAAATAGTCAGCTATAGTTTTTGAAAAGCCGCAATATCAAAAACCAAATTGCGAGTAGTAGCTCTCAAATAGTCAAATCACAATCGATATTTTGTTTTAGTTAAATTATATACTTTTTATAATTATCATGTTTCTCAGAATAAATTAAGATAAAATAAAATGTTATACAAGTCTAACAACTTTGTGATTTTTTTAGAATAATATATTAATTATTTTATTTTATTTTACTCTAAACATTTCAATAATTTCGAACAGTACTTCAGTTTTTTAATGCTTCCAAAGATGTAAAAAAACATTTAAAACAACAATTTTCTTAAAAAAAAAAAACTACTAAATCATAAATCGTAAATCTACATAAGCTCCGAGACCCCTTCTAAATTCAGAAAATAATTTAATTAAATTAAAAACTTTTTTTGGAGTAGCTACCAGGAGCACCTTTTTTTGTAGGGGAGGCGGAAAAATCTAAGCAAGCAATTTTTCTCATCTGTATTTTTACTTAGCTATAGGTCACATTTACCAAAAGATATTTATAAATACTTTATAATTGAGAACTATTTTAGCAGGCCATTAAAAGACAGAAATGCATGTAAAGGAGACAATGCTCTCCCTAATACGTCCTCCCTGCCCCACAAATAACAGCATACACATAGCTCTCCAGCATGCAATATCATAATAGTTAATACTTAATTTAACATTTTTAAAAGTATTTCATAATTCATGTTATCATATTATACAATATAATATCAAAATAATACTATCAATCCTGACAAACTCATTAGGTATGTCGATAGCTTTTGTTATCAACTTCACTACATGGCTACTAACATTCTTCCGTAAGCTTCCGGCGAACACCGACAACCATCTTAAGTTATTGACATACCTATTGCCAATCTACCGTAAATAATTTAATTTGTGATTATGGGAAGCAAAGAGATAGTGTTGCATGTATTTTAGAAAAATAGATAAATAATTAAAAAGTGAATAGTAAATACTGATCGGAAACAAATTGTATTCAAACCTAAATGTATATTAGTTCCAGTTGTGTCTAGTTGACTTCTTCAGTTTTATGTAGGCAATTTAACAAATATATTGAAATAGACTTAAACCATACATTTAATTTTTTGCGAGTTGGTTTTTAGTTCTAATGTATTATGTAGTCAACTAGACTTGTTCAATTTATTGGCACGCGGCTGCTTCTGAATAAAGAATATTAAACAGTTTTGTTTAATTTTGTAAGTAAAATTGATTATTATTATTTTTTATTTTTGTTATTCGAGTAATTTATTCATAAATACTTTCCCTAATCGTAATGAATAACAATTACTCAAAACAACTTTATTGTTATTATTATTATTTAAAGTCACACAGACAATTTATTATTGCTATTTGAGTTAATTCTTTAAATATCGTCAATGAACAACAATATTTCTATATAATTTTTTCATGTTTTAGCATTATGTCAAGCTGGGACACAGATAGTAGTTCTGATTCAATTCCACTAATTGTTTATGCCAACAACAATCGTTTACCAGGTAGTAATGACTCGGTAGCCGAATCAGACAGTGAAGATAATGAAAGTATTCAAGATAATTCTGATACTTCATCTGGAGACGTAAGATATTTTTTTTCCTTCATTTACCTATATTGTGAAAAACCAGCCTTATTTTCCAATACATTTTTTTTTTTTTTTTATAAAATCAAATACCAGCTGTCTTATATATAATTGAAATTATTTCAGAGTCATAATGATGCCATATTACTCAACACTGACGATTCTGATATTGGGCCTAATAGTCCTACATTAAGTTTTGCCATTGATGATCCATTTTTGGAAAATCTGTACCAAGATAATATCAATGTTACCGCACCTAAACCTAACTGGTGTACACCAAAAGAATTGTACAATAGGTAAAAAGACAAACAAAAATTAATATACTGTTTTGTTATAATGTTAACAAATAATGTTTTTATTTCAGAGAAATTGGAAAATACAGCAGTCCTGCTATTTGGTGTAATAAATTTTATGGTTCGATGACTGCCGTGCAAAAACTTAAATTGGTTCATCAATTGAAAGGCCATCGTGGTTGTGTAAATACTTTGGATTTCAATCCTGGAGGTGATATTATTGCTAGCGGTTCTGACGATCAAAATATTTGCCTCTGGAACTGGTCTCTAGGAAAGTGTTTATTAAAATATGACAGTGGACACCATGAAAACGTTTATCAGGTTAAATACAATTGTAAATATGAGTACATAATTTGAAACCGACTGTAACGTTCAAATGTAAAACTAACTTTGTATTTTTAATTACCATGTGTGTGTAGACCAGATTTTTGTTATCTCAAGGAGATATTCGTATTGTGTCATGCGGACGCGATGGTTTGGTGAGATTATCTGCTGTTGGCAAAAGTCATCTATATTATAACAAACTACTGGCATCTCATTACCATTCCTGCAACAAACTTAGTGTACATAAAGATTTACCGTATGTAGTTCTTAGCTGTGGTGATGACGGAGTTGTAAAATCCATTGACATTCGTGAATCACCTATTTACGAAAATGTTAATTCCACAAAGTAATGTATACCAATTTGAAAAACTAATTTATTGTAGTTTATGTTTTTTTTCTCATTTTCGGGCAATGTACTGTATCCTGTAAGGTTTTCACAATTTCAATTTTTTTTTAAAGTAAACAAGTTACTTAAAGTTGATTTCTTGGTCACATTTACTTAAAAATGTTTTATTTTTATTAGCATACAGAAAATATGTAATGAAAATGGTTCTGTCGTACGATTATTCGGTGTTGATACAAATCCAATGAATTCGTTGGAGTTCATTGTACACGGCGATGATAAATTTGTAAGGATGTATGATAAAAGAAAACTAAAGAAAGAGCCTGTAAAAATATTTTGCAGAAAAGGTTTTTCTATGGTACGTTTATTAATTATTAGATAGTCATAATACACTAAGTCAGTTCTTATATAATATTTTTATAGATCGAAGGAGTGTCGCATATCACCTCGGCTGTGTACAACTATTGTGGTACAGAAATTCTAGCGTCTTACAGTGAGGACGACATTTATTTATTCGATGTCAACAGTTCGCCTGACACACATCTTCATCAGTATGGAGGTCATCTGAATAAAATTACAGGTAAAACTATTCATTTAGAGTAGGTATACTTCAACATTTTTATTAAACAAAATTATTATTTGCCAGTCAAGGGTGTCAATTTTTATGGACCTAAAGGCGAATTTGTTGTATCTGGTTCCGACTGTGGCCATATTTTCATATGGGATAAAAAGACTGAAGCCATCGTACAAAAGAAACACGCCGATGCAAACGGAATTGTATGAATAGTCTGGAAAAAGGGATAATTATTAACGTGTAGTATTTTATTATTATATTTTTTGTTATTAAAAAATAGGTTAATGTACTGGAACCGCACCCGCACATTCCTACTTTAGCAACGAGTGGTTTGGACAAGACTATTAAGATTTGGCAACCACTAAAGGGATGCATAGAACCAAATATTCTAAAACTAAAAAAAGTAAGTAAAATTTGCTAAATATTTACTTAGTTAAAATACATGCCCTAGCTTAGAAATTTTGAAAATTCAAATAACTACTTTATTGACTCCTCGTCAAACCTCAATCTTAAAATAATATTCGTACATATTAATTTATTATAGTCGATAATCCAAAACCGAATTGAAAGAGAGCGAGGTATCAGAAGGGATTAATCGTGAACGGTAAATATAATACTAGTCCAACATGTTTAGACTAAGTTATGAACTCTTTAGCACTTTGCTTTATAGAAATATGTATAATTTTTTTCTTTTCTAGAAATTTGGATTAATACTTCATTTAACAATTTAACTATACTTCATGAATTTTTGTTGAAAAATTTGTCTCAGTCAGTTCTCGGTTCTTTGACCAAACTCCATTAGGCAATCAGAACTGGACTTTTTTGGAGACTGAAAAATCCACTTCCTTTTATTAAAATATAATGCCTAAAGAATGATGAAGTCACCAACCACCAGTTTGTTTGATCCCAACAATACTTCATAGTATTTACTTTGCTTATTACTTATTGTTTTGTATTTTATTTGTACAAATAAATTATTTCTTGTAATAAAACTATTACCAGTTTGTTTGATCCCAACAATACTTGATAGTACTTTATTACTTTTTGTTTTGTATTTTATTTGTAAAAATAAATTATTAATAGTAATAAAAATAATATTTAAGTTGAAAAATAAAATAAAAAAAACTTTTACAAATACCTTTTTTATTTTACAAAACATCCTTAAATGTACATATTTATCAGTAAACCGGTTTTTAATTAATACATTCCAATTAATGTAGAGAGATCAGTATAATATTTTAGTACAACTAGACTAAGCGATAAAGTATAAATGGCTTTGATAGCGATAATTGACCAAGCGTCAAATGTAACCCAGACACCCAGTAAATCGATAGCAGCTGTACGATAAACAGACAACAATAGAAGTATGGCCACGGCAACAACTGGAGAAACAATCGATTGCAATTTGGATAAATCGTGTCTAGACCAAAGCCATACTAATGCAGCAGTCATTATGTGATGCATCTATAATGATAACATGGATAATAATTAGTACAAATCTAATACTAGTTTATTGATTTAAAACTATTACAACTTGGATAAAAACAACCTTATTTTTCATGATTCACTCACCAAATTTATGTTTGATTCTAAACACTTTTGTGTATATATCCAATCAAATTCGGTACCTCTTGCATCCACCCACAATAGAAGAAATCTTGTTAACAAGATCTCTGCACCAGCCCAGCCGATACCAGCAGTAACTACTTTTGCATGTTCTTTGCCGGGTATACTCTGCAGTATAAAAAATATTCCAGCGAGGTCTGCTAGATCAACTGAAGTCTTGAATAAATTCTAAAAATAATAAAACGTATTATAACAGGACTAAAATTGCCACACGGTCAGTATGTTGCGAGTTTAAATTAAAAGAAACCAATTGTTATAACTAGTTAGAAATAATTGCCCAGTCTTGTTTATTACAGTGAGTAGTTTTCTTAATATTATGATATAATACTGTTTTGTGTCGTTTTTAATGGGAGTATGATAACCAATAAAATGTTCAACTTTTTTTTTAATGTATATGTAAAATTCAAGTAAGAGTTACTAGTGTTAGTTTATTTATTATTATTAAAAACCCTTTTGACAATAAAATTTCACTTTTACACAAATATGTGTATTTGGGCGACTATGTGTCTTTTTAATTTTTGTGTCAATTGGGGGTTTTTTTTTAAATAATAATATACTCACCAGTTTAATATTGCTATAACATTGTTTTTATACATTTTTTTACCCAAAAAACAATAATATTATCTGAATTTGTACAGCTTAATTACTTTCTGAGACGTATAATAAAAAAATCAGAAAAACTCTTTTTAAGTACACTTAATTTGTACAATTTTAAAAAATTTGACTAGGCAACAAAAATGTTTTACATATGAATCATCAATCAGCAACATCACTCTAACCATATTACTGAATTTGGCAAATATTAAACTAATATGAAATCCATGTAAAAAAGCAACAAATTAATGGAGGGGATTGAGCAATTATTTTAACTATTTCATCTATGATTCTGTGGCTTGGAGCAAGAAGGGTCAATGTCGATTTTGTGCATAAACGAGTTAGTCCGCTAATTGCAAAAATTGAATCATTCTTTATATACTGTGAAAAAATCACACTCCGAGGCCAAAAAATGAATTACTCATGAAGAGTTTGATAAAAAAATTAACATAGAGCCTAATGGAAAATAAAAACTTCAAAGCTCATTTTCCGAAAGTTGCTAAAAGTGACATTGGCCCTTCTTGCTCTAAGCCACAGGATTACATTATAGGCAAAATAACTTCTCATCACAATGAATTGAGCTAATTATGTACAACACTTGTTGTTATTTTTTAATTTAAACATACTTACAGCTAAACTTAAGATGCTGGTTGCTGATTCATTGGCTGGAAAGAATGTCGCTAGAATAAGCATTTTACACAGTTGAGTAAATGCATATATTATTCCTCCTTGTATGCATTTCCAAAATGCGCCATACTCAGATCTGTAAATCATTTTGTATAAATTAGAAAAAACTTAGTTCAAAGTATCTAAAGAACTATGTGTAAACTCACAAATTTGAATATTTATATGTCAAGTAATATGGCACGTACAGCAACGCAACACAATTTCCAAAATGATACAATGTCATGTTTATCAGTAAATAAATTTACCTATCTTAAAACGAAATTTAACTAGAAAAAAAGTAGCTGTACCAAAAAACGGTAGTATAAATTATAATGAAGTATTGGTTTCCATTTAATATTATGAAATAATTATTAATTAATAATCTATTAGCTAAGGCTGTGGTCTCGCCTAATCTATACGAGTGTGAAACTAGCAATTTCATTCTAGCAATTTGTGATAACGATTTTCCGTATGGACCGCAGTGGTTACCGACTGGTGACCTAAGAAATATCATAATATCTACCGCTTAAGGCCGCCGCATATTCCGTGTATGCGACGGCAACGACCCATCCGCCGTGGCCCGGCAAACACCAAGAAACACGCAACTGCCAACTACCGCCGCGCGGCCGGCTACATAGCCGCGCCCAGGACTGAGCCACTACGACCCGGGCGCACTAAGGTGGCGACGGGCACATCGCCGCACCAGCTGCCGCCGGCGAACACAACATCGCCGACTGCCGGCCACAGAGCCACTTGACGCGTTCAGAATTTTATTATAAAATAATAAATATAGAACTTTTACTATAAAATATAGAAATTTTAAAATAAAATATAGAACTTTTATAATAATATATAGAAATTTTATAATTAAGTATAACAATTTTATAAAATATAGAAATTTTGTAATATAATATGGACATATTATATTACAGGCCAAGGTTGGCTAATGATCTCAAATGATCATTGATTAATGAGTCATTGACACGTGAACATAATATTAAAGATGCATAACAATTATTTAACCGTTTTATAATAAATTAACAAAATTACCAAACAATTGCCACAAAAATGAATAAACTGTTTAAAAAATTTTTTTTTTTTTTTAAATAAATCAAAAACAGTTAAAATGTCTAATAGTAAGTATTTATAATAAAAACAATAACAATGTCATGTATTCAATAAAAAAAGTCTGCATTATTAAGAGAAGTACATCAACTTAATTACATAGAACATTTTTTGTTTTTGTTTAACGTTAAAACACTTATACGTCTAGTGGTTGTAGTTAAATTTAATTAAAATTAAATAGCCTCGATTAAACGCTAGTAGTTGCACTTACATAGCCTATTGAGTTACAATTACTCTATTTAACGCAATTTATTTACAAACTGATTGAATGAAAAGCGGTTAATTACATTTGTAGAACTCATCGAGCAGTGGGCACGCATCTGTGTAGTGCAAAATGGGATTTTCGAAAAAATGATTTTAAACACACATGACATTTGTGAGCTGTCTTTCCACCAGTGTGTGAGCGTTTGTGTTTTGCGAACTCAACCTTATTAGAGAAAGGCATAGAGCATGCGTCACATTTATAAGGCTTTTCACGAGTATGCACGATTTTGTGTCCTGTGAGGTGGGTGTTTCGAGCAAATGACTTTGGGCACTCATCACATTTGTAGGGCTTTTCTCCAGTGTGCACCCGTTTATGTAGTTTGAGGTAGAGATTCAATGCAAACGATTTTGAGCACACAACACATTTGTAGGGCCTTTCATTAGTGTGTAGGCGTTTGTGTTTTGTGCAGTCAGACTTATTGGAGAACGACTTTAAACATACATCACAGCTATAAGGTTTTTCACCTGTGTGCACGCGTTCGTGTAGTTTGAACGGGCCTTTTCGAGAAAACGACTTTGAGCAAACGACACATTTAAATGGCTTTTCCCCAGTGTGCACGGGTATGTGTTCTTTGAGGCCAACTTTTTGAGAAAATGATTTTGAGCATATACCACATTTATAGGGTTTATTAGCAATGTGCACGCCTTCGTGTGAAGTGAGGTTAGATTTTCGATAAAACGATTTTGAGCACACCACACATTTATAAGGTTTTTCATCAGTGTGAATGATTAAATGGTTTTTGAGGTAGGATTTTCGAGCAAACGATTTTGAGCACACTGAACATTTATAAGGTTTTTCACCAGTGTGCATACGTCTATGGTTTGCAAGGGTGGATTTATAAGAAAAATCCTTACGACACACATCACAATTGTAGCGTCGGCTGATGTTTTCGGTACATCCTTTGGTCACATTGTTAGTCGTATGATTGACACTAGAACAAAATATTGTCGAATAATAAACAATAATGTTTTACAAAAATATATTATTCACATAATTTTACGCAGCAAACTATTTATTTTTGTTTATCATATTTTTGGCAATCACACAATCTAAATGTGGTTTTTTTTTTGTAATTTAGATTTAATATACTAACTTTTTTTTTTTACTTTTAATTAATATAGTGAAACTTGAATAAAACCATAATTTGCTTTATACGTTTTAAGGATATACTGAAAAAAAAGAGAAAATACAGTTTGACCATAGTAAATTTCTAGGTTACTATATTGTGTGAATGCTATCTTAAAACTAACACTGCTTATTTAAAAGTAAATAAATTGATGGATAGCGAATAAGACGTTACCTATTTAAGTTTTATATTGCATTATCATCTTAACGACATAATAATAGATAATTTAATATATTAAATCAAAATTTGCCTTACATGAAATTATTTTGGACGACTTGTTTTCCAGTGCTTTTCTGTGTTGTTGGGTGTGTACTATGTGATTGATATATGTGTCTGGCCACTCTCCTTTTGGTAGCAAATGTCATTTTACATATATCACAGACAAATGGCTGAACCTCGTCCAAATCATAGCTTGTTGTTTGCTCATCTAATTGGAAATTGTTATCAATTTCTATCAAAGACTCATAATAATGACCATCTACTAGGTCCATTTCGACTTTCACTATGCTTTCGCTGCACGTTTCTCTGACACTAAAAACAGAAACTTATTAATTTCCATAAACATTATTTCTCCGTCCTTAGAGCTTGTGCCAACAGAATAAGTGCTGTGACACTACTATATTATTGTTTCACAATAACAATATAAAATATTAATTGTATTTTAAAATTTACACACCTGTATGAAATCTCATCGGATGTTTTATAAAAATTATTCTGAGCCGTCTCACAGACATTATATGATTTTTCAAAGCAAGTAGGACTCGTTTTTATCACTAAGGCTTCTTGAAAATGCTCTTTTATATCTTCTTCATTATCTTCATTTATTTTGCCCACAGGACAGTTAGAAATATCAGTTTCGTCTTTAATTTCAATTTTAACTTTCTCATCAGTAACTCTAAAAAATATTGTTTTTCACATAAACCGATTAAACAAATTTTACAAAATACATACAAAAAACTTTTTTTGGTGTAAAACGAGCATATGATGTTTTTTAATCAAAAATCTGTATTGTTAGGTACTTGTGTTTACTAATTTATAAAGTTTGACATTATAAGGAAAAGAAAATGAATGGAACCAGAGGATGAGATCAGGCACGTATCTAGAAAATTTCTAATAAGGGGGCCAACAATTTTGGGCTCTTGTATTATTTTCTATAATTTGTTTTCAATGAAAAATGTGTGGGGGGGCTTCTCCCTCAAACTCTCTCTTAGGTATTATCACATAACAAAAATTTACCTATGGTTGGTTAAAAAAAATGTTTTCGTATCAAGTATATCTATTACAGTATTACAAAAAATGGTTAATAACTATTATTAAAAAAATTACCTACATCTTCACTATCGAGATAAATTTTATATGATGTGAAAAATAAATCTATTTAAAACATAGGCTGATTTAATTTTTCAACTTCTATTAAGAAAAATTAGTTCATATCTAAATATTAAAAAAGTGATAACTACATTTTTTAATTTAATATACCTTTTAAACAATGTCAAATTTATTTAAAAAAGTTCACATACAAGCAGAAAATGTTAATAATACAATATCGCTCAAACACTGAAATAAAGCGCAATCGGCTACCTGACCACTGGGAAGTCCATTTTTTTACTCAAAAAATATTTTTTATGAATATAAAAATTAAAATGCAGTCATAATATTAACTGTATTACCTAATAGTAATCACAATAGATTTTTTTACGTGTATAAGCCTAGCACGTTTTTGATACTTATTGTTAGTAAAAATAATTATATTTTGAATTTAAGGGGAGCCAGGTTACGAGCTTGAAAATGATCGACCAAGAAATACAATTTTAGTGAAACTATAGAAGAGAATGTCCTCTCCCTGTTACGAGGCAATGAGAAGGGTAGCGAAAAATAGATAAGATTGGTTGCTCCATTAATACGAGCTCTTTAGTTGAAAAAAATTAGATATTTATAAGGTATGAAACACTGACAAAATATTATTTGTGATTAAAAATTGTCTTACTTGAATCCCTTTTCATCTTCTGTTGATATTAAACCTTCATCAATCGTAGAAATACCATTGTGCGATGTTGTAATATGATGTTTCAATTCCTTTTTAGATGTAAACAACTCCAGACACATGTCACATATTTCATCCACCAAGTCGTTTGTTTGTTGGATGTCTATATGTTTGGCGTCTTCATTTTTGTTCAACGAATTAACGCAATATTCTTTTATTTCATCTTTTCCCGAATTAATATTGGTCTCATTGATTATATTATTATCTCTACGAGTATAAAAAAAAAAATGTTATTTTTTTAAAATTAATAAAAGTTAGTTATAATTTACATAGGTGTAATATTAAGTATAAAGTAAAATCTTATTTTTATCAACATTTTTTAATATAGTTATATATTATATTGGTTGCTATTTGATAGATTTTAAATGAAACTACTGTTTAGTCTTTTGAGATTTTAAAATAGACTTACTCAATTCTATTTTCTTCTTCTTGTTTCATTGAACTTTCATCGATCGTAGGAATACTATTGTGCGATGTTATAATATGATGTTTCAATCCCTCTTTAGACGTAAACGACTCTAGACACAAGTCGCATTTCTCTTCCGCCAGGCTGTTTGTTACTTGCATGTCCAATGACGTCGTTTCTTCTACTTGTAATAACAATTCAAAACAATAATCTCAATTACATCAATTTAGTGTTCAATATTAGTCCCGTTGATCAAATTTTATATACTATTTAAAAATTGATAAATAAATATAGGTAAACTGAAAATTGGACATTAATCAATTTTTTTTTTATTTTACCCAAAATATAAATAAAGGGATGAATACTAATACAATTACATTTAGATGAAAATATGACTAAACTCAATCGTTTTATTATTTTACTCTAGAAAATGTGTAACAACAACTCCAACTGATAACGCTATCACCTTATCATTGTTGCATGTTGGTATGCATGTTTACCTAGTAATCTAAACTGACAAAAAGGTGCAGACAAATCCAAATGACTCTCCATTTCGTTGTGACTTGCTCGTTTAGCCAGTATGTCATCTAAAACCAATAATCGTTCGTCTTTACAATATATAGTATACATTATACACTATATATTTTTTATTATCTAGAACGTCTAGATATTAACTTTTGATATACCTTACCGTTAAAGAGGGTAGGAACAGCATTATCTGTTAACCTGTTTTTACGATTAACATTCAGGAACATTTTGTCTTCAAAATGATCCTGACATATCCGAACATCTTTAACGATAACGTCTTTGCCAGCCAATTCGAGAGCACAATTCTCAATCCACATCGCACGTCTAGAACCAAAAAAAATTATATCAGTACAAAATAATTTTTGTGGTATATGACAAAATTTAATATTTTAAGGTAAGCTTTTCTTGTCATGTGCTGTCTACCCCTGTCGTATGAATATCTAACACCTGGTATGCAGTCAACCTGTCTCCGCATTTGATTAAAAATAGCGAACTGTAGAAGAAGTCAACAAGAATACCGAAGTTAAATTAAAAATATTCTTACCTTTCGGACTCCTTCGGTAACGTGAAGTAACGAATTAAATTGGTCGAATGTACCGAATTTCTGCTCTTACAGTATTTCACACCACATTTGCGGTAAGGAATACTTTTGGAATTGTTCATAATTAAAATTTATATATAAAAGTACAAAGTCAAACGCTGTAAAAATTAATTAACAATAAATAAATCATTTTTGAAATTTAAAATGCGCATCCGTACATCAGTAGACAGTATCGGCGTACAGCAGCGCCATAACAATGAAAGTCAGTGATGCGTAGTTAAAAAAACAATAATTTCTCATAAATACTTTTTTCCTACGAGTGGCGACACTGACCTGAGGCAGGTTGTGGTTTGCTTACATTTTCGAGAATTACATGGGCTAATAAATAGGAAATGCACTATCTGGTTTTATCTAATCTATGGTAGATACTAGGTATAAGTTATAACGGCGTTTGTGAAACTGTGCTTAACTAGATATTTTATACTCTCAAAATGCATATGCGCATGTGTAATACATAAATATTAGACAACGTTCATACTATACAGCACTTTATTAATAAATTCACACCAATTTACAAACTAAAACGCTTATTAGAACAAGGGTCTTATTTCAAGTTTTAGTTTTTTTTCAGGAAACTTTAAAAAAATCTTCATGCTAAATTAAAATTTAATAAACCCATTAAATGGTTAGAAATTAGGCAAAGTTATAAAGTTTTGTTAAAATAGAAAAATGAATCATTGAATCAATTTGAAATTGGGTATTTATTATAATAAGCGTCTTAATTGTAATAATAATTAGTAATAAGAGTTATAAGACTACATGTTTTATACTATACAGCACTTTATAATAAATTTGCACCAATATAAAAATTGTATAATAATTTTTATTTTATTGCATTTTTAGAATCATACAATTTGTATTTTTTTTTAAACTATTTACAATAAAATATATACATGACTATCATGAGGAAACCCCACATTAGGGGCCCCTAATCGTATTAGTAATTATTATAAAGAAAATGTATAACAAGTATTCTAAAACACTATACAGCATTTCATATAAAATCTACAGTATACTGTACTGTTATTATATTTATACCTAATTAAAAATGACATGAATATATACTAGTTAGTTAGTTATTACTAAGTTTATATATATATATAAACTTATGTTAATAACAATTGTAAGTACTAAATTGTATTCAAAGCTAAACAATAGTGTGTAAGATAATTTGTAAATATATTATGTAACATGGTTTATGCAACTAAAGCTTTTGTTCAATAAAAAAAAGGGGGTTTTCCTACTTTTTAAACGAAAGCGTCCCTTAATTCACACAAACGTGTTTATACCCCAGAGAAGCCAGAGAATAATTATTGGATCATGGCAATATTTTTATGAACACTACAAATTAAAAACTAGATAAAATGTATCCTAAGAAATGCCAATTGGATGACCCACTCCTTCTGAAGGTATCTAGATATGTGTAAGAAATATATACTATCATAAAAAATTTTAATTCCTTTTTGCTATAATTTAGATTTTTTTGTAGATACTCATCAGCCAGAGGTGAATAAGCGGGTTTTCCTAAAAAAATGGATAGTATAAAAGAAAAACATAAATCATGAAAAGTATATTTGACAAATTGGGGAAAAATATTAAAATGCAAATCATAAAAGAAATAAAACATAATTTGGTTGTCAAAAAACAAAGACTTGCAAAGGAAAAAAAGTGAATCACTTGAGAACTCAAGCAACCATTAAACAGATTTTGCTAGAGATAACTGAATAATAATAAAAATGTAAAACAAATTAGAATTGTAAAAAATACTATAATTTCTTATGTAACTAAAGTATTACAAAATTAATAAAAAATGTACTACTAGGGGCAAAGAAATGTATTGGCAAGGAAATGCAAATAAATTGCTAGTGTAAATACAGTATGACACAATATTGAGTAAAAAACCAAAACATGTAAACATAAGCATCAAATGACTAGAACTTAAAGCATCATTAAGTTAAAATAAATTAATAGCAAACCTCTTTATGGAGTACAAATAAATGTACAACACAAAATAAAAGCTGTATTTTTATTCACAAAAAAAAAAAAAAAAATGTAGGCAAAGACACCGATTGCAAATTGTTAAATATAATACGTGTTCAATTATGTAAGCCTTTTAACAAGTGTGCACACGTTCGTATGTTTTGTAATGGATTTTTACTGAAAGACATTTTAAGCACACTACACAATATCTGTATGACTATTCTCTTGTATGGACACGTTTGTGCTTAACCAGTTAGTCATTTTCGGAAAACACATGAAGCACACATTGCAAATTTAATAATGTATGTTTTCATGTCCTATAAGGTAGGATTTCTCCGAAAATGATTTATAGCACACACTACATATGTACGGCTTCTCTGGGGTATGAACACGTTTGTGTGCATTAAGGGACCTTTTCCTTGCAAAAGATTTTAAGCACACATTACATTCAAAAGGCTTTTTATTTTTATGGATTTGTTTGTGTTTTGCAAGGTAAGAACTTCTAATAAAAGAAATGGTACACACATCGCATTCATAAAGCTTTTCTCCAGTATGGATACGTTTGTGTACTACAAGGTTAGATTTTGTAGTAAAGTACTTGGCGCATATATCACATTTGTACAGCTCTACTGCACCAGGCACCTGTTCGTTATTTGTGAGTGAAGTCTTGCATACATATACACGAGTATTGTGCACATTAATTAAATGACAGAGTATTTCCCTTACGGCAAAAAACATTTTTTTACACGAGTCGCATTTATATGTATCCGAATGTTTATAGGTCTTTGTTTGTTGATTAATTACATCAATAAGATTCGTTTCATTGGTAATTTCATTTACACTAGAACAAACATAACAGTACAGCTTAAATTAATAATTAAAAAAATATATTTTAATATTGTTTTCAATAATTTTTATCATAATAATATATTTTCTTTTAAATTTAGTAAGTATGATTAATATACACAACCTAGAACGGCAAGGTATTTATATTAGAGAAAACACATTAGTACAAGTGGTAGTAGCTTGATTAAAATTATATTCATTTCAAATTTAGCATATTAATAATAAATATGTGATAATAAAAGTTAAATTTATTTTTGATAATAAAAAAAAAATGTTTTGGCTAACAAAATTGATTTTAAGTTATTTTATTATTTAGAGGGATATAATTACATCTCCTAATTAATTCATGGTGCATTACGTTTTAATGTTCTAAACTTAAATAATGTAAGCACAGTTATATTTTTAATCTTACAAAGGGTAAGACAATGTGTTTATAAGATTTATATAAATGACAGTTGCTGATTCAAGTACACTATATTGATGAAATTGACATAAGGTATATGCACTCTACAAAATATAACTAGTCTGCTCAGCTATAAATATTATACATCCACGAAAAAATAACTTGTTTTTATCCTAACAACAAGCGAAATTCTTATCTTTAAATCACTGTTAAATTTTTCTGGCTGCGGTGTTCATGTTATGTGGTAGTCCGTACGCCTTTTGGATGTAATTGTATTGCAAATAAACCGCCGTTTTGAGTAGCAATCATACTTTGCCGTTATCACATCTAAAAGCCTTTTTTTTATCAATTTCCACCACCCACACAAATCATTTACTACATCTATTTCAATATTAAATTAAAATTATAGTAACTTGCAAATGTAATGGCTAGCTCAGATGACATCAGCTATTAATTTAAAAAAAAAGTAAATCTAAAAAGAAGGGGTTATTTGAACTTGAATGGTGGTAATGCCCAACTTGTCAAACATACTGCTGTAAAACATGCCGCTTGCCACAACAAATGTTTTGATTATTTTATTTTTAATGTTTTTTTTAACAAAAGAAAAAATTAAACTGAACAAGTTACCATGACGGGGGCCAAATAGCGTTTTGTAATGATGACATAATACTAACAACGCTAGGACACAAATTTCCGGATAATAAAAAAATATTTGGGTTTTGAAATAGAATTTTTGAGACCTATCTGTTCAAGAAACTACACTGTACATTTTACGGAAGTCAAGCCAGTCTCAATTTAATTAAAAAAATGTATTGATTGTAAATATTTTACTTGGCAAGTGTGTTCAGCAGATTATTTTTATTCTGTATTTGTATTGTGGTCTCATAGAAATTATCAACTGTTCCTTCTATTTCAATTGGAGCCTCATTTTTTTTTTCATCAACACTAAAAAAATAAAACAAATTAAAAAATTGGTTCATGATCTGAATTACTATATTATGTAGAAACTATAAATAATATAATAATAATGTCTTAATTTAATTAACAAAATGTATTGATTGTAAATATATTACATGGTAACTTCCGAGTTCAAACGATCATTTCCCTCTACAGCAATCATGTTCTCTTCGTTAAAATCATTTGTTTCATCTATTTCACTTGACGCCTCATTTTTTATTTCATCAACACTAAAAAAATAAAACAAATTAAAAAATTGGTTCATGATCTGAATTACTATATTATGTAGAAACTACAAATAATATAATAATAATGTCTTAATCAATTAACAAAATAATATAACTGTAAATATATTACATGTTAACTTCCGAGTTCAAATGATCATTTCCCTCTACAGCAATCATGTTTACTTCGTTAAAATAATTTTTTTCATCTATTTCACTTGACGCCTCATTTTTTACTTCATCAACACTAAAATATAAAACAAATTAAAAAATTGGTCCATGATCTGAGTTACTATATTATATAGAAACTACAAATAATAATATAATAATAATGTCTTAATTGAATTAACAAAGTGTTATATCTGTAAATACTTTACATGGTAACTTCTGAGCTCAAAAGACTATTTCCATCTACTATAAACATCGTGGACTCGTCACAATCATATGTTTCATCTATTTCAATTGGTGCCTCATTTTCTACTTCATCAACACTAAAAAAACAAGACACATTAAAAAATTGGTCCATGATCTGAGGTACTATATTATGAAAAAACTACAAATAATAATGTCTTTATTGAATTAACAAAATGCTATAACAGTAAATATTTTAATTTTACATGGCAACTTCTAAGCTCAAAAGACTATTTCCCTCTACTACACACATCATGGTCTCATCATCATAATCATAATAAGTTTCATCTATTTCAATTGGCGCTGCATTATTCACTTCATCAATACTAAAACATTGAAACATAATTTAATTATAAAAACTGTGAGATAAATTCTTGGTAATAAATTATGAATGATTATATACTAATACAAATAAAATTATTTCCCTGTTTGACATAACAATGATATGTTCCTTTTTTGGGTGTAACAAATATTTAGTCCTAAGAGTTTGAAAAAAATATAATAATAAATTTGATAACTCCTATTTATCGTTATAATGATATATTGATGTAATAAAAGAACTAAAAGGCATCATTATATGTAAAAAAAAATTAGGTATAATTTGTTAAAATCATTCCATTTTTTTGAGATGTTTCTAAACAACTTGGCTATTGGTACTGTTCGTCACCGTAGAGTGGTAGCGTTTTACAAGAGGACTGCCCGCCTAGGAAATAGAATTGCAAGACCAAATATCAAACTAACGACAATGCTAACACACTGAACAATTTGTTCAGTGTGTAATTTACCCGCTCTGCCATTGGCCTCCTCAAAAACTAATAATATGGCAAAAATTTCACAGAAAGTATCAACGCTATAAACGGATACAATGGCACGTGGATATGTCTTACAAACAACACAAACGATCAAAATTAACTGTATCCCTAATAAAGATTTGGTTGCAAATAACCAAACGATTGGTTGTATATTCTAATTGAGATCCCTGCCGAGAATGACGTTATCGGCATGACATAATAACGTTGCTGGGCGAGTTCTTCGTATAAACACTTTAGCTTTGGACTATAGGCGAGCAAATAGGTCGACGCACAATTCATGCATGCACACCTGCACAAATAACTTGACCGTGACCATCACCAGTCATTAGCCGTCGACGCCCTCTCTTCATCTCCGCCGACGACGAGCAGTGTTGTTTTTGTTACATCCAGCATAACGCGGAAACGTTTAGGACAAATTTTTAGGATGGTCCCTGCCATAAGACATATCCATGCCAATAACTCCTATAATGGTTTACTTAAAAAATTAAGTGGTGCAAATATCTTTCGAAATTTTTTATTTTAAAAACAACTCAGTTGTGACGTTACATCTATTACATTTCAATTTGAATGAAAATCACTATTAAAACAGTCGAAAAAACAAAGAATAATTACTTGTTCTCGAACTCATAATAAAAACAACGACAAAGTTTTTTGTAATTTCATTAATCGTTATATAAAATGAAAAAAGGCTCAACAATATTAGACAACAATAATTTTTAACAAAAATTGCTTTTTCCCGGATTCATGCATTAAAGTTTATATATTAAAATCGGAGTACTCATGTAGGCTTAATTTTTTTTTTTATGCAATGAAAGAGACACCATTTAGCGAGACGATACGCCGTTATTTAACCCCCAACAATAAAATTACTTTTTTGAAAATATAAATGACTAGTTCATTATAATACAACAGTACATTATTTAGTTTGCTTTTATTAATAAATAAAGATTTTCTATATTTTTCTAATTTCTTATTTTTTGCGCCTGGGTGTGGCCTCCCCCTCGCTACGGCCCTTATAATCACTTTCAAGTTTACTTTTTTGTTTACCTTGAAAGACCCAGTTGTGAGGTTTTATCCATTGTGTATTCACTAGAGTGTGTGATCACGCTTTTTCTCATTTGTTGGCTCATATCTAGACATAGAATAAAATATGTATTATGATGATTATGTAATTTAAAATAATGTTATCCAAAAATATTATACATTACCTGGACCAGGAGTTGACATCATAATTCTTTATAATAACAATACTATATTAAAATAGTATTCAAAGTGTAATAAAATACACAGTAATGGATCGAAATATAGTTTATAACAAAACTGGTGGCTGAAAAATAATATTTTACTTCGGTTTTTTTAGGAACTAAAAATAATGAGTATTGAATAATGAAACTTAAGAGAAAAATATATTATGATAACATTTTTGCAATTCTGCATTGTCATGGCGTCAGCGTATATTGTGCGCCAGTGCGGTAACTTAAAAGGGGCAAATAACGCCATCTATGATGTACTTTTTAATAATGTATTGATTTTTACATTTTTTTTTTCAAATCCAAGTTAACCGCAATATCTATTAGAATATATTATGTTTTTTAGTATTTTCGTTTATTTTTTAATAGATTTCTAAAGTTTCAATACGGTTTAAGCATTTAAGTGTACTTGTGTAAAAAAAGTAGGTACCTTTAGTAAATGTTATGTAGTTTACCAATGTTACAGTTCATTTTGTACTATTTATAAAGTTAATATTATTTTTAACAATAACATTAGTTCTTTTAAGATCCCTAACTTATGTCTACTTTTATATATATATATATAAAAAATTTGTATTCACACCTTGGATTGTTATTATTTATCTAATAATTGAAAAGTAAAATATTTCAGATTTCTAACCCTGAGTGGTTCCTATTGAGCCATATTTCTCCTACATAATTATACATGTAAATAATGCATTTTTTATACAAATTGTAATAAATAAACCGAAAAAAAAAACAATCTAATGAAAGATACGCTAAGACTTATAAATATTGTAAAATTTGGAAAAAGATTCTAGGAGCTGACACTTTTCACTTTCCAGCGTTTTTGAACTAACACAAGTCCTCAATATCGAAAATGGGCAAATTATGTGAATTACAAAAAACACTAACCAAATTTTTAACTGTGGTGGGCGCTCGCGAATGTTCTAGAACGGTCGCGCCGTGCAACGCGTGTTGCATGGCCGCCGCCGTCACGTCTCCGCGAGAATCTTCCCGAGCGTTCTCACACACCGCAATTGCCGCCCCGAGACTATTCTGTGGCCTATATAAGTGCCGTACCACCAGACAGTCAGTTTAGTTCATCAGTCGCATTCTGTCGAAACACAGTCTCACTCGATACACCGTCTCGCGACATCTCTCGTATTGTTTTATAGTTGTGTTACGTTGTATATTTGTTTATTGTTAAATATTATTATTTTATTTAATTTAAATATAATATTTACATTTGGTTAGTAGTGACAGTGTTATATTTATTCGCACTCAATACACTTATTAACCATAGTGGTGACCTCGACAATGGACAACGTACAGCCTCAAGACGTACCACATGTCTTTCGCGTCGGTATCAAAATTCCACCTTTCTGGCCTGAAGATCCAGCCGTCTGGTTTGCGCAGCTCGAAGCTCAATTCACTTTAGCTAACATAACTCAAGACTCCACCAAATATTATCACGCTATTTCACAACCTGATGGTCCAGTTATCAAAGAAGTTAAAGATATAGTTTCCAACACACCAGAAACCGGTAAGTTTGATAAACTAAAAACCGAATTAATCGAACGTCTTACTTCCTCACAAGAGCAACGCGTCCGTCAGCTTTTAACTCACGAAGAAATCGGTGATAGGAAGCCGTCCCAATTTTTGCGTCATCTCGCAAATCCTGGTGGTTCCTCGATCCCACAGGACTTCCTGCGTACCTTGTGGTCAAATCGCTTACCTCCCTATATTCAAGCCGTTATAGCTACTCAAAGAAATGCTCCTCTTGACGACGTAGCGAAACTCGCCGACACCGCAGGCTCACGTGGCTCTTACATCACCATCCAATGATATCGCCAGTCTTACAGCCCGTATCGATAACCTTGCACAGCAGGTAGCAGCTCTTACAGCAACTGGTCGTTCGTCTCAGAACACAAAACGCTTCAACACACGTGCTCGCCGTCTTGCCCCAGATCGTCTGCGAATCGCCCGATCTGAGTTTGAAACAATGGTTCGCGATGGTATTGCACGTCGATCAGAGAGTTCCTGGGCATCTCCACTCCATCTCGTGCCTAAAAAGGACAATAGTTGGCGCCCTTGTGGCGACTATAGAGCTCTCAACGCGCGAACTATTCTCGACCGGTACCCCCTTCGTCATCTTCTCGACTTTTCTCATGCCCTTCATGGCAGTACCATTTTCAGTGTCATTGACTGTGCAAAAGCGTTTACTCAGATTCTAGTCGCTCCTGATGACATCCCAAAGACCGCCATCACAACCCCATTTGGTCTATTCGAGTTCGTCTTCATGACTTTTGGACTTCGCAACGCAGCTCAAACTTGGCAACGTTTTATTGACAACGTTCTACGCGATCTGCTATTTTGTTTCGGATACTTAGACGATATTTTGGTGTTTTCTCGAAATGAAAACGAACACAAAGAACACTTATGTACAATTTTTCAACGTTTCACCGACTACGGAATTGTCATAAATCCAAATAAATGTGTACTAGGTGTCCCCGAAGTCACCTTTCTGGGCTACGTCGTCTCTTCTTCTGGCTGCTGTCCTATTCCAGATAAAGTCAACGCTATTCAGACTTTTCCTCGGCCTTCTACGGTTCGACAACTTCGTCAGTTCTTAGGAATGCTTAATTTCTACCGACGACACTTGCCACACGCTGCCGCTATTCAATCACCTCTTAATGCCATCTTAGCAGGTCCAAAGGTGAAAGGCTCAACTCCTGTTCAATGGACATCGCAATTAATATCGGCTTTCGACGATTGCAAGACCGCACTTTCCAATGCTACACTCCTGGCTCATCCAAACACTTCAGCACCCATAGCTCTTTTCGTTGATGCTAGCCAGTACGCAATTGGTGCGGCTCTCCAACAGCAATCTCAGCAGTCCTGGGAGCCCTTAGCTTTCATTTCCAAGAAGTTTAACCCTTCTCAACAAAAATGGAGTACTTATGACCGAGAACTTTACGCCATCTATGAAGCTATTAAGTATCTCCGACCCATGCTGGAAGCTCGTCATTTTACGATATTTACGGATCATAAACCAATCACATTTGCTTTTTCTCAGAGAAATGATAAATGTTCACCGCGACAATTTCGCCATTTAGATTTTATTTCCCAGTTTACTACAGACATAAGACACATTTCTGGGAAGGACAATGTAGTCGCTGACTCACTGTCTCGCATTGACTCAGTTTCAACTCCAGTTAACTTCTCAGCTCTGGCATGCAGTCAAGAAACCGACCCGGAACTTCGAAAATTTCTAGATCACGGTTCAGCTCTCTGCCTCGTTAAAGTTCCTATCCCTGGATATGACGAATCTCTGTACTGTGACACAAGCAGTAACCATCCTCGCCCGTTCTTGACGCCAGCCTTCAGACGTCAAGTATTCGATAATATTCACGGCCTCAGTCATCCCGGAGCCAATGCTTCAAGACGATTGGTATCCCAGCGTTTTGTTTGACCATCAATGAACAAAGACTGTCGTGAATGGTCTCGTTCCTGTCTTCAGTGTCAACGAAGCAAAGTCTTTAAACACACTTTTGCGCCACTTGGTAATTTTACTGTTCCTCCGGTTCGTTTCGCCCATGTACACATCGACTTGATCGGTCCTCTTCTCTACTCGAACGGATTCAAATACTGTTTAACTGCAATAGATCGGTTCACCAGATGGCCAGAAGCTACACCTTTACAAGATATATCTGCCGAAACTGTCGCTAAAGCACTCGTTTTCTCATAGATTGCGCGCTTTGGCGTTCCACTTCAAATCACTACGGATAAGGGACGAAAATTTAAATCTCAACTTTTCCAGCCACTTGCTAAACTATTTGGTATTCACTTGTTTAGAACAACTAGTTATCACCCACAGTCAAATGGTATCGTTGAACGTTGGCACTGCTCTCTTAAAACTGCTATTATGTGCCACGAAGGTTCTTCTTGGTCAGACGCACTACCGTTAGTACTCCTTGGTGTACGCACTGCCTGGAAAAGTGATCTCCAATCTTCAGTCGCGGAACTAGTTTACGGAGAGACATTACGAGTTCCCGGTGAGTTTTTGTCTCCACTACCAGTCTCTCCTGAACCTTCAGACTTTGTGGAAAAACTCCGAACCGTAATTTCTAGACTACGTCCCGTCCCAGCATCACGTCACTCTAGAAGTCGTATTTTCGTTCATCAAGATCTAGCAACTTGCACTCATGTCATGCTACGCACTGATCTGGTTCGAACTTCTCTTCAGCCACCTTACACCGGGCCATATCCTGTTCTAACCCGTAATGACAAGACATTCGTTGTTTTAGTTAAAAACAAGAAGTCGACCGTGTCCATCGACCGCCTTAAACCGGCTTACTTCATCTCTAACCCTTCAAACTCAGTTGAACGTTTACCATCTAAACCAGCTGATGAAGAACTTTCTAGCTCGTCCACTCATGAAGCCGTTTCTACGAACACACCTTCGATAACAACTCGCTCAGGTCGTCGTGTTCGCTTTACCAAGTTTTTTCAAGCATAGCAACTCACTTCCCAGGGGGGTGATGTGGTGAGCGCTCGCGAATGTTCTAGAACGGTCGCGCCGTGCAACGCGTGTTGCATGGCCGCCGCCGTCACGTCTCCGCGAGAATCTTCCCGAGCGTTCTCACACACCGCAATTGCCGCCCCGAGAATATTCTGTGGCCTATATAAGTGCCGTACCACCAGACAGTCAGTTTAGTTCATCAGTCGCATTCTGTCGAAACACAGTCTCACTCGATACACCGTCTCGCGACATCTCTCGTATTGTTTTATAGTTGTGTTACGTTGTATATTTGTTTATTGTTAAATATTATTATTTTATTTAATTTAAATATAATATTTACATTTGGTTAGTAGTGACAGTGTTATATTTATTCGCACTCAATACACTTATTAACCATATAACTAAAAAATATGTAGACAATTTTTTAAAAATACTGGATAATAAAATAGAATTTTTTTTACTTAATTTTCTTTTGATTTTAATTTTTTTTTGTAGTTCAATATTTATTCTCAATTCTTTCAAACAAATATAATAAACATTTTTGACATTGCTTCGAGGCGGAACCAAGTGTATTATTACAAGAAAATATCTAGTTTCTTTTGGTGTGTAATATTATACTGGTTACTAAAATGTATTAAATAAACAAAATGGAGTACAGAAAAATGTACAATACAAATTAATAAGAGTCTAAACGCTGTTTTTTTTATTCACAATAAAAATAAAAAAACCTAATTATAAATGGAGTTTTTAACATTAAATAAAAAATGTAGGAGAAGACCACGAATGGGAAATAGTTGAATGTATGGGTTCAATTCTGTAGACCTTTTAATCAGTGTGCATGCGTTCGTGTGTTTTAGACTGGATTTGTACCGAAATAGATGTTAGTACACAACACATTCGTACAACAATTATCTAGTATGGGTACGTTTGTGTAGTGTATGAGAAGTTTGAAGTTAAAAATAAATGGCGTCATTAGCCCTATTGAGTTCCGAAGCACAGATGTTTCGTTATTAGAGCATACTTAACAACATAATTAGGATAAGACATACAATATTTTTAATAAGCATCATATCTTCAATCAAAACTTTTATGTTCGAAAACGAGAAGAAATATAACATTTTTGAACATATGTTGAACTTTTTTGTATTTTTATAGCATATACAACACAAATGACAAGTTTCTTTAGTTCTGAATATAATTATTCTAAAACTTTAATGATAAAAATTCTGAAAACATTCATATAATATAGGTTTATACATTCTATTGGGCCATTTTTTAAAACGTTGAAAACAAATATCATACTTATGACTCTATGTTTCGCCCAAATTTTGATAATTTGACTTTTAATTGCTAGAGTATAAAATATAAATTTCGAATATGTAATACAATATTGTGTAAATAAAACCAAAACTATGTAGAAAAATGCATTAAATGAACCAAACTTAAAAATATGGCATTATATAATTTATTACACAAACAAAGTTTAGACATTTAGAAATATTTACAACACAAAATATTTAATGTCTAAAAGATGTTTTTTTTACAACAGTATAAAGTACTGACTATAAAGTACTATAATAACACATAAACAAAAAAATCTTAATTTTAAAATATAGGTATAAACTGATGACTGAGAGAGATCTGACTATTCTCCGACATGGACACTGTTTTGGCGAACCGGGTTGTATATTTTGGCAAAACACTTGAAACACACTTCGCATTCGCAAGGCAATCCACCAGAATGGACATGTTTTTGGTTTTTTGCGAGGTAGGATTTCACCGCAATAGGCTTTAGGCACATAACACACTTGTATGACTTTTCTGTGGCATGGGTGCGTTCGTGTGTTACCAGATGAGATTTTATAGAAAAAGATTTCGGGCAATCGTCACACTTGTAAGGCTTTTCTCCGGTATGGACCCGTTTGTGTATTGTGAGGTATGGTTTTTTAGTAAAACACTTGAAACACACGTCACATTTGTAAAGCATTTCTCCGGTATGAACACGTTTATGTACCGTAAGGTTGTATTTTTTAGTAAAACGTTTGAAACACACGTCAAAAGTGTAAGGCTTCTCGCCGGTATGCACACTTTCGTGTCTTACCAAAGAGGATTTTGTCGAAAACGATTTCAGACACACAACACAAGTGTAAGGCTTTTCTCCGGTATGCACTCGTTTGTGTATTGTGGGGCTTGATATTTGAGTAAATTGCTTTAAGCACAAAACACAGTTGTATGGCTTTTGTCCAGAATGGACACGTTTGTGTTTAACCAGGTAGACTCTTTGGGCAAACGATTTCAAGCACGTGTTGCACTCGTATGGCTTCTCTCCGGTGTGGATGCGTTTGTGTTTGATAAGGTGATAACTTAATGTAAAATACTTTAGGCACACTTCACATTTGTATGGCTTCTCGCCGGTGTGTATGCGTTCGTGTGTTACCAGTGTGCTTTTTACCGAAAACGATTTCAGGCACAAAACACATTTGTAGGGTTTTTCGCCAGTATGATTGCGTATGTGCTCTACCAGACTGGCTTTCGCGATATAAGATTTAAAGCAAACGTCACACTTGTAAGGCTTTTCATCAATATGCATGCGTTTGTGCGTTACCAGATGGAATTTTGTAGAATAAGATTTCTGGCACACAACACACGTATTAGGTTTTTCTCCAGTATGCACTCGTTCGTGTATTGCGAGGTATGATTTTTTGGTAAAACGCTTTAAGCACAAAACACATTTGTAGGGCTTATCGCCGGTATGAATACGTTTATGTACCGTAAGGCTTGATTTTTTAGTAAAACGCTTGAAACACACGTCACAAGTGTAAGGCTTCTCGCCGGTGTGCACAATTTCGTGGCTTACCAAAATGGATTTTGTCGAAAAATATTTCTGGCACACAACACACGTGTAAGGCTTTTCTCCGGTATGCAGGCGTACGTGTGATACCAGACTGGATTTTGCCTTAAATGATTTTAAACAAATGGCAAATTTGTAAGGCTTTTCGTTAGTGTGCACGCTTTTGTGTCTTTCCAGCCTATATTTCGTGGTAAACGATTTTAAACAAACGTCACACTTGTGTTTTCTGAGTAAACGATTCGCCGTTACAGTTTTGTGGATGGTAATCATATGACGGAGAATTTGCTTTTTCGTAAAAAAACATTTGTTACACAAATCGCATAGGAACGTCTGGAGAATATTTGAATATTGGTTGGTTACAGTTTGTGCCATTTGATCTATTTGTATATTCGTTGTAATGTTAATTTCGGCTAGGTACTGCACTAGAACAAACAATATAGTGGCATTCAAATAAAAAGTTAAAAAAATATACTGCAGTATTTTTTTCCCGTAATTTTATTCACAAATATATTGGCCCGGCTAATATATTTACACACTACTAATAAGACACCGCAACTCCCAAAACGACTAACCCCGGCTAGCTCGATCAATCCGGACCTTTCCGCGACTTTTTTTAAAACTGCTTACTATTATTAATATACCATTCATAATATTGTCATTGCGTGGTCGAATAAACGTGTTTTCGCCGCAACCACCGAGTTGCCTTATTTATTTAATTCCCCAGCCCCTAGTGTTGCGCCCACGATACGACCCCGTCAATATAGGTATATACATTTTTTAAATTAATTAAGTAGTATTAATACGTATAAAACCTAGAATAGCGAATATAAGATGGTATTTTCCAGAGCTCTGACCACTTTAGAACTTTAATAGTAAGATATATAATTTATTTACTTTATTCGATTTAAGAATAATTTGCTGAAGATATTGACTGGTCGATAGCCCATTTTTGATAATTCATTTTATTGAGTTATTATTTTTATTTGCGCGCATTACTCTACCGCACTACACCTCCCGTCTTAAATGTTAGACTTCAGTTAAAATAACTGAAAAAAAACAAAATTTATAATATTGTCTGATAGTGTAAAACAACACAAGCTTAAGTGTATGCAATGAGAAAGATTACAGAATTGTATTTGTTTTTAAAATGGAAACGAGTGTTTCATCCTTAATGAAACTTCCTGTATATTTGCCCGGTTTCCCAGTGAACTTTTATCCGCCTTTATTTACTTATGACCTCACCACGTTCAAATGTTTACATAACTTAAGTCATATTTCTTAAATTTACGGTTACATATAATAGAAACTATAAGTAGCTAAACGTTTCTCAAGCCACACGATACGTGTTCTGTGATCATGGTTTTCTATAATATTACAATATACATAAATATTATTACAACATTTATTAAAACTGCTAAACATTATAATATATTGGCTATTTTTTAACCAATGTGTAAGAAAATATTTTATTATTGCCATATAACTATTACACAAAATAAATTTATCTTTTTACTCAATTAAAGCTAAAAATAAAAAGCAAGTACAGTTGGGTCAGGGCATAGTGGGGACAGAGAGTATTGGACAGGAAGGTCACAGGTCTATATAAGTTAATACAACTGAACAAATATTTTCAAATACTTGTTGATTGTTGATTCACTCACACAATATGGTTATTTAGAAATTGACCATGGTCAAAGTATATTTTTCTCCTTTTTATTTTTTTGCATTTCCCCAAGTAAAAAAGAAGTCTGAAAACAGTTATTTTTGAGAAAATTTTATACGTTTTAGCTTCGGTCCAATGGAAGACCTTAACCTATACAAATTTACCTTAAACCGAAGTAAAGAAAAAGTTTCCATCTCTTCTGGGGAAAATGGTTTATGATATATTTGTCGGTTTGTCAATTTTAATCGATAGTACATTTGTAATAGAAGAAAAGGACGGGGAAGCGGCGGTGAATGGATATTTTAAATAAGTATGAAAACGGCTCTTAATCGGGGTGTGCATGTGTGTATGTTTACTACAAGGGCTCACTTCCTGCCTCTAGACTTACTATTACACAGTGTTATAATATTGTATACAGTACATACCTTGTCGTGGAGTCACTCGAAGCTCTATGACCTTGTCGATATTCCTTGAGTATGTGATCTTGATATGTCGAAATGAACGTTGTTTTAACACGAATGTTTTCATTCATAAAATATATTTCAGACACTGGTGTTTTAACGTTATCTTACGACCATCTATCTCTCGTTAAAGTGTAATTCAGTACACGGTCTACCAATGGTTTTATAATAATCAATGCGCTTGTCAGAAATAACAACGTCTACTGAGTTATTATAAGCCGACTACATTCCTTGCTGACCAAAAATAGTCACATGGGTGTAATAGGATTGTTCGACCGCTAGAATTAATGACCTTTAACGACACTTTTAAGAAGTATAGGTATAGGTATATGTATGAACGAAAGAACAACAGTGTTTTTATTGCTTAATAATGACACGTGTGTGATAAGAAACTCGTACGGTTTTAAGTAATTGAATTGTAATGAATATAGTATTTTTATATATATATCGCTACGGACTCGGCGTATGTATGTGTAAGGATAATAAGGAAGGATTATGTTATTGGTGGCCGCGGCGGACTGATAACAGCTACCCGACTTTGGCGTCCACACAATAAGGAAAGGAAAGATATTGGTGGCCGCGGCGGACTGATAACAGCTACCCGACTTTGGCGTCCACACAATAAGGAAAGGAAGGATATTGGTGGCCGCGGCGGACTGATAACAGCTACCCGACTTTGGCGTCCACACAATAAGGAGAGGAAGGTTGTATGAGAGATGTGAGAGAGCAACTCCGCTTCGCTGCGCTGTGGGCTGGGTTAAATAGTGCGTTTCTGTGTTGGTTAAGTTCGTCTCGGATAAGTTCGTGTCGAGTCGTGTGTTTAACTCCTTCTTTAATGAACCTATTGTTATGTAAATGTTACGCCTAAAATGAGTATGTACGCTATCTATTAGAGTATTTTAAGTTTATTGAAATTATTCAAAGAGGTTCTATATCACACTACGCGCGTTGTATATTGAATAATAATAACATGATAGTTATATAAAAATGTCACATATAGTATAAATTTGAATATATAATATGTTATTACAAAATGATAGTTTAATAAATATAGTTAAAACTTAAACATATGCTTTATGTTACTACAAAGTGCGGGCTAATTTTTTTATGTTACGCCCTCGTAACATGATAAGGTGTATAATAATGGATAAAATAATAATAGTAATTATGATAATAATAATGTTTAGTTATCTTAAACTATGAGAATATAATGAAATGTGATACATGTTGTTTCCCCTTTTTTTTTATTTTATTATGAATATATTATATTTTTTGTCTAAAAAATTTAGGTGTGTGTATTATTGTGATAATGTGTGATCATGTGTTTTTGCTTTGTTCTTTTTCTTGTGATTTCGTGGTCTTTTATAACCCATACGTTTGAGTCTACGCTTGTTCTTTATGGCTTTATAGTTTATTAACTCAGTGGACTCACCTGATACTGAGTTGAGTGATAATGTTGTGTTTTTAGAAGTTTGAGATGATTGATTATTGCTACCATCCATGCCATGTCGTAAAAGTATTGGTAGTATTGTTTGAAGTCGTAATTCCTTCTCATGTCGAATACGAATAAGAGACATATGTTTCTGATTGAAATTGAATGGTGTTTCCATAGTGATATGTTTGGTCATTTCGAGAACAAAAGCTCCACAGTCATACCCGTTTTCTTGATAGGGAGAATCACCTTGAACGATTGTCCAATTAATTGGATCAATGTTCATGAGATCTGTGTATTGTTTCAACATGGTTGCAATGGTATTGGTTACTTGCGGAAAATATGTGTATAAGCTATCATACTGTGTTATAGTATGTGATGGGATGTGTACTGTGTTTAGAATCCAATGGCAACCGCTCACAATTGTTGGTAAAAACAAATATTGTTTAGAAAATATGTTGTGTTCGATTAAATTTTTCTTGACGTTTTCAAAGCCATGTGTGAGGAGTTGATTAATGAAATCCGTATTAAATGCATAAACGTTTGACTTGGAATAGTTCACGAGAAGTCTCATGTAGTCGTCAAAAATGAAGTTTGAATACCAAGCATTTCTTTTGGAAAATGTCGACATGACAGTAAGATTGGTTGAACTACTGAAGTTAAACACGTGAACCGTTGCGAAGGTCGAACGAATTACTGTTTGTAATAGGATTTCAGGATTGTATTGTTGGGGTGACAATAGTATGGTCATCCCTTCTATTACCAGGCTGTATTGAGGATTTGACAATCCGGTTTGGTTTGCGTGTCCTTCGTGATTCGTTTCCGTATAGATGTGGGCGGTCCGATGATTGGTTGCCGATGACCGTATGTGATGGAATAGATCCTGTTGTTGTACACATTGATAGATTGTAGATAAAGAAGGGTCGATTATGTGTGAGCATAGGTGTGTATGTTTGTTTACAAATTGGTGTTGTGTTTTTTATACAATAAATGGTTTTGGTGAAAATGAGGCATGTATCGATTTTATAAATGTAATGATTCATTATATATATATGTTTAAGTTGTATATAATGTGATAATAACTTAAGTGCTAGGTTATATTGAAATACAAATGTTTTAGACACATAATAACAATTATGACATGATTACATTTGATAATAATATTATTTAATAATTGGGAATATATGAGATTGTATATAATAAAAAGGTTTTTTTTTTTATACTTTTATATTTTATGTTTTTTTTTTACATAAATCAATGATTATAATATATAATTTAGAGAATATTTTGAGTTAAGTGATATTTATTAAGATCTAATATTTAAATGCTAAATACATGATTTATGATAGTATTAATTATGTAATTTTTGTTTTTTTTTTATATAAGTTATATATATTTTTGTTTTAAAATTGTGTTAGTGAATTATATTATGTTTAGTAATAAGCCTTATTCTAGATTAGTATATATTATTGTATATGTGATATATATAGTATAAAAGCGTTGATTATTGCATATTTATTGATGCATTTGTTATATAAAATTATGAACAAAGTGGTCATAGTGGTGTAGAAATATTAACTATGGAATAAATGTCATCACATTGTGTGATTGAAATAGAAATGTATGTGTTAATTTAACTAATGTATTTTTTGTTTCTTGAAAATATAGTTTTTTGTAAAAAAGGTTTTGAAATATTTTAGAAAACTTTAAATTTGTTTTTTTTTTTATTACTTAGATTAGATCTAATATAACTAAGAATGATTTCATTGAGTAGATATACTCGTGTATGCTTAATGATAATATGTATAAAAGAATTTTTGTTGTATATATGTTTTTATTACGTTATTCTAGATTTAAGAAAAGTTGATCAAATTTGTATTTTGTGTCATTAAAGTTATATGATAATTATAAGAAAATTGTATAGTGTAATTTATTCTTGGCTTAAGTGAATTTTATTGTGATGGGCAATTTTATTGAAATGATTTAGTTTTGTTTAATATAAGTGGTAATTTATCTTAATAAAGTATTTATATTCTTGTTAATTTGTGTTATCTATCTCCCTTTTAGATGATTTATGTATCAAAATTGTGTTTTAATTTTGCTGTAACGCATTTGACTCAATGCATAATATTAAAAGTAGTTTTATAATCTATTGTGAATATATTAATTATATGTGTAATGTATGAGTTGTATGAAAAATATCATACTTTTATACCAAATTAGAATTTTTTTATATATTTTTCTCAGTATGTATGTTTTGTCTGATCTTAGCGTTATGCAATTGGTCTTACTTGGCATCATTTATGTATTTTTTTGGCCTGTGTGTATTTTTATTATTTGTGTAATAGAGTATTTATCAGCATCTTGTTTATATGTTTAGACTTTATATATGATATCTATATTATTGATATCTCATTTATGTATGTTTATATTTGTATTGTAAATAAATGATCAATAGCATTTTTTGTATCATTATTCAATATTTTTTATTGTTTGTTTGGCTTTCTTATTATGTATGTAGCCTATATTAACATTCTTTATGAAAATAGCCTGTGTTTTTTAAAAAAAAAAAATTTTTAATATATATTTGGTATTTGGTCTGTATTATTTATGTAATATTTATTAGCATATTTTATGTATATATTTTTTAATATTATCATTATTAATATCACTTATTATACAAGGATTATTAATATTATTCTTATGTAAATTAACTTTGCGATATAATGCTTATATTAATTATTGGTAGTATATTTAATGTTGTAATTAGTATTGATGCTATATCCCGACATTTTGTCGGTTATAATATTGTGTGTGATGTTATTTTTCTATGTTTGAAACCTTAAATTAAGAAAATCCTATGGGTCGCAATTTTATTAGCATTATTAGGTTATAAGGACATTTCCCGTTTGCATTTGCTATTAGGTATCTCGGTTTGTAATTAGAAAAGTGTTTTAATACTGGTATTAAAGTAATGATAGTTTTTGATTTGGTATTTTATGATAAATTTCAGTTTTATATTTATGGTTCATTAAGTATACTAGTATGATCTTTTATTTCGGCCTGAAGCCTCGCTTGAGCGTATTAAAGTGATATTTAAAAAAAAATTAGGTGTGAATTGTAGTTGATTTCGTGTAATACAGTAATATTGTGTATAAGGATTGTTTGCAAAAATTCGATAATTGTTTATGAGATATGTGGAAATATTGTGAATGTTAGGAAATTATACTATTTTACGCATTATTTTTTGTGAAATAATTGTAATGGATTTGTTTACTGCATTATTAAAATTATAAAAGGGTGATACTTTTATACTAAATTTGATTTTGTTATATTATTGTTTTTATAATATTTGTTATAAAGATTCATAATGTTATACGATTTGCTTGGCGAATATTATTATTATGTTGTTTAATGAAAACCTATTCTTGTTAAGTTCATTGCTATATTTATATAATTTTATCGGTTTCAATATTATATATTTGGCTTATATAAAAGCGTTATTTATTTATTAATGCTCTATTTATTAGCATTAATATTATTTTTATTATTATATGTTAGGCCTATGTGTATTGCCCTTTATATATATATATATTTTTTAGCATGTATTATTATATGAGTGGCCTTTATTTTATAGGTGTTATGTATATTATTGTTATTATTATAAAAATGAACTATGTTAGAACAATATTATTTTTGTATTCAAAATTTAAGTTGGTATGATGCAGTGGTTATAATTTTAAAGTTATCTACATCTATAATAAGATAGTATATAGATCTATAGTATGATATTCACCAAGATATATAAAAAATAAAATCGAAATTAAGTATTTGTGTATTAAAAGAGTTACATTTCCTCAGTGTATTGACAAAGCTGAAATTATTAAGTGTTTATGTTTGTGAAAATTTGGATATGTTACAAAAAAAACATTTTGTAGGTATATATATTTATTAAATATTTAAGTTTGTAAGCAAATTAGGCATTTTTGAGAGTTTTGTAATGAAAAATTTAACGATATTTTTAAGAGTTTTATGTCTGGTGTACAAAGAGAAGTTTTGTCACCCCTGTTAAGTGTTCTACAGAAAAATCGGTCGGGGCTCAATTACCCGTGTATTGCCGTGTTAATCTCGGTTAGATCATTTAATGACCTGGTTGGCGTCACTGTAATTCTGTCATAACAGTATTCAAGGGTGCCTTCTAATTGACTTAAGTTGTTTCGTTCATAAGTACTATATGTATGTTTAGATTCCATTTAAAACGTTTTATCGGATGTTAGTTATATATTAGTGTAGTATGTATACTCTAATAGTTGTAATATTTTCAAAAATGGTTTTTGAATTGTAGAATGAAAAATAAAACTTCTAGTTATATCAGTTAAATCTAGTTATTTTTTAACTTTAATGTCAGTATTTTTAAGAGTTCGTATGTTTATTTAATATATAATTTACTTAATGTTTTATATTTATATTTCTTGTAATTTTACCAAGTTTTTGTAGTTGTGAAAAAATTGGGCAGCGGTTTTTTTCGGGCGAAGCCAAAAATTTTGTGATTTGTGGAATAAAAGCTTTTTACGTTGGGCGCCATTTTGTAATAGAAGAAAAGGACGGGGAAGCGGCGGTGAATGGATATTTTAAATAAGTATGAAAACGGCTCTTAATCGGGGTGTGCATGTGTGTATGTTTACTACAAGGGCTCACTTCCTGCCTCTAGACTTACTATTACACAGTGTTATAATATTGTATACAGTACATACCTTGTCGTGGAGTCACTCGAAGCTCTATGACCTTGTCGATATTCCTTGAGTATGTGATCTTGATATGTCGAAATGAACGTTGTTTTAACACGAATGTTTTCATTCATAAAATATATTTCAGACACTGGTGTTTTAACGTTATCTTACGACCATCTATCTCTCGTTAAAGTGTAATTCAGTACACGGTCTACCAATGGTTTTATAATAATCAATGCGCTTGTCAGAAATAACAACGTCTACTGAGTTATTATAAGCCGACTACATTCCTTGCTGACCAAAAATAGTCACATGGGTGTAATAGGATTGTTCGACCGCTAGAATTAATGACCTTTAACGACACTTTTAAGAAGTATAGGTATAGGTATATGTATGAACGAAAGAACAACAGTGTTTTTATTGCTTAATAATGACACGTGTGTGATAAGAAACTCGTACGGTTTTAAGTAATTGAATTGTAATGAATATAGTATTTTTATATATATATCGCTACGGACTCGGCGTATGTATGTGTAAGGATAATAAGGAAGGATTATGTTATTGGTGGCCGCGGCGGACTGATAACAGCTACCCGACTTTGGCGTCCACACAATAAGGAAAGGAAAGATATTGGTGGCCGCGGCGGACTGATAACAGCTACCCGACTTTGGCGTCCACACAATAAGGAAAGGAAGGATATTGGTGGCCGCGGCGGACTGATAACAGCTACCCGACTTTGGCGTCCACACAATAAGGAGAGGAAGGTTGTATGAGAGATGTGAGAGAGCAACTCCGCTTCGCTGCGCTGTGGGCTGGGTTAAATAGTGCGTTTCTGTGTTGGTTAAGTTCGTCTCGGATAAGTTCGTGTCGAGTCGTGTGTTTAACTCCTTCTTTAATGAACCTATTGTTATGTAAATGTTACGCCTAAAATGAGTATGTACGCTATCTATTAGAGTATTTTAAGTTTATTGAAATTATTCAAAGAGGTTCTATATCACACTACGCGCGTTGTATATTGAATAATAATAACATGATAGTTATATAAAAATGTCACATATAGTATAAATTTGAATATATAATATGTTATTACAAAATGATAGTTTAATAAATATAGTTAAAACTTAAACATATGCTTTATGTTACTACACATTATCTAAGTAATATTCCACACAAATTTGTAATTAGTTTGTGTATTTTTAAAAAAGTAATAGAGCGCCGTAATATTAAGTTAAAAAACAAGTATATTTTTTGGGTGTTTTTCTCAATTTATAGTGGAAGGGGTGGATTTTTAACATTTTCAGGCCAACAATGTCACTTTTGGGTACGATTTCTGGTCTATAGAGTTGCTTCACTAAGAAGTCGGTCAAGTAATACTTATTAATACTACATATAGTAGGTTGAATTATGTTTAAAATTTACCTGGAATCTGACAACCGGTGTTGGTTTGTTCGAAGATTTTTTTGCTAATTTCCAATCTGACGTTCCTCCGGCTACAATTATTGCTCAAAAGTTACTTAATCTTTAAAGCGATTTTAATAATATAGGGTGTACGGATCGATATTGATAGAAGCATACCAGAAAATGCAACGACATATTATACATATTGGTTATTTCTGAACATAAGTTTAACATATTGTTGTATCAACAAAAGCGATGCGACGAAACAACACATGTAAACGACCAACCCGAATGGCTGCAAACTGCACAATATGCAATGTACAACACTATGATGAATTCTGCACAGTTTAATCGCTTCCTGGACCGGGAGGGCGGTCGTCTGGCAGACATAATACACATTAATCAATAATCCACCCGGTGAATATTATGCCGCTGGAGTATAACATGCAAAATCAATAACTGATGTCGTTGCACCTTTTATTGTGTTCAAAATTGAGCGCTGCGTTTTTTCTTATAACAATTTCTTCTCCTTATTTATATTTTATTTGATATTGTGGTAGAATTATTGGCCCTGTACGCATAACAACATACTGTAATAAAAAAACATAATTTTATTTCACTAGCAAAAGGGCCTAATAAGTGTTATTTTATAAACCAAAGTACAACTGTGACTAAAAAAAAAGTCATATTTGCAAAGTAAAATATTGTAATAACCACTTTTGTTTTCTATACGGTACTTTTCTTTTAAGCATGTTAATAGAATATTATAAACATTTTACACTTCATACACAGAACAAGACGGGTTTTTTTTTATTAAATAAATATTAGCTATCAGTTTTAATTGATTAGAACAAAGGCTCAATTTTACAACTTTTAAAAAATGTCATTAACGACATTAACGTCTGCATACTGACAAAAAGACTGTATAATTTATTGCGGTGTTTATAAAAAATTGTCCATAACAGTTATACTCTCGAAATGCATGTGAATATATACATATTAGACAACATTTATACTTTGCAGCATTTTATTGACAAAAATTCGCACCAATAAACAAATTAAAACGCTTGTTAGAAATCCCTAAACTATTTTTTCTTTATTTCACTTTTTAAAGCAGTTTTAGGGATTTAGGCCTGAAACGTAGACCAAAGGTAGATCAAGAATGGAACTATAACATGTACAATTTTCTCATAAATCTGTAGTCAACCAATCTTTTATTTCGCTCAGTTATAATAATTTCTGTAGACCTGCGACCACCCCGTCCCCACATGCCCCGGCTCCGCTATACTGGCTTTGCGTTTAGTATACGGGTTAAACGGGATCAATAAAAACATTATATAAAAAAAAAAGGCTACTCTGTAAGGCCGAAGGGTTTTGAACGTCGCTGCACAAACACTTACCTGCACAATATACAGTATGATGATGGATTCTGTACGGCGATTAATCATGCGCCGTGACCGTCGGGTGGGCCTGGTCGTCTGGCTGTCTGGCTTGCATGCACATCGATAGCATTCCCAACAAGTGTTTGTGTACGGTGCATTTAAAGTGCGCGTCCATTCCACTTGGTATTGTCTTTTCAATTCAGTTTTGAACCATTATATTATTTGCTAACAATTTTATCGTTTATTATGTGAACCAATACACGTGCACTCGTCGAGCCCACATTATTATTACAGTGCGTTCGTTTTCTTATTAATCTGCCGTGCACGTGCAGTCGCACCAATAATAAATTGACTGCCCGAACGAGACACTACAACCGATCAGAAAAGAAAATCACCGTCAGGAAGGTAAGATTACATTTGTTTGCCACCTCGAAGCAATCGCTTCGTGTAAAATTGGGTTTGCGGAAATCTTCTTTCGGGCGCATTCCAAGTAATGTGAAAGACCTCCGATAATACTTAGGGGTGTCGTGGGACGTGTTGAATACAGATTTTATGGGCACTCACCCTAGGACCAGCAAGGTCAAGACCCACATCTTAATCACTACTGATTGTTTTAGTCACCAATTAATTCGATAGCTAAACATTTTAATCATCCCATAAGGGTAACTTTTTTATCATGATTAAATTAATCAAAGAATCAAAAATTAAATTAATCACGAACACAAATTTTAACATTTAAGTGTGAATAAATTAGTCATAATTCAAACATATTTAATCTTGGGTAATAGTTAAATTAATCACGATTGAAAAAACTTACCATGACCAAAAAATTAACTTTTTTGTAGATACACACGAACAAAGTTATAAGTGATTTAAGATATAAATTTTGTTTGTTTAATTAAGCACTTATTAGTGCACTATTTGAACTTGAGTAATATGTACAAAGTGTATGTATATGAAAAAAACAACTTTAAAAGCTGTGTAGAATATTTGTCTGTAGCCTAATAATTTGTTTTAAAAAATTTATTGATATAACAAATTTAAAATTAAGACATTTTTATCTTAAGTGTTTTTTTTTCTGTTCCCATAAAACTACTTTATTTATACAAATTAATTAAATTATCCTAATCAAACGAATATTACATACAAAACAAATTACTAATTTCGTTTAACAATGATTAAAAAATATCAATTACGATTGAAAAAGTTAATGCAAATCATAGTCAAATTAGTTATAATTGAAAAAGTTAATAGTGGGCAATACTCAATCAAGACTAAATGAAATTAATCACGTATAACAATAGTTGATTTAATCTTTATTCGTATGGTTATACTTTGTGGTTATAATATGAATAATCAACTTTTACTCAAAAAATTATTTAAATAATATATTTACTAAACAATGCCCAACTCTGAGTCTACAAGGCACACGGTTTGTCGAAAGCCAGCAAAGATTTTCACTCTTGGCTTGCACTCGAATGGAGTGAATACAAGGGGGGGGGGGTAGCTTATACAACACCCTCGTTGAACAACAGAAAAGAGGGTATAGTGTAAAAAAAAAAAACAAACACCCATCCGTTATGTTTTTTCCAGGACATGGCTAGTGAAAATGCCGACAAGTGTGAAGGGGTCAACTCGGGGTCCCGTCAGATCTTCTCAGCGCAAGTTGCCGCACTCGCTCGCCGAATCCGCATGATGGAGCGGCAATTGGGGGTGCACACAGTGCGCAGAGTTCAAACAGAATCCGCGGAGGTAGACGCAGCTCAGGCGGCCGCCTACGAGATGGGAAGAAGGGATTTCAGACTAGAAACACGGTTGGGTGGCGCAGGGCTGGAGGCAATGACGCTGGGTACCAGGTACATTCCTGACAACGCTTCCCGGATCACGGCTTCCATTTCGACCCGCACTCCGGTTACAACTCCCTCCAGCACGCCGGCCATCGACAACCCGACAACGGGCGGGGATGGGGCAGCAGCCGGCCCGTCGACGCGACCTCGGAAGCACAAAACGCCGTCGCGTAAACGGAAAGACAACGCTAAGAAGAAGGCCTCCGTGCAGCGGAAGAAGGAAGAGGAAAAGCAGGCAAAGGCGGAGAAGGCGTCCGCCCAGCAACGCGACTCAAGTCCGAAAAATCCACAACCACCTCTTCCTTCAAAACCCACAAAATCCCCATCCGACCCTCCCAGCCCCTTTAAGGAACAAGGGGCTGAGTAGGCTAGCCAAGTCTCTTTGCCGTCTTCCAATCCCCACACCACTCACTTCAAAACTCCTCAGTCCTTTCTCTCTTTTTCTTTTTTCACAAAGCTTTTCAACGCGACCAGGTTAACACAACTTCAACCTCCGCCCGTGTCCAATCGACTTGGTATAGTCTTTTTCTTTTTTTTGTAAAATTAGGTTAGTGTTAGGTTTGTTGTAGGTTAGGTTAGGGTTAGGTTAGATAGATAAGGTAAGATTTGCATTAGATTGGTAAGGTTAGAATGGGGTTTGGTATCTACAGAGTTTAAAAACGCACAAAAAGGTTATTTTGCATCAACTGTATTGTTGTGACAAATTTCAGTAAATCATTGCGTGGGATCGAACCCATATAATACGTGTAATATTATTACAGTACGTTTGTGTTCTTATTTATTTATTGTGAACCGTTCCAGTCCCACGATATCGTTCATCTTACATCACGGTGACACCTAAATAGAAATTTTCTGGCATTTGTCGACTTTCAACATTGATTTGCCTTTGACTTCCCGTAAAAATAATAGGTTCGAGTTGAAATTTTTAAGAAAAATTAGGTAAACGTGCCGTCAGTAAGTTGTTTTTAAACAATTTCGCTGGGCGATTAATGAATGAAAATACAAAAAACTAATCAAATAATGTAATGTTTTTAGAAAAATTCACATTTATTTAGGAAAACGCAAAATGTTGAGTGACATAGCTATTTGCTATAGGGGATTTTACAGGAAACACACAATTTTGTACCTTGTCTTATCAACCATGACACATTTTTGAAAAAAAAAATAGCAAAATGTTGGGGTATATTTTTACCTTGCAAATTATCGTGTAAAAACGTAGCCACACACACGTTTTTTACTGAGAGTTAAATTAGTTTAAATAAATAAAATAATATTCGATAGATTACATTAATATAAAACGGTATATAAGGTAAATAATAATATTAGCGATACATCATTTATTTGTACTGCACTGTTTTTTGAATATTTAATAAATAGTGAGCACTCTTATTATTGTAAAAAGTTGAAACGTTATTGTGTAAATATGTGTGTTGATTGATGTTAAATTACACTGTACTTAACATTTTAGTATATTCTTTGGTAAACACTTTAGTATTTGGTTCCTACACTGTACTTACATTTCCATTAGTATTTAATTGTTAAGTTGTCTTAGTGTCATTAATTATTATCATTATTACCTTACAAAATGTGTTTATTAGATATAATGCGGTGTTAAAAAGATATTGCATTTACGAATTATTCCTATACTCGATTGTAGAAGTACTTAAGTTAATTAGAGCTAATATTGTAGTTTGTATTTTAAAAATTATAAGCTCGTAAAAATAAGTAATTAGAATAAATTTTGTTTTTTTTACTTCATAATCACATCGAATGCCCAAGTTATTTTATTTATTATAAATAGGTAATTATTATAACTCAACAAAAACAAATACCTGCTTGTATTGTTCACACATCAACATGTATCTTAATATGTCGGCCGATTTTATTTACGTAATAAACGTATTTAATTATTGCACTGTTTCATAAGTAAATTTTGTGTTATTATATTTAATCTCAAGTTTCTAGATGTATTAAACTATTCAAGTTTCGGCTCTTTTAATAAGTTAACATTGTAATTACCATATTGCGATAATAAAAAAAAATTAAATTAATTTATCCAAATAAGCATATGATAATTCACATCACCTTTATAATCAACTGGTTTAGGGTTAGTCACTCATTTTAACTTTGACTAACACTTCCGCAATGGTTATATCTTTAGAGAGTTAATTTTAACTATTCAAAATTAATTTTAAGCAACTGAACAGATTTATTTAAAATTCAGTATAATACTGTAAAATAGCACTAAGCGAATACTAGAATTTTTAACCAGACACCCAAAAAATCGAATTTATACATACAGCCGAACTAACAAGTTAAAATCTACATTTAATCATCAATGGCAGATGAATGCTGCACTATTATTTAATACAATAACGGTACAAAATTATTAGAGTTCCCATAAAGCAGCCTGGACGGCAAGGACCAAAATATCTTTAAAAAAAAACTTAGTTAACCAACAAAAAATTTGAATATTATTGTGTTACATACTTACAACTTTTATGCATATATGACCTAATCAAATTTATACTACACCAACTACCATTTTTTGGTTTTAATTTAAGTAGTATAATATATTTTTTTATAGATCGAACAGTTATAAAATTGAAATAGATATTATAGGTATAGGTGCACGTTAAAGCGGTTTAACTAAAAATAAAAACCGCTCACCTTGTGTTGTATACACAACAACAAGAGTAATCTTAATTTTTGGCCCGAAGTTATTTTACATTATTCTTAAGCCATTACTTCTGTTTAAAAAGAATTTTCTAATATTGTGTATCTTAATAATACATGTAACTATACATACACTTATTTTGTGTCTAACTAAACAAATACATATATTGTTCTGTTTGGAATCATACATTATGTTAAGCGAGACAACTAGTCATTATAGACATACGTTTTCCCATTAAATATTATAATCAATATACCAATTTTGTAGTTAAGTTTTGTTGTGTTTTGGTATAATTACGAGCATACCAATGTATTACGGAATAGTGTGTGGATTGGACCCAAGTGTTCAACTATACGTATATAATAAATAGTGAGCACTCTCATTATTGTAAAAAGTCGAAACGTTATTGTGTAAATATGTGTGTTGATTGATGTTAAATTACACTTAGAATAAATTTTGTTTTTTTTACTTCATAATCACATCGAATGCCCAAGTTATTTTATTTATTATAAATAGGTAATTATTATAACTCAACAAAAACAAATACCTGCTTGTATTGTTCACACATCAACATGTATCTTAATATGTCGGCCGATTTTATTGCACATTTTTTTTAAGCCATTACTTTTGTTTAAAAATAATTTCTAGTATTATGTATCTTATTTATACATGTAACTATTCACACACATGATGTTTGGCGAGACAACAAGTCATTATAGTCATACGCTTTCTAATTAAATATTATAATCAATAAACCAATTTTGTAGTTAAGTTTTGTTGCGCTTTGTTATAGCTGCGAGCATACTAATGGGCAATGTATTACGCCATAGTGTGTGGATCAAAACAATATCCACAACAAATGTATGGATGTAAAACAGTTGTCCATTCTGCGTTGAGATTGCCCACTTATCGCAAAATTTACCTTCGTGAGTAACTACATTGTTGAGTCGCAGTAGCTAAACCGTAACTAATATAATTCTCATGAAAATGGACTTACTGCGTTTGGTCTTAAAATTCAGTTCGAAATTGAACCCAGGTGTTCAACTTTACGTTTTGTAAATAAACATACACAAACGTTGTCCACAGTTTATTTATTTATTTTTTTTTTGTATAGCATTTGTAATAAACGTATTGTAATAATATGTAAACGGATACTGTTGTACTGTGTTGAGTTGCCTGACGCCTATTAGGTGTAACAATGCATGTGGTATTATAGTTACCGCATTTCTAGAATTTTCGCACCGGGGAAACTATACTTAATAATATAGATCATCGGTGTAATAATAATTAACACAACCAGATCACCACCTCGTTATTCGTTAACGTTATACATACCGGATTTTTTAGTGTAATCGGTAAGCCAAACAGCATACCAAAATGGTTGTAAAATAATGTATGTTTTTTGTTAAGAACTAGAATTATCTTACAATATTAAAATCAATTTTTGTGTGCATTTTTTTTACAGATATCTAATAAATAATACACCGATACATTGTGAACACATACATTTTACCGAGAAATAATTACAATTTTGTAGTTTTTACTTTTTGAAAATATTTATATCATATTGTACATTATTATAAAGTTACCAAGTATTTACTTTATTTCAGTATTTTCCAGAGGGTTGTGAACCAAAATGTGAATGTATAATAAATTTTATTAACTATCTAAAAGAAGGATACAAATTTTTGAAAATGTTGACTGGTAGATAACCAGTTTTATATAATACCTTTTGTACTGAGCCCCAGTACTGAAGGAAGTAATCGAACAGCAGGTTTCCAATAATTAAATTAATATAGATCAACACTAGTTAACACTTGATTTTATTTTAAAACAATCAAGTTTAACCACACACAGATTGAAATTGGATTATTATTGTAGCCTAACCTAACCTAACCATTCGTTTTTAAACTGTAGCTATATAGAAAAGAAAGGATATAAAAAAAAGGATAGCGATCTCTTACATCCTTATACGTCTAAATCATTAAACACAATATAATATTCCCTAGATTTACTTATAGCCAAAAACTTATAGTTTGGTTAAATATAAATATTAAAATTATTAATGATTGCATTATCAACTTTAACAGGAATAGGAATTAATTTATATAACGTAAGTTCCTGTTGATAGGTCAAAGGTATTTGGATTACAAACACAAATTTCTTATCAACATGATATATAGTGTTCCTCTGTTAATTTATTAGCCTTAAATTTTTCATTTATGTCAGTATACTAATGCATCATAATTCATACCATACAAATACTTTTGTGATTGTATTATTTTAATCTGTTCTTTTTCTATTTTTATTTGTTTTGCGTCTAACACATTAAGTTGATTAATTAGGTTATCATACTTAGATACTAAATGACTACCTAAAGATAACTTACTAAAGATTAAATTAACGGCTTTGCCGAATAATAAAGAAGTTAAATCCCTTCTAGATCTTCCCATATAATAATTGCTTCCTCAATAAGATGTTAGTGTACAGTATACCTTTGCTTTACTTGGTTAATACGATTTTCCATGTTATCCCAAGCTATTTGACAAAATGAAAGATTAGAATTATTAGATAGTACAGTAGTAAAGTGTAAGCCAGATAGAGCATTATGAGTACTGAACAAATGAATCTGCTCGAAAATGCCGATGTGGCTCCCTTTTATGCCGATTAAGGCGGATCTGTTGTGGCTGGCTCCCTAGGACACTTTGAAAGTTGTTGACCTTTCGACTCGAATTGCAACTTTGTTTGGCAAGGGGTTTGTCGAGACATTGATCATAAACGTCTTGTGCTTAATACTTTTACAAATATAATTTACATAAAATATCAAATTTATAATTCTGTTGACCTTTTTAAATTATTTTCACTATGCATAATACTGCAATATATATTTACTCATCATTACAATTGTACATTAAATATATTGATACCAAGTTTGAATAGTTAAAATTAACTCTCTAAAGATATAACCATTGCGGAAGTGTTAGTCAAAGTTAAAATGAGTGACTAACCCTAAACCAGTTGATTATAAAGGTGATGTGAATTATCATATGCTTATTTGGATAAATTAATTTAATTTTTTTTTATTATCGCAATATGGTAATTACAATGTTAACTTATTAAAAGAGCCGAAACTTGAATAGTTTAATACATCTAGAAACTTGAGATTAAATATAATAACACAAAATTTACTTATGAAACAGTGCAATAATTAAAGTAATTGATGTGTAGAAAGAAAACACTGACATAAACGTTTAATAAAACTTTAGATTTTCTAAAATGTTATTTATATTATATTACTATAGTGTAATATTGAATCTCGGATATATAAAATAAACTGATTTTTTTTCTTCTTACAAGTTACTATCTATTGGACCTCAACGTCATTCATTTGTCTTAAATTCAACAAACGTAAAACATTCGACAGACTATTCCAAATTTCCTTAACATCCGACGAATACGCTAGCAATCGATTTATATTACCTTGGCCATCGTTGATGTCGATATCGATATCCATTTCAGAAACATGTTGTTCAATCATTTCGACATCGGATGATTCGGATG